TCTTCACTGAAAGGAAAGCTGTGAAATAGTGTTTGTTCTAGGTGGCTCTGTGCCCAGCCAATGATTCTCATAATTAACACTAACACAGTGTTTATTACATGCTAGGCACTGTTCCAGTGTAATATGAAGCCCACTGGTTTATTGGACCCATGATTGACATGATATAGGCAACATTATAGTAGAAAAAAAAGCCAGGAGTGGTTATCATTTACTGAAAGCCTACCACCCACTGGGCTCTTAGTTGGTATGTCACATGTGTGATATCATCAGTCCTCAAATGCACCACCATGAGATGGATAGTTTGCTTATGTTATAAGTGAGAAACAGAACAAGTAAAACTAAGCACTTGCTGGAGAGCACCAAGCCGATAAAGTATATACCTGGAATCTGAGCAGGAATTTGGATGGAAGCATGTTACCCTAAAAACTCTTCATAATGAAACACATTCCCAGGCCTGAAGAAAAGTGAGAGGCAATTAAAATACTGGAACTTGGACGCTGAAGTTAGATTGTCTGGACTTGAATCTTGGCCTCACTATTAATAGTTCTGTGTGATCTTGGGTATTTTCCTTAATCTTTTTAGGTTTCAAGTTTCCTCAGCTGGAAAAGGAGATCTTAAATGTATATGGTTCTTGTAAGGAGAGTCAGGCCGAACACAGCATCTCAGCGCCCGTGGTACTTAGCATATATTCCATCTTCATTTCATCACTATTACTGAAATTACTCACAGTAGAAGTGTTTTTAGATAGCACTTTGGGGAATATAAAGGAGAAATAAAAGTGAATGGATCATCTAGAAGTTGTTGTAATACTCAGAGAGTGGTGGAATTAGCAAAGAGGAAAGAGAGTGGTATGAGACATAAACATTTTACTTACTGTGAGAAACAGGAAGATATTCTCGTGACCTTCTAATCCCCTGCTCCTTACATTGACCGAAATGGGAGCATATTTACTTTACCAATTTTTGGTAACCCAGAAAGAACAGTACTGAGTAGGAGAAAGCTAACAGATTGTTTCTTCTGCCACATGCTCCCAATACAGATGAAGTCTGGTATCATGCGTAGGGCTTCTCCCCACCACACACACACCAAGCAAATATGCAATCAATCCTGCATCAAAGACCACCTACCTGTCCTCTAGTTCAATTCAGTTCTGATTCTAGATACCTAGAGATTGCATTGAGCCTGCCCTTCCCCAATTTAGATGCCATTTGCAAGCCCCAGGTTGTAGGTTGCTTTTTTTGGGGTTTTGCCTGATGACTACGAATCAGGGTACCCACAACTCTCTTTGCAGATTCAGTTACCTTGCTTGAAAGGCTCACAGAACTCATGGAAATGCTTACATTTGTTTTGCCATTTATTATAAAGGACATTAGAGACGATGTAGATGATATACACAGGACTGAGCTATGGAGAAAGGATGCAGAACATCCATGTTCCTCTCTCCTAACATGATTCTGGGAACCTGTGTATTCAGCTGTCCCCAGGTCTTCTAACCCCATCTGTGTGGTTTTTTTTTAATGGAAACATCATTGCATTTTTGATACTCACAGACTAATAGACTCGCTCCCCAAAATGCCTGCTTTTCCAGAATCCATTTTAGCCTATCTGTGCAGTAGCATCCTATCTACCCTTTGTAGGACACGACCCCTTCTGAAATGGCAGGGGAAGGGGTCTTATCATCAACCAAGGCAGGTCAGAGAACGAAAGGGGAGATGAGGGTCTCTGTAATCTGTCTTAGCAGAAAGAAATTGTACTTTCTGTGGCCAGTCTTTGGGAGGGAGTTTTGAGTTGGGAATTATGGATAAAACTGAAAACATATACATCACAAAAGTGTGGCACAACAAAGGATTTTTATGACTTATACAATAGCTACATAACCAATTAATTGTTAGTTTAAAAATTAGTGTAAAATATTATTGGACTTTAAGCATCAACTTCTAAGACAGCACTAAGAGAAACATTTGCAAAAAATTTGAAAGCAACATGTAAAACCAGTGATTAACTAATGATTGAGGGCTGTGTGAAGCCTCATTGCCTATTTCTTCCCACCAAAGTGGGCATTTCCAAAGTAGTTTATCTAGCATGGAGTATTAAGTGTATTTAATATGATAAATCTAAAAATCTCAGAAAAAGAAGATGACTGGAAGCCTAAAGTTGTATCATGAATTTTTAGACAAAATCTATGACCAAGAAGCAAAATTTTAGAAGTAGCTTTTACTGCCAGATGACTTATATTAGAAAATCTCTTTATTAAAAAATCTATAGCTTTCAGAAGAGTAACTTAAAATATTAGGCAAGGAAAGACTACTGATGCTGGCAGTCCTGTAGCAATGTGCAAGTTATTTTTGCGTCTTTTCTAGAATCCAAATGTAGAAATTTGTTCCATAGATGCTAAAATTGCAATTCTTAGAATGTAGTTTTCTAACAGAAAGAAAGCATCATGGGATGGGAAGTAAACTGGATTTGCACTAGAAAGTTTAATGCTTAAGTCTTGACATACATTGGGGATACTTTGGGTTTCTCTCCTCCTTGTTTAGGAGCAGAGGTTTGTCACCGTGTCAGGGTAGGAACTGAGGGGAGTGGTAAAGTATTGAACTACCTGGCGGAGTGTGTTCAAGGCAAGCGCTCCCTGGACAAGGCAAATGTCCCTTTTGAAGGAGTTTCCATGTGTTTTCTGAGGGTCATATCCCATTATCAGGAACACCTTACACAGTTCCTTTAAAACTGGGTATTTCTGTACAGCTGTTTCTGTCAACCTTTTCCTCTAATTTCTAAGCATTGTGTACCCTCCTCCTAGCTTTCTTTTCCTGTATGGCTTCTAAACAGCCTCCTAGGCAAAACAGAAGACCTCCTCTCCACTAGAATCCAGGTTCAAGGGACATGCGGGATACTATGCTGTAACTGTACTTTCTGGAGCTCTGGAGTTGGCTGCCATAGGCTGCTTCAGCCCCCTGCTCTCTGGTTGGATTTCTGTGATTTAAATACCACTATATTGTGTGCTTTGTATACCACAGTGAAATCTATGAAGCTTCCCATGGGCAAACTGAAATTTCTTTCTTTTGGCTTGGCATTAGGAGCTAGTACCCCCTCTCCTGGCACAGTCGTCACCAAAGAACTCTCTGCAAACCCTCCTTTAGTATTCCACTCTTTCAGTCTGCCTACTTTGAAAGGCATTACATGTTTCTTTGGCACCCCATTTGTACTCTGTCTTAGCCAGCACTTCTATTTTAGTATCTGGCTAAAACATGACCCACAGAACAAACTCAAGCCCCTCAGACACGTGGACAGAAGGCTGCCACCCTGCCCTAGCCTTGTCTCTTGCCTTCCCTTTTGTGTCGCTTGGTGCTCCTTAACATCCAACTGCTTGTTGCTTGCTCCACATCCCGTGCTTCATCCATCCAATAAACAGTGAGCATCCACGAGGGCTAACTTGTGAGACGGCAATTCAGACTCCTGTGTGAGGCACAGCTCCCACCTGTGAGGTGCAGGGCATGTGGTGGTCTTTCCCCTTCTCCCTTGCAGCTATACCTTCTGCTTGAACTTCCTCCTTGCTCCCATGCTGCACTCCTCAACACTCATCCCAAGCACCATCTTGTAGAAGCTGTGTGTCATCGTACTCCATTTCCATAGAATGCCCTTTCCCCCAAAGGGAAGTGTTATGGCTTGTGTCTAGATGTCCCCCCAAAGCCTCATGGAGTCATAGGGTTTTTCACAGGTCACTCAGTCTAGAGTGTGTGATTGATTCCTAGTGCAGCACTAGGATTAAGAGTGCTGGGATTAAGGGTGGGTGACTGCTGGATGGGCCCACTGATTGGACTGGTGCGAGTAGACTGGATACAATATATGGGACAGGAAGAGGTTTATCTCCCCTTCCCTGGCTTGGTTTTTCTGTCTTCTGCCACCATGAACTGTTTCTCTTCAGGGATGCCCCTCTGCCAAGCCACCTTACCTCGGAGCCAGCTGATTATGGATTGAAATCTCTACAGATGGTGAGTTAAATAAACACTTCCACCTTTAACTTTGTGTGTTGTGTATTTTGTCCCAGCAATGAGAAAAGTAACTTAAGACAAGAAGCATCCCTCTTCACCCCACTCCAGCAACGTGGATCTCTCTCTCTCATAACCACACTGCACTGAAACGATCTAAGCAACCAACAATGATCAGAGATGAATCTACTAGAAGCTGATAAAGGGAGGAATAAAGATATGAGCTTTGTTGCATTCTCTCAACTGTCCCAAATGCTTGCAGTATGTGACCTGGTAGGAAGTAACTTCCGAGTCGCATCAGTCCCTGCTGTGGACATGGCTGCAATTCATTAATGTGATTTCTCCCAAATTAAGGATTCCTTATAAAATTTTCTAAAAGTTTTTTTATACTATGAGAACTTATAGTTATCTTAGCTGCATTAATCTGTGGCTTTCCACATTCCCTAATTTCTTTTCCTGAATAGAAAGTTGCTCCATTCTATGGTTGCATGTGTTTGAAGCAGCGCCACCTCCTCATAGGAACACTTTCTGTGTTGTGCTGGGCATTGAATCCAAAGCCTTGGGCACCCTGGGCAAGCACTCTGCACTAGAGGTACATCTCTAGACCCAGAAGTGCCTCTTTTGAGTGGAAAGGGGCAGGAAGTAGAGAACAAGCTTGCAGTTGTTCCAAAAGCATGTTCCTGAGACGCCCAGAAAACTCTCCTTCCATATTGGCCAGTTTGGCACTTCCAGAAATCCAGGACAACCTAAAATTCCCAAGTTATTACAGATCTGAAAGACAGTAACTCAGCCTGAGAAAGGCTAGCACAATTTTATCTCTCCCAAATCCTGAGATGTCTCCTAAGATTGTTGGATGTCAGAGACTCATCAATGGATTGAAACAAATAACCCCTTTCCAACCTGATATATTTTAAAAAAGTCAAAATGCCTTCAACCTGATCTAAATAGCTTAAGTCAAGCTCTAGCTCTAAATAAGTCTATGATTTCTTAATAAAATGACTTGGAGGTGGCATATCTGCTTCAAATCAGAGATTTATTAAAGTTTTCTCAGGTAAAATGAGAACATACAAATAAAAAGGAATCATAAGCAATTTATATTTTGAAGAAACCTGGCTTTTGTGATTAAAGCTGAGTACACATTAAACATTATAAAAATATTTTAGAATATTTTCTTGAAAATGCTCTAGAATTTTTACTGTTGTACCATAAAATAGGTCATAAAGGAATCTTGTGTTTTGTTTTCAGCATCTCCATTCAGAGCAGTCCTTTAGTTTCTTCCTGAAAAAGGAAAACAATCCCCCAAAAATGTTAAAAGCAGTTATAACATACAGTGTGACTAAAAATACAGTACTCATAATTTAAAATAATAATTATTTCTTTTTATTTTGTGGAAATGTGGAGAGAAAATTATGATTATATAAGATTATACAAGATAAAATATAAGATTTTTACACTCACGCTTTGCCAAATTTAGTGGAGCTTCATAATTCTCTTAAATGTAAAACACAGTTAAATTTGACTGCAAAGGCATAAAGCATCCCAACATTTTAATGCATCATAGTGTGGTAAAGCAGAAGAAAGCCTGATTTTAAAAAACCAGGATGTGAGCGGCCCCCAGAAGGATGCTGTGAGAGGCAGGTGTGCTGAGCAGCAGAACACACCCTGGTGGAGGGATTCTGAGGGATTCTGAGGCTAAGAAGACTCATCAGGGGAAGGAATGAAGCGGGAGGCTGTCTTCCAAATCAGTTTCAAGGCTTTTGGTGCTGTTTACATTTTGTATATAGTGAGGAATCGTTGAGGGTCTGAGATCAACATTATGGCTACATGGTCTTTTTAGGAAACTACCTAGAGCCACAGCGTGGAGCGGAGGAAAGACCCAAATGAAGTGTGTGAAAGCCAGGAATTCACAAGGCTATTGTAACAAGTGGAGTGAGAAGTGAAAGCGTTGGAGATGTACCAGGGAGACTTTACTGAGGGACAGATCTGAGAGTTAGGGCTGGCTGTAGATGGCGCAGAGCATGAGGGGGTGCAGAGCCTGGAGGAAAGGAAGAAGTATAAAAGTGTCCACCGGAGGGACCTGAAGAGATGGCACCGTCATCCACTGAGATGTAGGAAAGAAAAGCACGTCATGAAAGAGCATTTCAGGAACTGCTACAAAAGGGACAAGAATGAGGAGATAAATGTAGTCCAGAAAGGGAAAGTGTTTTGAGGGGACTTAATAACTGTGTGTCTTTTACTATAAATTTTTTTTTTTAAATTAAACCTTAATGGTAGACTTTGCTCACACCTCATACACAGCAACACGTACTGTGGGTAACACTGGCTGTAGGGTTGTCCTGTCTCTGCTCTTGCGGTTTGAGTGCCAAGCACAAACGCTGCACAGACACACTCGTTCCTCAGGAAACGTTAACTAGCACCAGAATATGTGGAGACGTACGTTACGTGCAAAATGAACTGTGCTTACCCACATTTATATTCAGCACAAAAGCTGCAGTCATGAATATTTCCAACAGCAACACTCTTCCCGCCAGACAGCTCATCAGGACAGCCACGGTCTGGGCAGCTGTGCCCACAGCTGATGCTTTGCTGTGGTTGCCGTTGCTGCCGCCACTGCTGCTGCTGCTAGTGCTGCTGCCACCGTCACCAGAGACAGACTGCACTGGCAGGCTGAACGTTCTAGATTCTGCCCGAATGACATCATCCAAGAGAAATTCAAGCTTATAATTTTTTCCTGGAGAAGGGGGAAAGGGAAACATCACAGTGGCTGACTTTCTTGGTTACTTTCCAATCAGCCTGAGTTGGTTTTCATTGATTTAAACACAATGTCTATTTACCAAAGAAGTGTTTTTGTAAAATGAGTCAAATTAAATGCTTTCAAGTACAAACAGTGGTGGAGAGGTCTCCAAATAACAAAATTTCAATCCTCCCATAACCAGGAGCAGGGGAACCAGGTAGATTTTATTTCTGCAGCAACACTGCCTGCTTGTTAGGGCTCTTTCCTAGAGATGGGAAGCCGGCTGTTTCAAACACAGAACAACAGGGAAGGCAGCCAGCATACAGGATCTGAGTCCTTTTCCTACCTGCCTGATCCAGGCATGTGGAGCTGTCAGCCCCACTTAGAGGGAGTGAAGGTGGATACTAAACTTGGCACTTTATAAAAATCTCAAACTACAGAAGACTTGAAAGAACAGTACAACTCTTGTATGCCCTCCACTCAAACTGAACAGTTTTTAACCACCTTCCACATTTATTTTAAGTCTGAGAGACTTAGACGATTGAGAGTCTTTCTAATTTCCCACCCCAGCTAAACATCTTGGAGAAATGTTAACCTATGTTTACAGGATGAATAATAATGAGCTCATCCAAATAATTTTTAATATCCATTCTGAATCTCCCGATAGTTTTTAATATGAAATAACTGATGTATTTTTCCATGATATAGTTTCTTCTGGTACTACTGCTATCATTAACTGTAGGTACCACATAGAACAGAATATGGAATACTTGCACAACCTTATAAGTTCTTACTCTTTTTTTGGTTTTAAAATCATTTCTGTTTCATTCTTCCTTTTTTTCAGGGAGAAACTATAATTAGACCTTGACCACACTTGTGCATTTACCAACAATGGCAATGTATTCTATAACTAGCAGCTTTAAGGGCACACACAGTTTTCAGATACTGACAATTCCTGGAAATGCTGTATTTAAGTTTTTCCTTTATTTCATTCTACAAAAAAAAATTCACAAAGTTTTGAGGCAACTGCACTTCACTTTTTAGCATGTTTGACAGGTAAAGAATTGACGGTTCTTAAAAATTGATCTGATCTTTCCGTTCTTGCAGTATTGCAAGGAAGCCCAAATTCACTTCATGGAAAAATCACACAGAAGACAAATGAAGAATGCAGAGAAACTCAAGAACCAGAACAATGGCCAGGGATTTAACTCAATGGCTTACAAGCTTGCCCAGCAAGTGTGAGATCATAAGGCCGATCCCTGGTACCAATTTTAAAAAAAGAACCAAAACTTTGGCACTCAAGCCATCTAAGCCAAAGCCATCAAGTAGACATCTCAGCTGAAGACTTACATATTAAGGAACATATATGATCCTTCCCTGCTCAAATTCCTGACCCGTACGATTGTGGATAAATGGAGGGTAATTGTTTTAACCCATTAGATTTTAAACATGTTTTATATGTAGCAATAGAATCTGAAACAGACACTAAACATTACATAGGTTGCTAGATAAGCAGGTCCCAAATGCCCGTCAGCAGATTGGTCAAAAATACAATCTCTTCACTTCCTAGTCTCCTCTGCAAGGGACTCCTTGCAGTGACTGATGCTAAGGGTGTCTACGAGCGAGTCAAAGTCTTCCTTCATTGCCTTACACTCCAGCAATCTTGCTTATTTGGGAGCCTTGCTATGTGGAAGTAATATTTCAAGGACGTTGGTCACAAGGTCAGGTCTTTTGCTGTAAGGTTCACCTTTATGAAGAGGTGAGCAACCTTCTCTTTGGGCAGTGCTCCTGTCAGATGCCTCATTTTCCTTAAAAACATCACAGGCCTGTTTTTTGGTTCGTTTTGTTTGGGTACCAGGGATCAAACTCACGACTCCCTGATTGCTAGGCAGGTAATTGTGCCACTGAGCTACATGCCCGGCCCTGTAGGTCTGTTATTATGTTGACTGCTGAAAGAACAACAAACACTAAGACATCCTAAGGGGCTGCCCAAGAGCGCAAAGTGGAATTCTTTGTCATTTGATTCTTGGCAAACAGGTAACCGTATGGTTTCCTCCCAGGCAGATGGAATATATCAAAGTATGAAACAATGAAAAATAAGGGAGACAATCTTTTGGAATTAGTTTAACTTCTGATATCATTTTTTTAAAGATTAGATTTGTTGGAAATTCTTATTTTTATAGTGATTTTTAATCAGACCTTCTGTGTATGTTTACATGTGTGTGTGTGTGTTTACATGTGTGTGTGTGTGTGTAGTGTGCCTACAAGTATATGTATTTCCACTGATACATGATTGACAGGGAGAGCAGTGATTAGAAGGGGGATGGGCCACCATAGAACCTTTTTGGAGGCTACCAGTGGTCTTAAATGAACCCCAAGTTGAATAGACAGATGAATGGAGGCCTGTTTCAAATACACACAACTTGTTCCCTCCATTCTTTTAGATACTACAAATTCATCACCAGTAATATTTGTAATTTGGAGATACCATTTGGTAAAATCATTTGTACCAAAGGAGTAATGCCACCAGCCCATATAGAGGTAATGTAAGAACACTGTGTGGAGTTTATGGTTGTAGTTACTGTAGTGACATTCAGTGTACCACTTGGCGCAGGCTGTAGGATGCACTTGATGAGATCTCACAGGAGACATCTGTTCCCAGTGCATGTTACAGTTCTCCACAGCTACTGGTTTGTGGCTGTGAGAGGCAGGGAGTCACGGTGATGCTCCCCTTTTCTCTGTGGCATTCACCTTCAGAGAACTACAGTCAACTTTCTATCTCAACTCCTGCTTAGGACATTAAGGTTAATGAGTTTGCATATCCTTTTCTGTCTTAAATTTGGAAATACAGGTATTAATTTTGCTTACAGAAATGTACACATATATAATGAGAAAATTTAGAAAAATGTACAAATGGATAAAAAAGAAAATGTAAATCATATATATATATATATATATATATATATAAAATATATGATTTTGGTCTGAGAATTGAACTCAAGACCTTGTACTTGCCAAGAAGGCACTGAGCTGTATCTCCAGCCCTAAATTATGTATAAATAATTTCATATTATCTACTTTTCTTTTCTTGATGGCTTATTTTAATTTCTATTTCATTTTTTGCACATTAAATATATTCTTATAAGCTTCATTAAATATTTTCTGAGATGAAGCAGAATATAATACCTACAGAATATAATTTCTACAGTTTTATTGACACTGGATTGTAGAATTTTTTGTTCATAAAGGGAAAATTGTAATTGTCTCTACTTAGGGTTTATATGTGAGACTCAAAAATAGCCCACTTAGACTGTCTGAAGGAGGATGGGGATTGGGGGAGGAGGAAGAGGACAGTAAGGGAGAGGAGTATGATGGAAGTATGTCATGTGCACGTATTAAAGTGCCATAGTGAAACCCAAGTACATAGGTCACCCACCTGTTCTGAGAGGAGTAAGGTCTGTGTAGTTGGCCCAACAGCTGCTAAATAGAATTGTTGTGTTTCCACCAAGGCCACTGACTTGGTTATTACTGGAGTCCTTGAGCACAGCCTTCAGAGTCAGTGAAGTAATCCCAACAGACACACAATTACCCTTAAGAAAAGAAATAGCAGAGGATTATAACCATTGTCCTGTTCCATGCTCTTCCGAAAAGGTATGCTAAACTTTTATGTTTTTTTAAATGCTTCATGACAAATTTGAAGTCCAGGAGGCTCCTTATCTCACCCAGAGCTCACAAACCGGGGCACGAGAGTGCCAATTTCATTTTAAGTGATGTAAGATGAAGACATGGAGAAACACTTTGAAACAGCAGAAGAGGATGCCCAGAGGTGCTAGTCCAGCTTCTAAGGGGCAGCAGGATCCTCCAGCTGCCAGCACCTTGGGACCAATCAAATCAGTTCCCTTTCCCGAACTTGTAGTTCAACTCCTTGCCTAGGGAGGAGGCTGTGACTTACCTCAGGATCCACGGCTTTTACTGAAGGCTGCTGAGAAAACGGCTGTCCAGGTTGTCCTGCCACTGGCTGAGTGACCACAGAGAGTGAGGACACCCGGGCCACGTGGTGAACAGGAAACGCAGCCCTGGCAACGGGCTGGGCAGTCACCTGGCAGGGACAGAGGAAAGGAATGGTTTTCCTATGACAAACTGCATCCACAGTAACGCTCAGCCAGGCAGAGTGGAATGAACTTACTGTTCATTTAAGAATAAGTTCAAAAAATATGTTCAATCCTCAAAGTAGTATCAGCACAACATCGCCTCTAAATCACACATATGAAGCACTGTTACAAACACTCAAAGCAAACCAAATGCAGAATTCATAGTTTTTAAAAGACGTTTCTTTTTAAAATCTAGTTTTTGAAACAAACTACATTGCTTTCATTTTAATGATTCCATAAAAGAGTCAAAAATGAATTAGAAAGCCTTGATCCCTAAATTACTGTGTTAAAGTAGAAAAAGTTAAAACAGGAAGTAATATTTTAAACAGCTAAAATGCATGTGTTTTAGCTTTTGTTCTTACCTTAATCCAGCCAGAATCATTTGGACTGGGAATAGGGTTGGTGATAGACATGGAAGAAATATTAAATCCAAGGATACCACTGATTTTTCCTAAAATTACAGCTTGTCCAAGAGAACCAGAAATTTCCTGAAATTCAGACAATTTCATCTGACCTAGGGGGAAACAGCATTATGATATTTGGATTATAAAAATATAGAATTGTGAGAACAAACAAGGGTTTTTTTTTATTATAGTTTTATTTGCATTGTTCCATCACATGGAATTCTAAGGTGTTCTAATGGCACCTAAGAAAAACATGACAATCATTAATGAAGAAAAAAAAGCAACTCAGTAGAATATTTTAAGATTGAATTAAAGAGTGAAAAATGAAATCAACACAAAAAAGTAAATGAAAACATATTAAAAAAAATCTGAATATTTTTCCATGTCACTTTTTCTTTAGCAGAACTATGCTGCATATTATCATTTAAAAAATAGGATGTTAATTTTGAAATGAAAGAATGATTACCATCCATTATATTAGACAGATATGTATTAATATCCTGCTGAAGTTATCATTAAATTGCTAGCAGGCTGTTAGTTGCTCTGGATATTTGACAATTTTTAAGGTTAACTTTAACACTGCGTGTGGTTTCTGTTCTCTTTTCTAGCATGGCAGGCCATGACAGGAACTCTCCCTAAAACGTACTGCCCACAGTTCTAACTGGCAAAGTGCAGCCTCCAGGTATTTTATCCCTTTGGGCAGAGCCCTGAGCTTGTGCTTGATCATCCCTAGTTCACCTCTCTGCCCCACCATATCCAATCAATCACCTCTGCCTCTACTGTCAAAGTCCCTGTAATGCCATCCTCAGGGCTGTTACTAAAACAGCTTACACTTGCTCTCTCATCTATTCTTGTCCCTTATGCTCCACCCCATGCACAGCATGTAAAGAAGTCATTCAACAACCTGTAATCAGAGTAATGTTCAATGTCCTTCAGGCCTTGCTTTGCCCTTGTTTCCTGCATGGTCCACACCCAGAGTCATACGCTGAGGTCCCAAATTCTTGAGTTTTTTCCTTTATGGCTGTTATGCACTAAAAACTGGTGGTCAACTTAACGACAGCAGAATTAAATCAGCATGATACTGAGTATAGATGTTCCACCTGAGGAAAGTTGCCAGCATAAATAGAGATGTAGAGAAGGAGAGGTGAGGCATTGTGGGTTTCTCTAAGTGTTGCTATTTCAGCCACTGGTTCTCCTGGAGGAGCTCATCATGAGTAGTTTCTCCAGTGTGAGTTCGACCATTGTCATCGGAGGAGCTCGGGACCTTGTTGGTGAGAGTGGCTGTGGTTCACTTTGGGATAGCTCTGGTCCTTACATAGAGCATCGCTTCCTGGCTCAGGAGGGGAAGATGTATACTGTTTAATCTCCAGGATGAACTCATCACACTGGCTTCCTGAATCGTACTTGACTGTGCTTATCTCAGAGGAGCTCGTGACCTCTGTTGTTGCTGAGGATGGCTATGATGCTTTTCAGGAAAGCCTTGGTCCTTGTTTTGAGTGTGACTTCTCTGCTCCAGTGTAGAACCCTCAACCTACCAGCACAGCTCCTTCATCCCACTGGCATAGACTTTCTAGTGTCCATCACTGACCTTTGGGCCTTCCCAGTGTGAATCCATAAAAGAGACTGGTGAGTCTTCTCATGGGCTCTAGACCTCCAGTTGGACTTGTGGGAGGCATTGTCATGGGCTCTCAGTCTTTATCTGGACTCATGTGGGACGTTGCTGTGGGATCCAGGCCCTTGGCTAAATATTCTGAGTCTTTAGTGTTATGGACAGATTTCCTGCACTTTCTGTGTTTAACTCTGGATGACCATCATAAATAATATTATAAATTCTGTGTCCTGATTCTAATTGTTCTCCTCACAACCCCTGACTACAACGATGGCTAAACCATGAAGTTCAGTGTGTTCGGAAGTAGTCAGTGCCCTGCACCAGTGTGTCTCATATGATACTTTGAAACCCACAGTCAAGAAATTTTAGTTTAAAATATGTCTTTTACAAAATTCACCCTCTTTGGACAAATGCTAAGTCTTTCCAATTTTTCCCTCTCCTCTGACTCCTTCAAGAACAGTCTTCCCCAAGAAGGTTTCCCAAGCATGAGGGTTCAGGAGAGCTGGTCACAGTGGTACACTAGTCCTGCCTTGCCTTCTCTGGCATTTGGCACAGTGATAGGTCTGCCCTGGCCTGCACCACTAACAGGTTCCCTCTGACAGTGTAAAATGGGAAGGCATCCCTTCTGCTGACCACCATCCAGGAACTAAAGATTTTCTTGAAGTTCTCTTACACCTGATGCCAAGACTCTCCCTGCCCAGAGGTCTCTTAGTCCCTAAAAAATCCCATTCCAGGATGCCTGGAAACTTTTATGAGCTTATGTGTTCTTGTCCCTATGATCTGTGTTCTTAGGTTATCTTATATCTATCTGGATAAACCCAACAAGCTAAAATTGCTTTAGGGAGATGAGGCCTCAGAAGTTATGTGTGAGAATATCAAGGGCACACATGGGAAATAAACTATAATTTCTTTGGGGATTTAGTGGCTAGTGTGTGCGTTTTGGACCTCACTACCTATGAGGGTTTACTAGGGATTTCTAAGAGCTGGTGAGTAATCTGCATGAGTACCACAGACACATTATGACAGCCTCTCTAAATTCACAGGCTAAGCATGCAGAGTCCAAAGTGCTGACCCTGAAACTCCAAAGAACTGCAGGGCCGAGAAGGAAAGTCAACTATGATGCAGCCAGAAAGGGGTCTGTTTGCAATAAAACCCTGCGTTTCCAACCCACACAGATTCACCACATCACACCGCTGTACCCCTTTCAGCCCTCCTCTCTCAGGGGTAAGGCCGCCGCCCTAGGTAGATCTCCCCTGATCTACATTAGGCCGAATCCTGTTTTAATTTAGTAATCATTACAACAAAGAAACAGGGGCTTACATTTCTTCACAGTTTCAAAATAGGTGAAGGGTCTCTAGGCCTTTACAAGGTTCAGATTATGGGCTGGTGAGATTCCCTAAGGCCTTGTTTAGGAGGTCCTGAACTGAAATTAGAAATTCCACTGGGCCTAGCTATTACCCCTTCTAAATATCTTCCCCCCCAAATTAAAAACATTACATTACAGTGATAAATGCATACCCATGTGTATAGCAGTACAACTCATAATAGCTGAAGCTTTTGAAAGTGGTCTGTAGATCCATCAACAGATGAATGGGTTAGAAAAATTTGGGTTTTGTACACAATGGAGAACTATTTTGCCATTAAGAAGGACACAGTTGAATTGTTTGTTGGAAAATGAATGTACTTTGAGACCAAAATGTTAGGTTCAAAAATCAGACTATTAAGCACACAAGTTTAAACTATTAAGCACACAAGTTGTAATTTCTCTTACATGACAAATCTAAAGTATAAATAACTTTAAAATACAAAGTAAAAGACAGTAATAAACAGGACAATGGATGTTTTGTAATAGGGAGGGATCTGGAGACAGAGAGAGGAGAAAGGGAGAGGAAGGGAATGGAAATTTAAAAATCTTTTAAATATATGCACCTACCTCCAAAGATAAATGTAAACATCATACACTACAAACACGTATCAATGAAAATTTAAAGTTATTTGTGACTGTGGACTGATAATTCCATTCCCGTATCTCAAAGTCTACTATTCATACCTGTGGTGTCATTGCTTAAGATCCGCATGGGAGGCTCTCCAATCTCTAACTCAATTGAATGTCCTGTAGATCTTTTCCTCCTCAGACTCTTTTCACGTATTACTTTGCTGACTCGGATTTTGTGACTTGGTATATTTAGGAACAAGGCGAGATTTCTAACCAGATTGTGTGAGCTGTAAAAGTCATCTTCTGTTACAGCAGGTAATTGAAAAGAAACAAATATGACCATGGCGGTGTGGATTTCAACAGGTGTGGTTCCTTTAACCAAAATGTAAAGCATCTGGTAGGTTCTGTCAAAGTAGTTTTCACCGAGAACAGTGGAATTCAGTTTAGGAAGAAACTGGTCTAGGAAGAAAAGAAGTGCCCCAAACTCAGAGTTAAATATATTTACATTATTACAATTACAATACATAATTACTATGTTTCAAGTCAGAAAATTCAAAAAAAGTTCAACATTATCATTTCATATGACAGTATACATACTATAAACAAATTTTTCTAGAACTGACTTGCAGAATTGAAGTCAATCCTTTACTATTCATGATCATTATATATTAAATTTAATTCTTAAAAATCAGCTGTAGACTCAGTATAAATAAAAGCAAGTCTTATTATAAACCCAGGAATTTATACAATACTTATACTATTTATATCTTTAGACTTTTAAAGCCAAAGTGTTTGTAATTTTAAAAATAGGAATTTGACTTTAATAGCCATCTAATTTATGCTGTTAGGATGCAGTGATTCTATTTTAAACAAGAACAAGGGTACAAAATAAAAATAATGCATATAATAAAGCATCTCAGAAGAATCTTAAGTGTGAAAAAAAAAACTATGGTTAATCTATGGTTAATTGAATTCCCATAGAGGAAATTAAATTTTGTAAAGTTGCTTGAGATTATTTGAATATGTGTGTATATACATATATATGTATAAGTGCTATGATTTGTGGCAACAATTCACAATGTTTAAGAGAATAAATCCATCAATACATTGAACTGAAGGCTGAGTTTATAACAGTAGTGAAATAAGACAGACAGCTTCTTTCCACATTTCATGGTGAAGTTTACTAAGAAAAGGAAATTAAGATTTTAAGAAGAAGAGGAAATTTCTTATGAATATCACAGATAACAGCTTTAAGAAGCTATTTCATTATACTATAGATTTCCTTACTATGCACTAACATAAACCTGAGTGGCAGGTTGGCTTAAGCATTCTGTGAACCTGACAAGTGAGGTATATTACAGACTGAGCACGCTCCCCAGCTATTATTGAAGCATATTCACCATTCATTCTTGGTAACTTTCTCATGTTACCACAGCAATGAAGAAGCAGAGATATACATAATAGAACACTAAGGAAAGCACAGAAATATAGAGAAATTCATAATACAGGTATAATATTTTGCATTCTAAGTGCAAAAGCAAAACTTTGACTTAAAAGCAATGCTACGGGCCGGGCACATAGCTAGGATATAGGATGCATTGTATTCACCTAGAATGCCTGATGCCCTGAGTTCAATTCCCAGCTGAGAAGGGGCAGGAAGATGCAATGCTAGTTCATTAAAAGAACAACAGCAGAAATAACAATGCATGCCCACATTTATCTATGAGAAGGCAGTGACAGTATTGTGTTTCATCCCCTCAGCAGCTGCCCTAACAATTCTCCATATTAAATTCTGCCTACTAAGTTGGGTTCTACTCTCCTAATTTTGGATGAGAGTGCTCAGTACCATATGTGTTATTTTAAAAGCTTGAAATGTATAAAAACTAAGCTGTAAATATGTGCAGTCATTTAATGGTAGAAAGTGGTAAGGCTGTCTCTTAGCCTAATTTAAGAGTCGATATAGCACAATGGTCACGTGTGTGAGTTCCAGACTTGGGCTGTTTACCAAAGCTGAATCCATTTGCAGACTGGAGGGGAAGAACCAGGCCCCATGGGAGGAGATCCCCGCCAGGATTCCAGTGCCATGCAGGGTAGCTGGTGGCTTGGAGGGAGCCAGACCCAAGCCTCTCTCTGTGAGTCAGCGACTTTCACGGACTGTGGACGGGGAGAGCCAGGTCCTACAGGGAGGGATCCTGCTCCTGTTCCTGGAAACCATATCATTTTCATTGTTTTTTCTTTCGGATTGGAGTTTATTCTCTTTTGTTTTGTTTATGTTAACTCTGATGGCACAAGCAGCTATTTGAAAGATAGCAAGACATGTTATGGAAGACATTATGTGTTTACTATTGGCTTGTTTTGAGGTTCTTTATTGCATTGTTTTTGTTTTTGTTTCTATTCTATCTTGTTCTGTTGGGTTTTTTTTAATATGTCCAAAGGTATCTGCAGCTATTTTGAAGATGACAACGGCATCATGGTAACTATGGATGATTTCAAAAGGTTTGGAAGTCCTGTATCACTAATTCTGGTTTATTTTGATTGATTTTATTATTTTATTTTCCTAGGGTTTTTTTTTCCTCTTTAAAGAGTCTGTAACAGCTTTCAGATTGCTAAGGACTAAATTGTGTCACCTCCAAATTCATATGCTGCACTCCTGATCCCCACTAAGATGACATTAAGAAATGGAGGCCCCTGGGGAGAAACTAAGGTTAGTTCAGACTGTGAGGTAAAGACACCAGGACAAAAAGAGACCCTGACCTTCTCCATGGTCTGAGAACACAGCAAGAAAGTGGGTTTGGCCAAGAAGAGAGGCTCATCAGAACCTGACCACACAGGCACTGAGATTTCAGGTTCTGTCTACAGATCTGTGAGAAATACCTTTCTGTTTTTAAGTCGTGGTACTTTGTTACAGCAGCCTGAACAGACTAATACAAAAACCTTAACAAATTACCACCCGTACCTCAGTTTCCTCATCAGTGCCTACTGTCTAAGGTTATTATGACACAGTAATAAAGCACTTAGAACAATGCCTGAGATATAGTAGTGTCCTAGAAACACTCACTAATCATACTAATAGTAAAAATAAGAATTTATAAATGGTGAAGATTTTAGGTCACTCATACATGTTCTCAAGCCTTTTGTTTGTTTGGTTTTTGGTCAAGCCTAACTTTTGATATGATCTTCAGTAAATACCGACACATCGTTGGCCACAATTATAGAGCATGTCTACAAATGAAAGGTAGCACACAGGGAATGAAATGCCCACTGTCAGTATCACTAGAATCCTGTTTAACAAAAACACTTAAATGAGCAGAGACTAATCCTGGTTTTATAGCTAGGGCTAAGTGAACAAGTAGCTCCTCTCATATATTTCATTTAAATCAAGGTTAATTTATCATGTCAACTTCATAGTATTCAGCTTACTTAATATTGACTTTCTTGGCAATACATCTGGTGGCTACCAAGTAATTTAGGTTCTGATGTTCATGAAATAAAAGTAAGAGTGATAAAGTAAAACTTCCAAACACAATCTCTTTAGACCCAGAGAGAATTAAATGCAAAGTCTGTGGACTTCAAAACTTCTTAGAAAAATGTACCCATCGTGAACATAACAGGTATCCGTCTTTGCAAATGGAGAAGAGCATTACTATAAGTGATCTACCAGGATCATAAATGAACACAACCTAGTGTTTGGTGAATAATGACTAAAAACTTTTCTCATGCATTTGTAATTGGCTAAAGAATTTAAAATGCTAATCAAATATTATGGAAGATTTTATAAATAACTACAGTTCAGGTACCATGTGCTTTGTACTTCTCTGAGGAAATGCCTGCACGGGGGTCCCTGTTAAATGCACAGAGCTTCTGTTGAGGGTTCCATATTGTATCTCTGGGACACACCAGTGAATTGTTCACATACACATCCAAACGCTGAAGTGTGGAATAAAAAATTCCAACTAGAACAGCCTGTTAAAATAAAAAAACAAATTGTATTTTAAGAGAGCGGTAAGACAGAATGTTAAGAATTTAGCACTTTAAAATATCTTCCAACTGTGCACACCAATACAAACATTAAAACTAAGTTTTATAGATTTAGGACAAACATGGAACTAAAATTTACAATGGGCTTGATAGCTCTGAACACAGACTTTACAGCTTCACCCTTAATTGATGGTTCTCGGAAGAAGAGAGTAATGTAAGAAAGGAATTATTAGATGAGCACTTCTAAATTGAGAAAAGCATTCTTTCAAAAGACATTTAAGTACAGTATAGGCTTTCAGTTACCAACAAGAGGGGCTGAGCAGTGTTCTGTCATGCGGCCACACGAATATAGGTGCTTAAGGCTAAAAACAAATACTTAAGGCTGAGAAAAATTTGGTAGTAAGACTAATAAAATTAGCCAAAACAACTGCATTTTGTGGCCCAATTTTGTTTGCTTTTCACATTTATATTCCCTACACATCATACCATCAGACATGACCGTAAAGTTAAGATGACTGGAGTTTGTGAGGGTGCAGAAGGATTAACATGGAGCTCTGGTGACATCATGGTCTAGCGTAAGGCAATTACACAGGAGGATTAACAAGCAGCCTAATAAGCTAAATCAATGCGGAAGCTTATTTTGACATTATCTTCAGAGGCTCAGCATACTAATAGCCATATTAGATTGTAGTCTGCATTCTTACTTTTTAAATTAAAATATTCTCCTTAGTTTTTTTTTTTTTTTAAATTGAAGGCAGATTCTTATCTCAGCCTTGTACTTTTGTAGGTGCTGGCAAGAGCCACTGTGTTTTTTAGGTTTACATCCTCGAGTGAGTTGAGAGATGATAAATAATAAAAATGATAAACAGTAAAGTCTGAAGCACATTAGAATGTGATAAGCACTATGGAAAAAAGAAAAAGTAAATCAAGGTATGAAAAATTTGGAAAATCAAATGGTGAGGGGGACCAGGGTCAGCCTTTTGTGGGGATGGGATATTTAGCTACACAGGTTAGAATGCTCCAGGCGGATGTAACATCTGCAGCAAGACAGTGACGGGTCTGTAGTACTGAGAAACACTAAGAAGCCCAGTGTGCTGGAGGAATAGGAGAAGCAGAAAATCTTTGCTCTGAGCTACATCCCTAACACTTTACTTTCACTTTTTTATTTTCAGAGGCTCTTGCTAAGTTGCTTAATTTTCCAGTCAGCTCAACCTTGCAATCCTTCTGCCTCATCCTCTCCTGAGTGCTGGGATTGTAGGTGTGTACCACTATGCCTGCCTTTAAGGAATCTGATTTCAGTACAAATGCCAGTACGGAAATCCCTCAGGCTTTGGTGCAGAGCAGAGACCTGTTTTGATGTTTGATCAGAGAAGAAAATTAATGTGCTGCAGGTATCTGGCTACCGGGGTGAGAAAAAGCCATAGAAGGGCAAAGGTAGCAGGAGGAAGAGGACTTGGAAGGTAACTGCCTCGATCCAGAGAAGAGATAACGTTGGCTTCATGGGATGGTAGCAATGCAAGAGAGGAGATGTGATTGGATTCTAGATACTTCAAAGGGAAACTCAACAGAATTCACAGAAGGACTGGATGAAAAATATGAGGAAAAAAAAGAGCCAGGAGGCATTCCCAGGTTCTATTTTGAACAAGTTGAATTTGTCCCCTTCCTGGTTTCATCTTTTCAAGTTTCTACCTTCATATTCCTAACACAAAGGGCCCTTTAAGTTTCATACCCATAGAAAAGAAAATATAAATTATAGTACTTGATGTAGTCTATAAATTTAATCATCCCAAGAAAATTCAGTTTATAGCAAAGACTCGATGTTGTCAAAATATTTAAAATAATATGCTGCAATGCTGAACTAAATTCCAAAGGTGTATCTCTGACATATACATAATAGTCCCAGGGAAGAATAAATACATATTCTAAGTGATCAGATTAGTGGAATATAAACTATTTTTATGTAACAATTTAGGTTTGCTTGCTAATCATTTAGGCATCATTCTTCTGCCTCAAATATGGAGCCTAACAATTAAGTGCATACTGGGAGAAGGATGTTTGGTATCTAAATACACTTTTTGGTTGAGAAAAACTGTCTAGGCTAAGAATATTTTTACTAATATCATATGAGGCCTTCAAAATAGAGCAGGGCTGATAATGCTAGAACAGAGAATGAGATATAATCCTTAGCAGATAGAAACATGTGCAAATAAATCAACCACAATAATTTTACAATAACATTTTCATCTTGCCTTACCCTAGTATGCTCAACATTAAGCAGCATCAATCGAAGATTCTGAGGACTGGTGCCCGTGAAGTAAACCTCGTAAGATTTGTTCAGAGCCACAATACTATGAAACAGGGATAGTCTTCTCTGGCATGTGTATCCTACACACCAGCCATGATCCTGTGGGCCTGAGGTCATACAAAATGAAAGCTCATGTTCTTTTATTTTGAGTATCATTAGCAGAAAATATGAAGCATAACAGTATTCAAAGTCAATTTCAATAGTTGAGTTCCAATGCAAGTTTAGCATTTGTGCCCAGTAAGTACGCTATCATCCTGTCTACCCACCCAGGCTTTTCTCCACCCCTTGGCTGAAAAAGAAAGGCAGGGAAACAACTCATTCCCATGACCATGTTTACTACACTGTCCTGGCTAGAAGGGTAAATAAATGTACACTGGAAGATCACTGAGGTAAACAGGAGATTTACATGCATTTCTATTTCATAATAAAATTCAAGCTTCATATAGTGAAGAAGAAAATATTTGATCTTTCTCCTCTCTTATCAAACATGAGTTTAGATAAAGAGCCATCTTTCTCAGGCTCCTTACTAAGAAATAGATTCTAACGTAGTTATTTTGAAAAATAGGGCTAGTCCTTCGAAAGACTGGACATTTGTTCTGGATTATTGATTCATTAATGTGTTGTTCATTTGTTCATTAACTTATAAATCCAGTCATGTTTGTTTTGACCAAGTCTTTAAGAATCTTCAATTTGAATTTTAATTTAATAAATTTTGTTAAAAATCTGACTATAGTGTATTGGAAGATCAACAAAATTAATAAGCTGAAGCCATGTAAGAAATAAAATTTCATTAAACCCTCTAAAAAGCCATGAGACACTAGATGCTTGTTTACTGGAGTCCAGGTATTTTCAGAACAGCTGTAACATGACTTTCATGAAAAACTTCTTAATTTTACTTAAATATAAATGCAGCAACCTATGGAATGATGAACTTTCTTTACATTATTTATGCAATATGTTTACTGCATTTTGTGGCTTACTTAGGAGCACTATCAATATTGATAATTAAATTTTAATCAAAATTTAAACCAATATAAACTTCTAAAACTCAAGTAGAACATAACATTCCATTAGCAAAATATAAGCTCTACATTTAATATACCTTCCTTCTGGGTTTTGAAAACAAACACAAAGAAATGTCCATGTAAAAATTGAACAGTTTAGAGAGAAGGAAGCATATTATAAAAAAATGAAGGATACCTGTACATATATTCAAAGACTTAGAGTGACAAAAAGTCGCATTTTACAAACAAACATAATCCAGTATTACTATTTGAAAGGAAACCTTGTTGACACTCAGTAACTTTTATCTCAGGGAGTTTTTCTCCCCATATTGAGCAGACATAGCTTAGAGAACAGCAGCAGTGACTCCTGGAACGCCTTGGTGATTTTTCCACGTGACTCATTTACTTACCGACTTTGTTAGTCATTGTTGCCCATTTGTATTCATTTTAAAGGGAAGTGTTACGTCACTATGTATGTAAAAAAATTATACTGCCTGTCAGAAAAAAGTAAAACTAAATACAATGAAATCCTTCTCTGTCATGTGAAAGGGAGCAATTTGCAAACTTCTCTTCCATGTCTCCATTATCCACCGACCACTCTGGATCTGTGCCTTGTGAACACGGAAAGGGTGCATTCAACATCGAACTGACTCAGCCTGCAGAAACCAAGTGCTTTTAGGTAGCAGAAGTGAGGAGAGGCTTAAGATAATGAGGCTTTGGGATATCCAGTTAAGTTTATCTTAGTCTCTTTAACAAGTTTTAAAATGTGCATTTCTGGGGAGTTTCAGCTATTTTGTTGTATCTTAGAATAGTTAGATATTATACTGTAAGAGAAATCTCTGTGGCCCAGGCTTTATGTCCCTTCAACACTAAGCCTGCTTAAGGACCAACCTTGGAGCCCCAGTGTCTCTCAGTGATATACACAGTAGATCCCTGTGCTGTGTTCTCAGTACCTTTTAGAAGTTTACTTGATTCATTCAAAAAGTCCTGGCCTCCTAAGTTGATCTGCATCCTTATGGAGATCATTGTGTTTCCTCTGCCTAGGGCTACCTAAGATCACAGTGGCAGAAACTAGATTCTACACCTTCACACACTGGTCATGACGGTCAAAGGAATCCAATATGAGAGAGGGGGAAAATAGGAGATATAAATCTTCCAAAGATAGATGAAATGAAAATGATTAGGCTGAGAAGACCCGCTTCTCAAGTACTCCAGATAATACAATATTAGGTTTTTAATTTATGCAAGGAAATTAATATTTCTGGAGATGCTTGTCAACTTTTCTGTGATTCTCCTCCAGTCCTTCTTCAAACAGTCAGTTCCAAATAGCTGCCCTGGCTTTACTGGATGGGGAGTTGCCAAAGGGTCAAGTCTCACCCCTGCATGTAGATTTTTTCTTACAAATGCAAAACCAAGAAATCCTGTATTTGCTAGTTTTATGTGATAATGAGATGCACCTATGCATTTAATAAAATGCTTTATGTAACTCTGATCCACTTATTCCAAACGCATACCATTAAGGAGATCGACATAACCATTGCTCACTATAGCCACAGGTGAAAGTCTTCGCGTCTCAGTGTCAGAATCCAGGCTTTCGATAACCAGCATTGCGTATTCCATCCCAAAGCACTGGTAGCTCTGCCACTCTGGAATGTATTTACAGGTTGCATCTCGAATAATTCCTGGAAGTATATGTATATATATGTATGGTAGCAATGAAAAGCAATCTCTTCACAAAATATTCATAAATCTATTAGGTAATATTAATAAGTAGAGCTGAGTACATCAATCATTACAAGTAAAACATTTTCCTTTCATGAACTTGAGATCTAACAAGAGAATAAGATCCAACAAACCTTTGTAAGGTGCTTTCTCACTGACAGGAATTCTGCTTCCATTCAAGAACGTGAGCATCACCTGAGGAATTCTGTAGTCTCCGATTCCTAGCTGGCTGTTGCCATTCCACTCATATTCTGCCTGAGGTATCACTGAGCCAGAATTCCCCAGAAAGGATCCATCCAGGTCTTTGAGAAAAGACTTCCTTTTGGCATCACAAACCATGTCCACACAATCAGATGGATTCACTTTACTAGGGAGAAGAGGCAAAATGAGCGACTTAGCTCACTGTCCAAAAAAGCAATATAAACATACCTGAGTATTTGAGTGGGTCTCAAAAAATTGATTGAATCTTACTTTGGAAAAGAGTTAAAATGAGACCAAGTAGCATATGCATATAGCAATGTAATGAAGTCTGCTTTTCCTTTGTGATAATTTGGTCTGTTATCATGAATTTATTAACATTTCAAAATGACATGTTTGTGGGATACAAAATTGCATTTTGGTTGTTCTGGAATGACAGATTTCGTGTTTGCGCATTATTCACAATATATAACATTTTCCCATACAGCAGGTGAAGAGTTCTCTGTTGTACAGGACATACAAAATCCCTACATTTACCAGAAAGCCTTTATTATCCTTCCCTCCTTTCTCATGTTCAAAGTTAATAAGTATTGTTCACTATGAAGTAATATAAATGTTTAATACAAGCTCAGTTTCTTTCACCTCTCTATCTTGAGCTGTTAGGTCCTTTACCAATTGCAGACTTACATATTCTTGTAGAAATCTGTCTATGTATAGACAGAGGTACTTAGGCTGTGCCTCACCTAACACATATTAGTAACCATTCTGCAGATAACTATAAGAAATGAAACATCACAAATTTGTCACTTCAAACATAAAGGGCATTTTGGCTTTATTTGAGTCACTTGCAGTTTCTATTGTTTCCTGATACATTAATTAATATCTACTGAATATGCAATGTACTGCACATTCAAATGACATACACCACACTTATAAAATATTATGACACACCATGTCAGGAAATATTCCAGAGTCACAGAAACAAACACAATAGTGGAACACACAGATCTCTTGGGTACCATCTAGCACATCATTTCATTTTTGTTTTAAGAGAAACATACAGTTATGAGTTACACCTGTCCATAATCTACTAGTCCAGGGGAAGAGTTTTGATAAATATTTCTGTACACTGGGGTTATACTGCAGTGGTAGAGCATTTGTCTAGCATGTGTAAGGTCCTGGGTTCAATCCCAGTAGCAATATACACATACATAAATTCTGTAGTTCGTGTGTCCTTTGTATTTAAGTACGTGCAATGTGCTTTTGTAAACAAGCTTGTGAGAAGAGGTGCAGCAGGATCCCCATACAGTGGTAGTAAAAGAGAAGCAGTCTTGGTCCCACTTCCCCAGAAGCAGAGCCTGAGGAGATTTTTGTGTAAGTGAATCATGGAAGGAGGGGCTGGGGATTTAGCTCAGTGGCATAAGCACCTGCCTTGCGAGCAGGCAGTCGTGAGTTCGATCCCCGGTACCGATAAAAAGGAAAAAGACCAAAAAACAAATAAACAAACTTATCATGGAAGGAGTCTTTCCAAAAAGAAAGGAGAGAAGTCACACAGAACGAGGAAAAGAAAATGAGAGAACAGTCGTTAGGCCAGCATCATTCTCATCCCATGGAAACTTTTGCAACACAAATTCATTACAGGTGTCGTTGCTACCTCAAGACAGAGGCCAGCCTTGTGCACCTGAACCTGACCATCATTCTCTCTAGGACACAAGAATAGGCTGCCTAGAGCACTTTGGATAAGAGCAAATTCTGAAAAGAGGAGCAACCAAGTGTTATTATGGGCCAACATATAGAGCATTTGGGGCAGACCTAGAGAGCCCCAACAGCATCCACTGGAAACACAGAACTCAAAAAAGTGTACTTGAAAAGGCAGTATTTTTTCAAATTATAATTATACATTAAATCCAAAAAACTCAATGATAAGTAACAGGAAGTTGTAACTGTCCAGTGAGGAGGACCTCTGCTGAACCAAAGAACATCGTAGTTCAACAATGATCAAGAAGTAAGCATTGGGCTGTCAGCAAAATAAAATCGGATGAAGCCAAACTATTTATGAAACATTATATTTCTCTAGAAAGATGCCTATTTAATCACAAAACATTGTTCCTTCTCTTTGCTCCTAAACTGAAAATGGTCAGAGATCTCCAATAGAATTTTAAATTCCTCCAATACCATCTTGAATCTAGATTTTTGTTCTGCACTGCCTGTAAAAAATAGCAGCTATTGGCTACATTATTTTATCACCTAAACTATAAGTAAAATATCTTTACAGCAAATAACTTTTTATGATCACAAAATTACTGTTCTAAATTTCTGTGTATTTACAATCCTAGGGACTAGAAGGGCTAACATTTAATTTCCAACCACATTTTGCTAGTGATAAAATATTTGGAAAGAGAGAAATAAAAAATAAAAAAAAGAATAAATGACAAAGCTATCCTTGTTATTTAATGATTTTTAATGGAAATCTACCGATGTGGAATATTGTTCAGATCCTTTAATGATGTACATGAGAAACAGTGAAAATATACACATGAAAGCCCTTTTTTTTACAAATCAACTGAAAAATACTTACATTTGTATTATAAAAGTCTTCATTTTTATAATGCTTAATAAAATTTTACAGAAATTAGTTATTTTAATATAGCAACACTTTTAAGACCTATAACATGGAAAAGGGAGAATGGAGATCTGTAAAGATGGGAGAAAAAACTGGGTTTTGATATATTTTACCTTATGTCAGGCCTGTGTATATATATTTTAGATGGTTCAGTAGTGTCAACCAGTCGTATGTTCTTCACATAGATTGGATGCTGTAAATCTTCATTTAAAGGGTTTGTCATGAATATCACATTAGTTTCTCCTGAACAAACATTCTTAAATCCAACAAATGTTGAACCTAAAGCATTCAAGAAAAGTAATTATTTTCGATGCAGCAAGTAGAATTTCACTACATTGTGTTGACTTAGGTTTCTTCAGTTGTGAAAAGGGAGCTGTAATATATAATCTTACACAAAAGAATATTTATAAAATATCAATTAATATTACTATAAATATCAATTAATTAACATTAAATCACTATACCAGTGGGGTTTTTTTCCTGCTGCTCTGAAAAAAAAATTAAATGTCATTTTTTAATATATCAAACTTTTGCCAGGGAACCAGTCTAGAAACAGACTTCCATATCTGATTCTTTTTCTTGCCATATTGAGCGTATTCATATAGAAATTCATTTATATATGTTTACTAACAATGAAACGTTGATTATATCATACTTTACATAGTTCTCAGAGTTCTCATAGTTCTCGCTGAGTAGGTTTGTGAAACAATGTTTAAACTTGCCCGAGACATCCAGGTGGCCACTGATAGCATTGTAACTCATGATCCCAGCGTGGGGCTTCCAGGGTGCCATGTTGTGAGCTGAAGCAAAGGTAGGCCAGCAAATTCCACTTCTTCCGCCTTTTCCCCAACCCCAGAAAGAAGAGAAGAAAGTCAACACAACTCGAATACGCATTCATACAAATGCCAATGATAAAACTGCAAATCTTCACCTGCTGGAGGTCTAGCACTGCGATGTGCACCAGTGAGTTCAATATTGGGGTCATCATCGCGTAGGACGTCAGAGCAGTTAAATTCAGGGCTACTTCCAACAATTAATGTGCTCTGTTTAAAAACGTCAAGCAACACAGCATTAATAATAACTATTCCCAGCCGGAATGGTGGTGCATGCCTATAATCCTAGCACTCAGGAGGCTGAGGCTGTTGCAAATTCAAGACCAGCCTGGGCTACAAAGTGAGCTCAAGGCCAGCCTGAACTGCGTAGTGAGACCCTGTCTCAAACAAATAAATGAAACAACTCTTCCTAAGAAACATAATAATGAATGAATAACACAATTGTACTGTAGCAAGGCAAATACTATACATTTGGGAAGTGGAACATGCATTAAACAAAGATAAAAATGTGATTCTGACTTGCTAGAATGACATTCAGAGTGAGAGGGAAAAAGACAGACAGGCAAATCTTTCTGAAAACGATGTTACGTTCCTTTAATAGAAATATGTCCAGAGAACAATAGGCACAAAAAACAGAGAGAATGCCTGTATTACTATGCCGTTTTAAGGAAACCTTCAAGGAAGGAGTGAAACTTTAACTGTGTTGCAAATGCAGTAGGTGATAAGCAGAAGAGGTGGGGGAAGTGCAGGAGAGCTGAAGGGATGAGGGGATTCCTGGCCCAGAGTGCGGGGGCCAAGGCACAGGGCTGTGATGTAGAAAGAGACGGAACACAAGAGATTACTGTTACTTGTCTTTCAATGACTTCTCCCTTCTCAGAGGTGCTCCTTGTCCTTCTTCATGTCTTACCTCCACCTTCACTGTTTTACTGGAAATTTTGTGAGATACAGCAGGTGGCATGTAAATCATTGAAAAAATGGCCATTCCATTGTCCACTAAGGTCACATTGTAGATGTGTACACGCTCTGTGGTCTGTAATAAAATACAGTCAGTTGAATAGTACCTTGGAAAATCATGAAAGAAAATCACCACCTTGAACCAAATTCACCTGAAAGTAAATTCCGTAATCCCAGCACATCCAAATGGTAAAGCCCTGAATAAGGGAACATCCAGGAAGGCCATCTTGGTTCATATAGACGCCATACAAACCCCCGTGCGCCTCATTGTCAAACCAGTTTTCCACAGGATTAGGCTGACCTTGGAAGACAACACAGAATCAGAGTTAACCTTGCAAGCCAAGTCAGATATTTTTAATAAACAGCATCAGTTAGTCAGCATATATAACAAATGAGCCTAACTGTGAAATCAACAGCAACGCTTGCTGTCTGTAAAAAGCTTCCCCTGTCCACCTTTAGTGGCCGGCTCTTTCTTGTCGCACTGTTTTCAAGACTCAGTTTCTTTCCCAGTCTACCTTATTTGAATTTGCACTTCAGTCATTTTGCATTGCAACTAAAATTGTTTAGTTGCTATATTTGCTATTTTGCAAGTTGTTCCTTCCCTCTTTTCTACTAGAATGTAAACTTCTGAGAGAAGACAGTGGTGTCTGGCTCATTCATCATATCCTTGCCTCCAAGAATGTAATACAGTAAACTGCTACCGTGTTTTGTAAAGGTTGCATCCATGAATGTGAGAAAGCTGTTTAACCTTTGAGAACTTCAGCTTCCTCCATGTCAAACATTTTAATGTCTAATTTATGACCATTTCATAATGAAATGAATAAACCATATAAGGTGCCTTGCAAATATTTTCAATGAGAACTGGGCTCATTACTAATATGTCCTGTAATAAAAGCAGATTTTAGTGCAAGTTTTACTTATATCCAAATTGGATCAGTAACGTTACTAATTCCTCCCAAAGTGTGCACAATTTGGAGGGTTGTCTGTAGAGAGCAGTATCTCTTCCTAGAGCTGTCTTGCTTGGAATCTGGGTGTCTTATTTCCTCCTATCTTCCATCGATTTTCCCTTCTTCCCAGGCCTTTGGATTTTGTACATTATTTATGATCTGCCTGGGTTTTATTTTACTCTGCCATAAGAAGATGACTGTATTTCTGTCCCTGAATCTATACAAGGCCATGACAAATCGCCGCTGTTCCCTTTCCAAGCATCCCAGCCTCTTGTTGGGATAAACAGAGAAGCATTACTGGAATTTAAGCTTCCATTTCTCTGTGATGTTTCATATTTCAATTGCTGTAAATCCAAAATCTCTTTTTAAACATACTCAGTTATGTAGTAATATCAATGTAGTCATTGAAATGTAACACATGATGTTACAACTATTAATAAGTATTTATATTCAAAGATTATATATTGATTTTCAAAAAACCATAACAGCTTCAAAGAAATTACAGATTTTAAATTTATGTGTCAAAAAAAAGCCACTTCAAGTGTTTGTGAACTAAAATAATGAGGGATGTTTCAAGGAATCAGTTAATATTTGACAAAGTTATTTTATTCTTCATATGCATTTGGCATAAGTATAAAACTAGCTTAACTCCAATTCATTTCAAACTGAGAGAAAAATACTTATTCAAATAAATTTAAAAATAGCTATTCAGTAGCCATCATACTAGTGCAAACAGGTAAATCTTATGGCACAAAAATTATAGCTAGTGAAACTTGAAAATAACACCACACTAAAATATTTTAAAACCAAAATCAACATTAAAGGAACAAATTTTTCTAAGAAAAGTTTCATTTCACTGAAATTCCTTTGAGTTTCTCAAGGGGCAACACTGAAGTTTTGTATCTTATTTTGCTTTTCAAAAATTGGTAATAATATGTGTTCATGGTTAAAAATTCAAGAGCTTATAAAATAAGTTCCTAAATCCCTTTTTATGTAAATATAAACCCACACGAAATTATATTTTTTCTTCCTTTCCCTTACAAAACGTATTACAGCATATATGGATTATACACACAACAACATCCCATGTAGTGTTCCATACCCTCCATTTAGCATTTAAGAATATCTTGGGGTTTTCTCAATATCAAACATAGGCACTTTTGGCTTTCTTCGCTAGCAGGTCCCAGAGTTTCAGTACTTAGCTTTGTACAACAAAGCTACCATTCAGGGACACAGGGTGGCTTTCAGTGGTCTGTGAGTACTGATGATGACTTGATGAATACCCTTGCTTATAAATCATTTCTTAATCGCATAAAGACAACCGTTAACTAGAGTAATAGAAGTAGAAGGTCAAAGGTAAATTCACATATAATTTTGGTGGATTCTCTTATATAGAGATTATTTCATTTTGTCCTTCAATCAGTAATGTGTACATTTTCATTTCCCTACAGCCCTGCCAAAGAGATAGATATTTGATTAGTTCTTAATTTTTCCTAAGCAAAAGAGAAATATGTCTGAGAACTATTCATGTTCCTTGAATTTTTATGCATGCAATTTTAAATATATAAATAGTGGGCATTTTTCCTACTAAAGCAGAGGTGTAAAATAATGTCCTTTGCCTGCAGGCATAAGTGTCTCTATGCTAAGAGCCTGCATTAGTGAAAACACAGAGGATGAAGCACTCAAAATTCCAGCGACAACCACATCAAGAACTGAGGTTACCACTGAATTTTTTGGATTATAAACTTGAAAAACAGTTTTCCTTAAAAACTTACCCACTTTTTTCAGATCCAATATTAGTTTCCCTTACTGAGTTCTTCTGGTGTCCAGAAAGAAGAGATATCATATATCGAACCAGCAAAACATAATTATTCATTTCTGCACATGTGGACTAGTTGTTTACCTGCCTATTTTAGTATTTCTATGCTAAGGGAAAACTAACTTACTTGAGCAAGGTTCACCATCAATGCGGTATCCCACTCTTCCAAATCCAGCAACCACATTATTTTGTAAAACTGTATTAGTTCCTCTGTTTATCTGACAGAACGATAAAGAAAGAAAATACTTTGGGTGAGGCAATTGCACAATTACACAATGAGAGCAAGTGTATGACACCGTACCTGTGAAAACCTTTAATTCTGATCATAATTGTGGGAGAAAAATTCTAATTGTTTGCTGAATTCAAATATATTACAACCAACGTATTAAAGTTATACTAACTTCTTTGTGTAAAAACCATCACTAGGTATTATATCCTCAGTAGCCCTACATCCTTGAACTGCATTAAAGAAATGTTTTGTTTTTAATTTTGGCCACAAAATCTACTGAATGTGATTCAAAACTTTACAAGTCATATGCCAAATTTCAGGAAGGTTACAAAAATTTTTGTGACTCCTTTTATAGTTTGTTACCAATTTGTTCTATTAAGACAACTAAAGCAATTACAGTGGATGTAGGATTCGATGGTGATGCTCATTAATTTAAGTAAATCTGCTGTAATCAATAACTAAGTTAGTACAAGTGATGAGTATACTAAATAATTTCATTTTATCGCCCAAGTCAAGGTGACAGAAGATGAAAGTAAAGATCAGAGAAATATTCAGTTCTTGGTTACAGAGTCATCAAAATAGTCTCAATTATTTCAGGTACAGTACACACCCTACTGTTAAAACTGGCAAAGAAAAGGGTCAAATGGAATTCTTAAGTGTAAAATGAGTGTCTTCTTTCAACAGCTTAGATAACTTTAAAGATGAGGAATTGACATGTGGCTGCAACCTAATAACTCAGGTATAATAAAAAAGAATAGTGAATGATCAAATCTTTAACAATTATTACAGTAAAAGACATACAGCCATTGGCTCCCCTCAAAATACTCCTCCTTACTTCAAATACAATTACCCTATCTTTCTTGCCCCTTTTTAAAGCAGTCTTTTAGTTGGGCTATTGTGGGTGCTTAATGTCCTGAGTCAATTCAGAACATTTACTTTTCACGATCATTTTGACTTTGGTGAAAATGATGAATCTGGTGAATAAGATGGATGAAGACACCCTGTGATGTTTGTATCTGACAGAAATTGTCACAAATGTTTGATCAATGAGTTGTGACTGAAAAACACAAGCACATGCTTGAATTTTAAAAATTTATCACAATAAAAGGCACATTGTCATAATTTCCTTCAAAATACCTCCCTTGGTAGAAATACACTTACCCCATCTTTCTTGACAAATGCCTTTTACTGTAACAGGTTTTTTTCTTTTAATTTAAATATTCATTGTGCGTTGGAATCATCCTTGGTGATAGCTCAAGTGAATATTCCTCCTCCCATATGAGGGCTAAATTCTAGCTTTTTTTTTTAACCTTACACTAATAAGGTGCACCAAGTCCATGTTCAATTCTTATCCCATCTTTTAAAGGGAGTAAAAACAAAAAGCCCACGCTTGTCCAAACTTCTCGGCGTACTTACTATTTTCTTGTTGTCCCAATTTATATCTAAGCCAACACTTAAAGTGACTGAAGAAATTTCACTGGAAACAAGAAGGGTCCGATTAATAACATCTAACAGTGCAACTAGTCAGTTAGCACAGGGAAATCCTGTGGTGCTACCAGAACTTGAAGGTGGTAAGTAATGTTCGTGATGAAAGCAGTTAAGAGAACAATATAAACTCTGGTCATCCTTAGAAAGACAAAGAAATGGCTATTAGAGTTAATTACACACTTTCCAAAGTCTGCTCACTCCTTCCCGTTAACTTGTTTCATTTGGTTATCAGTACTTAAAGGATAAAACCATTTGCAACAATATTTCGAGATTTACAATTTCTGTAGAAATGATGATCATAAATGACAACTACAAATTTGTTCTCACTACCTCGATTGCTGCATGCCAGAGGGTGGAACTTGAATCTTTTCTGTTCTGATAGGTTCCTGGCCAAACTGAAAGTGCCACCAGGTTTCTTCGGACTCTGTTGGCATCCCCCCATACTCTGATGCCTGTAATAAAATATAAGAAGAAAGATCCCCAGAACACAAATATTAATTTGTAGTTGATGCTGCCAGTGATGTCTCTTTTTTTCATGAAATTATTTTTGTACTTTGAGCCTGACAGATGCTTCCCTTAGATTTTTTAAGAGTTAAGAACAGAAGCCAGGGCTTTGAACATAGTGGGTATGCGCTGTGCTACTGGGCTTCAACCTCGCCTTTTCAGCTCTGCTAATTGACTCCTCCTTTATTTTATTTTACTTTGGTTCTGCAAATTGAACTCATGACCTCACACTTGCCAGGCAGGTGCTGTGCTGCTGAGCTATATCCCTAGCTACACCCCCTTTCATAAACGACTTGAATTAGATTCTTCTGGGGTGCTTATAAACCCGGTGGGTTTACAGCCTGCACTTCTGATTTTAACAAATACATACCTATCTCAGGAAACATACTTAAAATCATACATTTTTTTAAATACTATAACTTTTGGAAGGAATAATTTTTGTGATGATATGTGAGGAATATTTTGAAAACCAAAATGTAAATGCTTAGTTACTAGCTAACTCACGTTCGGTCATGGTCTGGTAATAGTTCTGTGCTATGAGACTGCACTGTCCAATTGCATAGGAATAGACACATGTGGCCATTTAAATGTAAATTAAGTACAATTAAATTAAATATAATTAAAATTAAAAATTCAGTTCCTCAGTTATACTAGTCACAATTCAAGGGCTCATTAGCCACATGTGACTTGGTGATTACCATATTATGCAAATATAGACCATTTCTATCCTCACAAAAAGATTAATTGGACAGTATGGCTTTACAGATAATACTGCCAGAGAAAGACATGTTATTTGAAGCAAAATATTATGATGTTACCTTCTCCCACCGTGAAGTGGATAACGTTGTCATCTATGTCCACGCCATCTGTGCCAAACACGCCGATTGCTGGGGAGAAGCCGTGATGAAAGGCACAGCCCCGAATGTAAGATGAGCTGTGTTCCTGAATCTATAAAACACGACACTCAGAGAGCATTTGAAAAATAAAATTGAAGTGTGTTTAAAGCAAAGGAAGAAGTGATTTTTAGTAAAACATTTATTAATTTTCAATTTGCTTTCTCTTACAGGAGATGATTTCCTAGTAGGATTTTAATCAAGGAAAATTTTCATATCATCTTGAATTTATAATTAAATGACACAAAAAAATGCTTACTTTAAATGCACATTTTAAAAATCTCATGCTTTTGTATGCATATATATTTTACTATTACCTATAAAGTGCTAATATTTGTCTTCCCTTTTTTGATAGGACACAGATATTTGACACACTTGTCATTTGAGAAACATAAGTAAAAATCATTCTGCTGGAAACTGTTATTTACTGTGTACCATAAAGTGGAGATGTGAACCACTATCACAGATCTTTAATTCTGTTTCTTTTCCTACAGTTTTTTACTCGCTTTGAATAAATGCATGAAATGAAAAATCACATGCTGCTAGATGTCTAAAAAAGAAAGTTTTTATCATACTAGATTATAAATTCATCTGTGTAAAGACTTGGCTACTTAGTTTTAAGTTAAAAGAAAATAAAACTATTTTGTCTTCAACAGAAGCAAAAATTAGAGTACGAACCTGTCCTAGGTTAAGAAATGTCACTGCGTATCTTGGATCTGTGCTGTCCCTGAAGCCTTCTTGACCACTGTGATAAAATTCAACATTACTTATTCTTGCATTTCCTGGGGAAAGGAAATATCAGAAAGAAATTTCCTAAAACAAATACAATAAAACATTTTAAAAAGCTACATAAAACTGTTCATATTTTTCTTGTAACCTGATTCATTTTTATTTGCTTCTCAGAAAGGCAGTATTTCCCATTTTTGCCTTCTTAGACATTTTCTCAGACTCTCCCATAAAATTGTAAAATTTTAGTTGTACAGATGTGTTATATATTTATTAATGCAAAGTGATCTTTTGAAGAACTACAAACCATTGTATAAGCTAAGTACACTTATCATCAGGGATCAATTTTCTCTGAGGGTAACATGGCCCTCCTGAAAATATACACACAAAACATGAAGCAAAGTTTGAGATTTCAATTTGGATGCCATAAAGAGTTTTTAAGGTTGCTATCTTTCAGCAAACCTTTTAATATGTATTGTCAATTATTCACTGACCAGTTTGTCATAGCACCACTGAAGTGACATGAGATAACTTTATAGATTAGTGATAATAAAATAATAATCCATGAGCAGCTATTCGGTACCAAGTGGCTATACTAAATGACTAACAGGCAATATGAGGTTTAATTCTATAAAATATTCTATGAGTTAGGAGCTTTTATTATACTTAATTTCTAGAAAAAGAAACTTGGATCCAGTGTGAATATTCCTTGTTTCAAAAATTTAGTATTAATAGGTTGCACTGGAGAAGTCATTCTGTACTAGAAAAAAGTCTGTCTTGAAATTCATGAGCCAATTTTGAATACATAATAAAGAACATAATAATCAGAAATGATTACAGTAGACCAACTGGCATAATCAACCAATAGAACCTTGGCAACAGATGTGGGTTTTTAAAATTTATATCACAAAACAATTTATAGGCACAAGAAGAGGTTGTCTTGAGAGTAGAGCCTGTGACAAAATTTGAAGTAAGATAGATACAGATTAGTATCTAAGATAAAATCAGTTTCACCCTTTGAAACATGGATTTCTTTATTTTTTAAAGAAGAGTAATATTTGTGAAGATTATGGAGATTAAATGACATAATATGTGTTTAGTGCTCAGGACAGAGCCTGTTATCACAATCATTATTATAATTGTCATTCTCATCATAAGCTAAACTTCTGTTGACTGATTATGATCAAACTTATATTGGGATAGCCTTCTGTACAATATATAGATCTTTTTCCAACATTAAAAGTGTTGCAAAATGGAATAAGATATAATAATTGTCAATGTTCTTCGATCTATGTTTGAAATATTTCAATATGAAATACATGTGGTCACTTGCGTAGAATCCAGGAGCTTGAAGACAGTGGAGGAGGCATGGATAAAACAAGCCTAGTCTAAGCTGGTAACTGGTGAGGGATGATGGACATTTGAATTTATGTTGCTTTCTGTGTTCTCGGTGTATGTCTGAAATTCTAAATACATGCAAATGACAACAGCAAAACAACAGATGATTTGTTGTACATGTTATAAGATGATTTCTATTTTGGTGAGAAGTTACCAAAAGTCACTGTTAGTTTGAAATTCTTATTGTGTATGAAAATAGAATAAACAGCCAAGACTGGTAGAATTAATTTGAAGAGTAGTACGTAAACTGCAGGAACACTCTTAATGCTTTATTATCCCAAGTAATCCTATGAAGTAAAAATTATTTAAGAACTCACAATTGAAGAGGCAATGTCATATATAATTTAGAAAAATATGTTGAACTTATACCAACCTTTAAAGGTCATCATATTTCCAGTGAATGAGCCAACCAGGATGCGTGCACCAAAAGAGTCCCTGGACGAACCAGGGTAATCTTCACCAACTATTTTGATGTTCCTACTTAGTAATCCAACATCCGCAGCTAAAATGTAGTTCTGACCTGTTTCAGGGATATAGTATCTTTTGGCTGAAACAGAAGGACAGACAGATCATTGCCCATGCTGAGAAATGTGCCTTTATCAGATTCTTGGCACTTAATATGCCAGACAACTTCTTGCAAAAGTCCATTAATTCCATAGACTGATTAGATTTACTTGATTAAACATATATAGGTAATAGAACTTAACATACTCCTAGTTAGAAACTAAAACACAACCAATATATACCTTTGTTCTCTTTAGACCTGCACTCAGCAATTATAGAGTTACTGCCTAACAAATCTCAAAGGGAGTTTGCAACCAGTACAAATTATGCACAAGATTTGCTGTACAACAAATTGAGAAGCTTACTGTGCTTTTAATAGATGAGGAAACAAAGTAGAGAAGTAAAAACAAAACAAAACAAAGACTTCTCCAAAGCCATGAGGAGAATCAGCAACACCAATATCATTTCCTAGATAACTAACCATTATTTATTCCACTTTTCAAGCACAATTCATTCGAAATATAAACTAGTATGTCAAACACAATGTGCACATTTATAACTTTTTAGTGTTGGTATATATTTGTGATACATCATAATTAAATTCATCTTAAGGAGTTGGTAGCTATACAAATTGCATAGTGATTATTTGTTACCTCTACTTTCTCTACCTAACCTCCCCTCTCCCCATTTCTCCAGACACATCTCTCATCTCCACAGTCTATTTCCCTGTTCCCTACTGTGTCTCTTTCATTTTACTCTTTAAATTACTTATACTTTGGGTCTCTCAAAGAAACTGCAATACTTAAGTTTTTATATCTCAAATTTATCCTTCTTTATGACTAAGTGGTACTCCACTGTGTGTATATACAAATATATGACATTTTCTTTACCTGTACATATGTTAATTGACATACAGCCTGCTTCCATAACTTACCTACATGAATTGTGCTGCCGTAAACATGGGTGTACAAGTATTTCTATATTACTTTAACTCTTTCAGATGGATACCCAGAAGAGATATACCTGGGTCAAATGAAATTTCTATTTTTGGATTTTTGAATACTCTCCATACTGATTGCTATAGTAATTTTATTAGTTTATATTCACACCAACAGTGTGGAAGGGCTCTTTTTTCCTTACAACTTTGCCAGAATTTATCCTTTTTTAAAACCCTTGATAATAACCACTTTCATTAACATCTCAGTGTTGTTTTTGATTTGTATTCAGGTGATTATTGGTCATTGGTAATTCTTCTTTAAGAAGTGTTTATTCATTTAAATTGCTCAGTTTTTGATTGGCTCTTTTGATTTGGATCTTACTCTTTTGAACTTTTCTATATTTTATGGATCATAATCTTCTATCTGAGCAGTAGCAGAAAAAATTGTTTTTCCATTGTGAAGGTTGTTAACTCCATTGCTTGTTATTTTGCTATGCAGAAGCTTTTAGATTTGATATAATCCCATTTGTTGATTCTTGTTGTACATTTTGTGCAGTTGTGGCTCTGCTCAGGAAGTATATTCAGTTATGAATTTCCATTTTAGAACTTTTTCATTGCATCCCAAATGTTTGGATATGTTATCCTGGCATAGTCATTTGACTCTGGGAGCTTTTTAATTTTTCCCTTTTTTCTTCTGTGGCCCATTGATTATTCCAAAGTGTACTATTTAGTGCCATTAGTTTCTATGACTTTTGTTGTGTTGATTTTTAGTTTCACTGAGCCATGATCCAATACTGTGCAATAGATTTATTGCAATTTATTTGTATTTATTTAAGCATATTTTATGGCCTCTTTTTGAGAAAATTCCATGTGCTAAAATCATATATTTTATTGATGTTGGGTGAAACAGTCCATAGAAATCTGTTAAGTTCATTTGTTCAGTCAGTGATATGGTTCAACCCTAATGTTACTTTGCTGACATTTTGTCTCATTGACATGCCTATTTAAGTGAATGGGGTACTGAAAACCCCCACCACAGTTGTATTGGTGTCCATCTGTCTTAGTTACTTTTCTTGTTGCTGAGACAAAATACCTAACTCTCAAAATTAAGGAGGAAAAGTTTACCCAACACATGATTTGTGGAGGTTTCATTATGTAATCAGCTGGCTCCAAGGCAAGGTGGCATGACAGAGGAGCAGCAGTTGCTGGCGGTAGAAGACTTCAAAAGCAACAAGAGCAAAAAAGGGAGAGCGACCCTCTTCTTCTTCCTTATGCTGTTTGCAAGCTACCTGCCCTAGGGCAAGTATAGCACTCACACCGCTGATCCCAGCATTAGAACATGAATCAATCACAAGCTCTAGATTTAGTCACCTCCAAAAAGCACCACCATGACCACATGAGGCTTTAGGGGGACACCTAGACACAAATCATAACATTCTGCCCCCGGCCCCCCAAAGACTCATGCACATCCCTTCGTGTAAAAGAAATTTAGTCCATATCTAACAGTTGACTAAATCCTAATAGTTTCAGTATTGCTGAAGAGTCCAAGTTCCAAGCCTCCTCCAAGATGGAAGGCAAACTCTTAGCAATGAGCCTCTGTATAAAGGAAAAGAAAGTTAAACACTTATAAAATTCAGTGGCATAAGATGAACACTACCATTCCAAAAGTTACAAACAGGAAAATACAAAGAAATGGTACCAAAACAAGCCCAAAATTGAGCAGGGTAAACATTAAGTCCTGGAGTTTCACATGCTGCATCTCATACAACCTATGACAAGTGTACTCTACAAGGTTTGGGTGACTCCATCCCTATGAAATTTCTGTTGGTTGTAGCTCCCACAGCTTCTCTTTTGGGACTGCTTTATTCCCTCCTTGCAGTTTTCCTCAGATGATGCATGTTCCTGGCTTTTCCAAACTTTGGAGCTCTCCATTGGGCCTTTGGCTTCACACTCACAGCTTCACACATTGCCCACGCAGGGGCAGAAAGCCTGGTCTCCTAGCCTTCTGATTTTGAGGGGGAAGCCTTTTTAACCTTAAAACTCTTGCATCATGCAAGTACCTAAAACCAGTGCCATGTGGATGCTGCCTAAGTCTGCTGCCAGTTGGAGCAGTACTGAGGCTTTTCTTTCTCTTGCCTATAAGGATTAAGAACCTGGATCTCTGAGTACTCTGAATCCAATTCTGAGGAACAAATTATCTAGGTTGCCACCATTGTGGGACATAGTGCTCTGTAGTTTTCTTCTCATAGCAATTTTTTTTAGGTTGCAAAAGGCGGTGACTTGCTGCTTCTTGTGATGCCCACAAGCCATCTTTTTGTATTCTCCTCTTCCTTCTCAGCAATCAAGTTCTCCTCTGCTCTACTTTTGATGAACACAGCTTTATTGGAGCTTCCTTTTTGTCAAACTCACATTTTAAATCACCCTACTAGGCTCTCTTCCTTTTTCCCAACATAGATCTGGCTAAAAGTTCCAAAAAGCAGCCATGCCATAGTCTCAATATTTGACTGCCTTGAAATTTCTTCTGCCAGGTTAATTAGTCCACCACCCTTAACTCTGTCTCAGGAAAAGTTTCTGTACATGAGCAAAGTGCAGACAAACTTTGTGCCATGCCAAAACACATATTGGTTGGAGTCCAACAGCCAATGCAGTACTTTTTCCCAGCAGAAATCTCATAAATATGGTCTTTACTGATTTTATGATCTGTGTTCTGATCAGAAGCTCCCATATAGAACAAGGAATCTGCTAAGGTGTTCCTGATCTACTCTTTCAGGTGACATATCAGGACCATTTTAGATTCTTCCATTACAAGCCAAACTCTTCCAATAAAAGCCGTTCACAAAGGCTCTTGATCCACACGGTCAGGTATTACAGCAATGACCCCACTTCTTGTACCAATTCTGTGTGCTAGTTTTCTCTCTCATTGCTGGAACAAAATACTGGACACCCAAATTAAAAAGGGAAAGGGTTTTTTTAGCTCACAATTTGTAGAAGTTTCAGCCCATAATTGGTTGGCTCCAAGGCAGGATGGCATGGCAGAGGGGCAACTGTTCAAGGCGGCATAAAACAGCAAAAGCTAAAAGAGCACAAAGCGAGGGGTGATCAAAACTGTTCTCCTCCCTTATCCTGTATGCAGGCTATCTACCCTGAGGGAGTGTAGCACTCACACTATCTCAGTGCCCTCCTCTTGCACTTGTTCAGGATGTTTACAAAGAAAGATCCCTAACTGCCTGCTGAGACACATAGTTAAGCTTCTGACTTTTCAAGTTGACACAGTGTATCAAGCATTACACCATCTGTTCTTTTATATCTGGTAGTTTTTGTTTTGGGACATTAAGTCTACCAACATTTGGTGCTTAAATATTTACAATTGTTATACCTCACTATTTAATTGGCCCTTGACCAGTGTGTACCAACCTTTTTTACTCTTTTGATCAGTTTTGGCTTGAAGTCCACTTTGTTCAAAAATAAGATAGCTACTTTTGCTTGTTTTTAGGTGTGGTTTACATGTAATATTATTTCCTACACTTTCAACGCATTTTTTTTCTGAGTATGAGGTGTGTCTATTGTAAGCAAACATATGGTTGAATTTTGTTTTTAATTCAGTCTATCAGTCTGTGTCTTTAGATTGAAAAGTTAAGACTATTTCATCGAGTTATTATTGAAAGGTGTCTATTGAATTCTAACATTACATTATATCTCCATTGATTTTAAAGGATAATTTTGCATGATACAGTAGTCTAGTTTGGCACTAGTTTTCTTTGGAGGCTTTGAAAATTTTTCTTCGACCTCTCTTGGTTTTTAATATTTTTGTTGAATATTCTGCCATTATTCTGATACACTTGCCTTTATAAATTATCTGATACTCCTCTGTAATAGCTTACATTTTTTGTGCCAACTTCTAAGGTTTTGGTGATGATATTTCATGAAGAGATTCTTTTCTGGTCACTAAATTTGGATTCTGTAAGCCTTATTTTCCTTGATACTGAATTCTTTCCCTAAGTGTGGAAAATTTTCTGCCATAATTTTGGAAAATATATTTTTATATATTTGGTGTCATCTTCTGACCTTCCCCTAACTCCTATACTATATTAAACTCCTATATTAAAAAGGTGTTGTTTTTAATCATCTAGCAGCTGTTGGATCTGGTTTTCATAATATCTTTTTGGGGGGTATCACTGAGTGCATGATCTATTGCATCTACCCTATCATACTCTGTCAGTCTTCTATCAGAGTGGTCAGAAAGACCAACTATAATAAGAAAGCCCATACTTTCGACTAAATTTTTAAAATCCATAAATTTTTCATGTTTTCATAATGTCTAATTCTTGCATTATCTTCTTTAATTTAATTTGAATTTTTTCCTCTTCTGTAAGCTCATTAAACATTTTATTAATTAGATCTTTTATCCATTCATTTACATTCTCTATATGCTCACTACAGATCATATGGATATGCTTATTAGTTTCTCTTTTGACTTCTTTAAACATTTTAACATTTTAACCATTTGATTTTTGAATTCTTTGTGCATTCATTTCTTTACTTTGCGAGATAAGCTTTTGGAAGAATTAAGAGTTTTTGGAGGCACCTTATTGCCTTGTTTTCTCGTGTTTTCATTGTGTGTGTGTGTGTGTGTGTGTGTGTGTGTGTGTGTGTGTGTGTTGAAAGCTGAGCAGTAATGAGGTTGTAAAACTGTTGGCATCTTGGAGATTTCTTTAGTCCGTTATATCTTCCTGCCATGTGACTTTGGTGCGGTTAGGTTCTGATGGATTTGCACCTATTCAGTCCACTCCTATAATAATAGGATCAGTTCCAGTCAGTCTGTTGTAAGGAGAAAACTGCTGTTATCTTTTTTGTTTTTTACACATTTTGGATTTTATTACTCCTTAGTGCTTATTACTTTTTTGGGGGGGGGAGAGAATACAGTCAAATATGGCAAAACAGAGCTGTCAGTCAAAACCAAGGATAGACATAGCACATGATGTAGAACAGAGTACAAGGTTATCAACAATGGTTATCAACGTTGTCTCTTGTTTCCTTAAAAAGAATTGTCTATCTCATTAGATATTATAAAGTTGGACAAAACAGTAGAGAACAAGACCAATAAAACTTAGGCATTGTAAACATTACAGGACTTCCAAAGAAGACAATAGTCAAACCAGAATGGGCATCTTAGTGAATCTTATTGCCTTCAAAGTAGTTGCCTAGATCCTCAAATTTGATACTATCATACAGAATGGAACAGAGTCTAATCAGTCAAAACAAGATCGTGGGAGTATTACGGGACTTCAAAACAAGTTAGTAGAAAATCAAAAAGAGACCGCTGTTATCTTTTACACCAGCACCTACAGAACCAGTAAATTACATCATTCATATGGTTTAAAACTTGTTTTGACAATCTTGATCTGTTTTTAATAATGTGGAAAGACTGTAATGATAAGTACTAACTATGCATAGAGGTTGAGGGGAGGAAAAAGAGGAAGAAAATAGGACTTTAGGGTGATTATTTTTATGTCTAGAATGTAGGGCAGAGGAAGTGATGGTTTGAGAGATTATCTACAGAGACAAGGAAAAGAAAAGTTGGAAGAGAGAATAATTGGATATTGGGCAAAGATGTAAAAAATTTTAATATGCTGACAGACACCTTGTATTTAAATCTTCCATATATAATTTTAGTGAGGTTCACCCTAACATGACCATGAAATGTAGTATTTAAGTTCATGACTTACTGTTCTCTATTTCACATACACAAACACCTTTCATGCATAAACCAAAATAAAAGGCAAAACTCCCACAAGAAAAGACTCTTCTTAGTCCTGTTTATACTTCAGTTTCAGTTTGACTAGGGTTCTCATACCTCTTAGTTACCAAATGCACAGACTGTTTTGTAGCAGTTCTTCTGGGCTGAGTTCCAGGCTTCTGTGACTGTGGCTTAGCCTGGTGCTTGAGCTGGTCTTGCTCTTTCCTGTGTTTGCTCTTTGCCTACCAGTGAGTGGTGGAGTTTGGGGGAGAGTGGGTTCTGTGTGGACTGTGGAGTCTGGTTCTGGTTCCCTTTTGGCCATATTTCTGTTAGGTTTCAGCTGTGCTCCCGTGGACATTACTAGCTGGAGGATTCAGTCTCTGTCTTAGGAGCAGGCACCTTCCACTGTGTGAATTTGGGTGCAGCCAGCAAACTGGACAACACCTGGTCTTCCACTGATCTCGGGGGGCGGGGGTGTTCCCTGATCTCCCTTCCCTTCTGCAACAATCTCTGCAGCTGCTTACGTCCACTCTTCCTGTACCTCTCTTTGTAAAACATAACCTAAATTGCACTCTCAATCTCTAGAAATCTCATTTGAAAACTTTAGGCAAACAAGCTCATTTCAAACAGAAAGAAATGTTTGCTACCTTAAGTAAGAGAAACTATTGTCGATTTTTAAAAACATTGCTTTATAATTAAACCATTTTATAATGAATTATAATCTAATCATCAGTTCTTAAGTAAAGCTTTTTTCCTATGATTTAAAAATATATCACAGAGTATAATAGATACATGTGCTTCTATCAAAGCAGTGCTTGTAAAGTTCTTATAAGCTTCTTTCTCATAGATCAGCTGTCCTCTAGTCTACCCTGCTGTATCAGAGAGCAAACGCTTCTGAAGCTTCTAAAGGCTTTGCTAACTTTATTGCCCTGTCTGCTGTCACTTCCAGAGATAGGAGTGGAAGGAGCACGGTAGGTTCTGCTCCTATAAATAAGAAAGATCTTCCTCAGATGCTATGACTTACTTCTTTCACTTATTTTCCATCCTGAGAATTACAGTTATATTTTCACTGTAGCTTCCCTACTGGTCATTACAGCTGCAGAATGGTTCATGAAATGAATTACGGCAGCTTTTGATTTTGGTTAAATTTCATTATGCGTAAGAATCATCTAGAAGACTCCTCAGGAGACCCAAGTGCCAGGGCTTGACCTGTAGAATGTGCCACAGATGTTTGCTGAATATTTTCTGATTGAATAAATGAGTTCCTTCGGCAGGGATTATTGATGGACAACATACATAGTAGCTCATAGCTCTGGCTACCAGAGGCAATCTGGGTGAATTGCTCTGCTAAAATATTTATAATACATTTTATCAAAGAATTATAATTACAGGATAGAACACTGCAATGTGAACATTGCCAGACATTTTAACTATGCATCAATTTAGTTAATGAGCAGACACTTACCAAGGTGATTGTAGGAAAGGCTATCATTGAGAATGAGAATTTTGTGTCCATGCAGGATTCTAACAATACTTCTAGTTTCTGTCTGGTGTAAATCATAACTTGTGGTGGTTATCACAATCTCGTCTCCTTCCTTAGGAAAAGTCAGACAGCAAATTCAAGAACAATTTTAAAGATAGTCTTACATTTATTAGTAAGAACAATTAAATAATTCTAATTTAATTTATATTTGATTAGCAATCATATTATCAAATACAATAAATTGCATGTATATATTCAGTGTACATTTAGATTGTGTGTTTTACATTAAGAATTCTAAATTTAAAATTTACCAATTTTATTCTATCAAAATCTCTGACTTAATATGACATTATTTGATTACTACTGGGCTTTGGCATTTTTTTTTCCAAATGCTTAATGTGTAAAATCACAAACTAGAAGTGAGATGATAACTAGTTCAATAATAGAGTATATTTAAAGTAATCCCATTGTTTCTCTTTCAAGAGAACAGTTTTTTAGCTACAAACGCTCATATTTTTCTTTTATTAACAATTGCATATAGGGTTATTGTTTTCCACATATTACAAAGGACCTTTGAGACCATAATTTTTAAATGCTTGCTGCTGCTATTAGGGCATACTGTGCAAGCTAACTATAAAATAATCATTTCTCACCTAGTTAATCATTTGAGAAAATAAATACCCACGAGAACGGAGAAGAATGCTTGTTAAGTGGACTACATATGTGTACACCACAAAGCAGTGTCTCTACCTGCCAATCCACAGCATCCATCAGAGACAGAACTTTGGAACCTGCTTCTGCAGTTTCTGATAGTTTAGTCTTATATATTAAACGTGGAAGTCCATGAAGATCCAGCTCACCAAACACCCCTGCGGGAGAAAAGTGCTCCTGTTCACTCACCACACAGTTATAAGTGAGGCGGTCTTACAAAAGGAAACTGTTCACTGATATACTTCAATAATCAATTGAACACTTCAAAATGAATGAAATGAATTGAGATTACCTGCTCAGAACTATACGAGAAGCTTTTGACCTTTGACTCACTCCTAGGAATTTGGTCCATAGAAAACCAATCCAATATAAAGGATACACACACAAATCAGTATGTTTACCACAACATTGGAAAACTGAAATTAATCAAAGTATATATCAAAAGTTGAATGATGAAATAAATTTCAATGTACTAATATTGTGGAAAAATATTCTGTAAGCATTTATCTGAAAAGAAAAATGCTTAGAAAGAGATCTGGTTTAATCACATTTTAACAGCAGGAAATATGGCACTAACTAGTGTATATAACATAAATAAAGGCATGAGCAGGAACCAGGGGAAGCCGCTAATTTCCTCAAGGAGAATAGAACTGCAGAGAGATTTTTGTTGATACATTTCTGGGTCATTTGAAGAGTCACTTTTGCAAATAAAAACTAAACACATGCATTGAAATATTTGAATATTTGAATGTCTCCGGACGTTTGCCAGTGAACAGCTTAACCACTGAACTTTGAGTTGCTTCGACTGGGTATCAGTTTTACAAAGAGTACAGTGGATAAACGCTTATATGTCACTTCCAAGTAAATATGCAGTAACATTGATAATAACAGTTATTCACGGTGATGAAACTAACACTCTTTCCTGTTCTCTGCTCTCAGTTAGGAACATGCGTAGCACACCGCTGCAATCAGACAGTAAGGCTTGGCCGCAGCTCTGATTCAGCAGCGCAGAGCAGAGACAGCTGAGCCATGGATTATTCACTAAGACTAAAGGGTACGATGTGTAAGAAAGTGGTCTTTTAGGGGAAAACCCTGAAAAGAAATACTGTTTTGACAGAAGATTATGGAGAGAACCAGGTCAAAGATATAATGTAGAAACTTTAGTTTTGTAATAAATTACATTTTAGTTTAAAATATACACATCCATATTTCTATTTGGTGTAATGTCACATTAATTTCTTAAAATCTCTGCTAGTTTTGTAAGCCTTTACTACAAATAATTGTTTAAGGGGTTGGGGATTTAGCTCCTGCCTGGCCAAGTGCGAGGTCCTGAGTTTGAGCTCTGGTACCAAAAATCAAACAAACAAACAAAAAACAAGGAAATGTTTACAAAGCCTTCTTGCTCCCTACTACTGCAAACTAACTATTACACTTAATGCTCTATTTTCTACAGTAAATGCTCAAAACTTCCATGACACTTTTCATATCTGGAACACATACCTAAGACCTTTGCTCCTTGATTTGGTCCTTCTGGAAGAGCCCATTCTGGGGTAGAATGATTTCCTCGAAGAATAATCTGTAATTCTCCTTTAAAAGGATTATCTTCCCAGCCACCAATTAATCTACCTCCCTGCAGTGAAGCAGAAAATTATTAATATTTGAAAAATATTAATACACAAAAATGGAATTCAGAAGTCACTGGCAGCCTTCCTTAGCAGAAGTGAATGCATTTTGTTATAACACTATTGTAACAGGAAATGACTTCAGTTTAACACATTTATTTTGGTACAAGCAATCTTAAAGGATTCACCCTAGATCAAAGTCAGTATTTTTTTAAATTTTATTTAAAGAAAGACTAAGCAAAAGAGAAAGTAGGTAGAAATAATACGTACGTTCAGAGAAAAAAATAAACAGTAAGAAATCCCTATCTGTCGATTTACAAATAGTTGTTCAAGGTACAAGAGTGGAATATGCAAAGTGAGAATTCAAACAGTGAGACTGCAAACAGTTCTGTTCAACAGTCCAACAAAAACTTAGTAACATGGTTGTCACCCTATACACTTGAAAATGCATGCAGTTATCCATATCTTCATTCATGTTTAGATTAAACAAACTAAAGCACGTTAAAGTCATTCTGAACAAAGAATAATAGTACTGCTGGATTTCACACCATGACACTCTGTGATCAGCCTTTTTTAAAAATTTAATTTAAAGAAAAAGTCAATATTTTTTTAACTTTGTATTTTTTATTAGTACATGTTTGTCATACATATCGATCACATTCACCATAGAGAATCTGTACCTGGATATACTATATCATGATTCTTCTTCTTCTTTTCCTCTTTCCCCTCCCCATCCCTTCAACCTTTCTTCCTCCCCCTAATAATGTACAAGTGAGCAGTGTTTAACCAGCTCACAGTGCATGCAGCTGTCTATAGGATATCCCCTTCATGTCCAGGCTCTGCCATTATGAACCACTGTTGTTAACAGCAGCTTTCATTAAATGTCTGCTATTTTATGTCAGATGAATCTTTACATAGTTTAACCTGCACATTAAACTCATAACTCAGGGTTTTTATTCTTATTTCATAGGTAAGAAAGCTGATACTGAAAGCCTAGGTTATGCAACAGCCAACAGTGAAGTTAATGCTCAATTTTAACTTTAATTTACCTCCAAGCTTACACAGCTGACCAAAATATCATTTCCCTTCCAGCATCAAAGACTAGGTTTCTGGACTTTTCTCAAAAAAGAAAGAAAAAGAAAAAAACCACCACTTTTAAAAAATGGTACTAAGTAGCTTTTTGGTTAGGCCATTTTTTTCATGAATGATAATAAATGATGACAGGAAAATTAAACTGATTAATCAGTTAATGTGTTGAAGGCCCATCTGAGGTTTGTGGAAGAATGAGGTTATTGTTCCAAATAATTAAAACATTTATCCATTTGCCCCTGCTTTCATCATTCAATTTATATCCATTAGTGTTACGAAATACTGTTTGTATTCCTTTAAAAAAGGATTTAAATTCTTTGAAATTCTCTCCTCAAACTCCTAACGAGTCATTGTTTGCTGGAGCAAGCTCATTGTTTAGCTTTATTGAAAAACAAGACAAAATTTTAAATAGAACAGAACCCAGGAAAACCTTACACTTAGGAGTATCTTGATAATTACTCCTCAAAGAAAGGTAAGTGGGAACATGTTGGATTCGCCTGAGCCTCTCATTTTATGAGCTAGAGCAGCGCTGTTTTTCACTCAAACCAATTGAAAATGCTTTCTTAATATTCTTTCAATAAATCTGCCTCTCAGACATTGATTAGTAAGGATATGGGTTACAAATCCTCATTCTTACTTGCACGGAGATGTAGGTAGCATTCAAAACAATTCTCCTGTAAGAGGGCCCGGAAGCTCCTACACTGGATTTATCTTCTAGTTCCAGAACTCCCCAGATAATGAGTCTTTCCATTGGTGGCAAATCTGTGTCGGCTACAATCCATGCTCCTGCAAGACAGGACTTTAAGACACACAACCCAGATGGCGGTCTATGACAAACATTGCCAAGCTTTTCGCCAAATCCTGCTGTTGACCCATCTGTTCACACAGTGAGTCCCATCTTTCTCTCACGGGCACCAAAGCGGTTCTTGTGGCTCAGTTTCCCAAGCAGACGGAACTCAGGCATGGATCACCCAGTTTAAGTTATTGCTATAGTCAGGTTTAATCCCACATAAAACCAAGGCGGCTACATGTTATATCCAGGATATGACAGTGAAGTCTGTTCCTTCACACTGGCTCTTTCCCCAAGGGGTGCTGAGTAGAAGTGGAAACCTCACCACTGAGAAAGCCACCCTATCATGGCTTTATTGTCACACGGACACAAGAATTTCATCTATTTACATTTGTACATTTATTTACCTTCAGGAATAACGACCTGTGCTCCGGGGTGAGGTACAGTATAATTATTTTCTTGAGATGATTGCCAAAAAGAATGATTTGACCATAAACTGCAAAAAAGAAGAAAAAAATATTTCCATTGACAATTATCTCTGCATATTTCACGACATCTCCTTAGGATGTATGTAGCATTATAGAAGGTGTTTCGGGAATGACAGAATGGGAATTGGGGAGGTGACAATTTCACTGAAAAGATAAGCCAATATCTGTGTAACTAGCAAAATGTTTTCCAAACACAAGTTACGTGTGTAATTTTTCATTCCACTATCGAGAATTTCCCTCTGTATGTTTGCATCCAGAATGAAGGCTGTGTTCAATTTAAATAAACACCGAGAATGAGAGTGAATTGGAGGAGACACAGCCTTAACCTCAGCAGTATGCCCTTTAGGAGCTACTTCCTAATGCAAATTATTACAAAGGATGTAATCATAAAGCTGATGATTGTTTAATTGGGAAATGTTCATCTTCAGAGGTTGTTCTGATTCAGTTGAAAAAAAAAATAAAATTTCTGTGGCACTAATACTGGAATTCTATAAAAGGCTCAATATAAAGTTTGGTTAAAATATATATTATTATAGCATACTTGTATTACTAAATTGTATTTTTAAGAGAATTGTTTGACTCAAAATTACAAAAAATTAACATAATGGATTTTTTATACATGATCCAACAAAAACTTAGTAATATGGTTATCAGTCCTACACACTTGTTTTTATCTTAAAGAGGGTACACAGATTTCTAAGCAAGTCCACTGGAGATCTTCACTGTCTATCTTATTTTCTCTAGATTTTTTCCAAATAGTTGTCCCCATCTTCACACACATTGAATATATACTGAACATTATAGAACTAATCAAATCATTATAGGATGATGAAGGCTTTTTAGGTCTTCAAGGTCTGATTTTGTGGAAGTCAATAATGACTGCCATAATGTCTCTCATTGTCTTCGAAGTAGCTGTCTTTATCTTTACGTATGCTGAAATTGAACATAAGAGACTAGACTAATATCACTCTGAACAGTGAATAATAGTATTGCTAAATTTTATATCATAATGTTACAGAATTAGCATTGGGTTTCTTAGTGTCTCTTCTTCAGAGTATCTGTTCATTACATCATGTATTATACAATCTATTTCTGTAAATAGTTTAGAAATTCTTCCCATGTGTGAATCTCCAAATGTATATCTATCCTTTCTGTATTTTAGGGAAAAACAGATCAAAACAAGACAACAAAACAAATTCCTAGAAAAAGATGAAATGACAAAGACATATAAAACCACAATATTAGGTGATCTTCAGTAGTTACTATGCTTTCTCTTGTTATTTTCAATAGTATTGTCCACATCTAGCCTAAGAGTAGAGACAACTACTCTGAAGATGACAAGGTGTAAAAAACATAATGGATTTTTAAATGAAGTTAGCAGCTAAAGAGTTACTTAGACTTATAATTACACATAATTTTTCCAGAAATAATTTCAATGACCTTTTTTAAGTACTGAGGATTGAACTTAGGCTTTTCTACATTCAGTTACATTTCTAGCTTCTTTCTGAAAATTTTATTTTTTGGGTCTGAATTACACAAGCTATTCTCAAGATTGCCATCCTCCTACCTCAGCCTCTGAGGTAGCTGAGAACACGGAGTGCACCACTGCAATGATACATTGTATCTAGTTCCTTTCAATATTAGGAATTCTTTCTTCTCATCCCCATTAACACCTCACTATCAGTATGTGAGTTACAGTTTTCTTATTTCTCATAGCTGAGATTAATAGGGAGCCACCCTCTTAAACTGGGCTTTGGATGGCATAATCACAGCTTCATATTCTAATCCTAACGTATCATCTCTGGACCAAAATTCTGTTGGTGTTTGCAGATGGCTATCTGACTAACACGAATGAATCAATCCAATTATAGCTGTTTTCAATAAGGAAAGCTTATGCTGTGGAATGGGGAACTACACTCTTACACTGTAGCCCATTATCTCGTATCTTTATTACAGTGTAGTCCACATCAATATGCACCTGTGATGCCAGTCATAATAAACATTAATTATGGAAATTACACCTGCCTTATAGACATCAGGGTATTGGAGACAATAACCTCGGTGACCTACATTTCTTGCAAATCTCCCCAGTGCCTTGTAGTGCACCTCCCTGCTTTCCTCATTGACTTTTATAAAACACACTCCATAGGACTGCAAAACAGTGGTCTTCTGGATATGTAATTTGGAGTATGCGACTTCTTAGTCTAACATCATTGAGAGTTTTCCCTTATTTCTAACTATTACCAATGATCTGAATGGTCGGACTTCTACCTGTTTCCAACCCTATCTCCAGAGTATTCCCCCCTGCTTACCAAGATCCAGGCAGGGAGAATTTCTCTCAGGTCCTAGAAGTGAGTTTAAGACAACAAAATAACTTGTTTTATGAGATTTAACCATGATAGTTATTATAGAGTAAGTGATGGCTCTTGCTAAGAAAACACTGGATTATGTTAAGAAAGAATATATCAGGTGTTATCAAGGGTACTAATTACAAAAGACCTGCATACATGTAAGAGGCTGGCCGCCTCCTGGGAATTGGTTTTCTGGATGGAGGATGGACAGGAAAGCAATCCTGGAGAGTGCAACAGTAAGCTTGGAAATTAATAACAACATCTTTCACATCGGGGTCCAGGGTCCCAGAAATGGACTGACTTTGATGATGATCACTTCTTCCTGACACTGAAAGCAAAGCAAAAGGGCTTTAAATTAGCATGATGATCAGAGTACTTGAATGTAAACAAAGTCATGACATTTTGGAAAATATTCTTTAGATAGAGACTTGGTGTCAGTCAAGCCATGGACTAGGCTTGGAGAAATTCCAACAAAATGTATGTTTCATTAAAAAGCATACATAGTCAAGCTATCCTGACAAAAATGAATGCTTTGGAACTAAATTTAAATCTATTCGTACACATTTTTCTTTTCCAAAAATAATTAAACAACAAAAAATGGAAAGGAAATATATACTGGGTTTTGCTGTAGCAATTTCTTCTCCTTCTGTGAAATAAAATTATCAGGACTGTGTGTAGACATGTTGATGTTATTTCTAAAAATAAACTGCAGGTTCTTAATTTAATTAAACTCAAGGCCTTTTCTTGTAGAAATTTAATCCCTAGTCCTTTCATTCAAAAAGTATCAAGTCCTACTAATACAGAGTACTGTATAACATATTAAGCTATTGTTTTCATCCTTAAGACAAAGCTTCATATGAAATAATCACTTCTGCCTGATAAATTCTTACCCAAGTAATACAGAGTGCTAGTGTTTGCTTCAAGATGCCAGTCCCCATTTTTGCTAGTATTCCAGTTCAATGGATTTGAAGAGCCATTCCTCATATCAATAACACTAAACATGTCAGGACTTTGGGTGAAGTTATGGGATATAATTACATAGTCTTCTTCCTATAAAAGTTTGCAGAAAAATGAGACTTGTTTTATATATTAACACTATGCATAAAACACTTAATTTTAATGACATTTAATTTAGCTCCTATGGTATGTTGCAACAAACGTTTTAGTTTCAATTTATTTTTTATTTTATATTTAAATATTTGTTAACATTTTTCAGTCTATGGCAACAATGTGAGCTCCACTAGTGAGGCACTGAAAAGGTTCCTTTTTATTTTTCTCTCTGTGTACATAGACACTCACACATACTTTACATATCAAAGTAAGCATGTATATATTCATGCATGTAAAAAGAATGTTTTATTCTTATAGTGGTTGAAAATAGTTAAAATAATACTATATAGATTGGTAGGCTGTACAAATATATAATATAAGCAGAAGAACAATGTGGGAAGAAAACATCCAATTTGGGATACTGGTTACCATTAGAAGTGGAGGATGGGGAAAGGGATGAGTTAAACCATAAAGGATTTTCTCTTTATCTACAGTTTTGTTTCTTTCCAAAAATGGAAGGGAAATGGTTATGAAGTATTAAAATCAAGCTGGGGATGTGTCTCAGTGGTAGAGCTCTTGCCTTGCATGCACAGGATCCTGGGTTTGATCACCAGCACCAATAAATAAATAAATTCATTTTAAAAATCAGATAGGGCTACATGGGAGAAATAAGTGTTGTTTTAAAAAAATAATTTTTTGTCAGCATGGTACTGGAATAAAAACAGACCTGAAGATCAATGGAATAGATTAGAAGATACAACTACAACTACAAACACACTCAGCTTCCTTATCTTTGATAAGGGAGCCAAACATGTCCACTGGAAGAACGACAGTCTCTTTAATAAATGGTGTTGGAAAAATTGTCTCTCCATATGCTGAAAACTAAAAATTGACCCATGCCTATCACCATGTATTAAACTAAAGTCTAAATGGATCAAGATCTAAATATTAAAACAGAAACACTAAATCTGTTTAAAGACAAAGTAGGTAGAAATCTCTAAGGCATAGGGGGTGGAGAATTCATGAACAACAATCAAACCACATGTGAAATACTTCACAGAATCAATAATTGGGATTGCGTCCTATTAAAGAGTATTTGCATGTCAAAATAAATCTCCAGCATAGCCAAAAGAAAACCCACAATTTGGGAAAAAATCTTAGTGAATGGTCCCTCAGACAAAGTACTTCTGCCTAGAATATATAAAGAATTAAAAAAAAATCAAATTCCCAAAATTCAAAGACTCATTCCAAAAATGGGCATCTGAGATAAATACACAGTTCTCAGATGAAGAAATACAAATGGCAAATAAATACATGAAAGAATGTTCAACATCGTTGATCATTAGAGAAATGCAAATTAAAACAACACTGAGCTTCCATCTCACTCCAGACAGAATGGTCAGTATAAAGAAAACTACCAACAACAAATGCTGGAGAGGTTGTGGGGAAAAAGGAACTCTCCTGCACTGTTGGTGGGAGTGTACACTGGTGTAACCACCATGGAAGTCAGTCTGGAGATTCCTCATAAAGCTGGGATTGGAAGTCCCATTTGACCCACTTGATTCCACTGGAAGTCCCATTTGATTCCACTTCTGGGCATATTCCCAGAAGAACTGAAAACATCATACCAAAATGATATATGTGCACCCATGTTCATAGCAGCACAATCTGTAATAGCCAGATTTTGGAAACAACCTAAATGCCCATCAACTGAGGAATGGATAAAAAAGATGTGGTGTTTTTAATACAACAAAGTACTACTCAGCTATAAAGAATGATCACATTGAGATATTTATAAGTAAATGAACACAACTTGAGACCATACTCATAAGTGAAATAAATCAAACTCACATGTGTAAATACTGTATGGTCTCCCTAGTGTAAGAAATGCTAAGAGTACATAAGATACAAAAAACTAATAATTACAGTGAAAGGATAAGAATCTGCTTAAAGGGGAAAAATAGTATCTCAGGGAAAATGAGGAAAAATAAAAAATGTCTAAAATTATATAAACATACTTAGGAAAGCTAAGATGATTGCACTACAAACTATAAGTTTTGGGAAAAAATAGTTAACATTCATAGCATTGGGACAATTGTGCGTATTATTGTATAGGGATCTGAGGAATTCTTGAAGAGCATTATGTAAAATAACAACCCTAGTTATGCTTCCACTACCTTGTACTGAAGGCCTATATTGTCAGTGTCCTGGGCTCTTTGCTATTGTTGTTTATATGTCTTTTTCATTTCATGTTTTTCTAGGAATTTGTTTTGTTTTGTTTTGTTTTTCCCTCTAATACAGAAAGGATAGGTATACGTGTAGAGACTCACACACGTGTAGAACTTCTAAAAAGTTTATAAGAATCGATTATATAATGCATGAAGAAATGAATAGCTACTTTGAAGAAAAAGAAACACTAAGGTACCCAGTGCTGATTCGGAAGCATTATGATGTGAAATCTAGCAATACTATTATGCTTTGTTCAGAGTGATTTTAGTCTGTTTTGTTTTGTTCAATTTCAACATACATGAAGGTATGGACAGCTATTTTGAAGAGAATGAGAGACACTATGGCAGCCATTGTTGACTTCCCTATTGTCTGGTCTTGAAGAGCTAAAATGCTTTCATCATCCTGTTCAGATTAGTTTTATACTATTTTGTTTTATATGAATTCACTGTATATGAAGATGTGGACAACTATTTGGAAGAAAACAAGAGACAATATGATAGACAATGAAGAAGATCTCCGGTTGTCTTGCTTTGAATTCTGTGTCTCTTACATTGTTATCTTATGATTTGTTTTGCTCTGTTTAATTTTACCCTCTTTAAAAATAAAATTAAAAAAAAATAATTTTTTACATGTTTGAGTTCATTCATGAAAATAAGGCCTAACGTGGTATATGAGACATCATGAACAGTGAGAGGAAGTGATTTTTGTGGTAATGATTACAAGGACACAAGGAACCTATCATGAGAATGTGGTAGGACATTTGCTTGCTTCCAACTGTCAAACAATCTTCTGTGGGTTTGTTTCATGGAAAGTGTGCAGGGCCTGCTGCGCCCTGTAATGCACATGAGTAAGGAGAAAAGTGTAGGCTGACTGACACGCAATCACAGCTATTAGACAGCAGATTCTACAGCTCTTCGTTTACCTTAAACCCATAGAATGTGGATGTGTAGGATATGTTGGTCACGTGGTCCACATCCCTAAAGTACCAGTTAATGTGATTGGCATTTGGAATCAACGCCATCCATCCAGACGTATGAGTCAGTCGTTTCTTCTGAAAGGGAACAATGCTTGTGCCTGCAGAAGAACATAAGACAAGCAAATATTAGCACTCTTGGCCTTTATGAAATTCCTCCTTTTATGAACAAATGAAATTATAAAGTATAGGTTTAGTGTATGGGAGCCTCTTAACAAGCATTTTGACACCTATGTTCAAAATGTTTTTGTTTAACTGAAAGCCCAAAATGTTTAATATTATATTTAACTCGAGCGTAAAATGGCTTTTCACTTGGTATTTTCAGTTGCAATGGAGAGTTTACTCAAGAAAATTTATAATTAAAACATGATGGTAATTACAATTACTAAGACAAAAATGCTTAAATATATTAATATAGCTCCTTAATTATCACAGACTTAAACTTAATTTTCTTTCCATTCTTTAAGAACTTAATGCTTTATAATCTTGGATTTCCAATGTATGTTAACATACTCTCTGCTTCTTTGTCTCCTCTCTCTTTTAGGCTAATCAAAAATCTAAATAGCAATACTAATTTTTAATAATAAATATTTTTATTGGCTTTGAAGAAGTTTTGATTTAGAGCTTGTAAGGAATTAGGCTACAACTAGTCCTGTCACTTCTTGACATTGACCAACAAGCAAAAATTTTGTAGATGAGAACCTTGGAACTAGACCTACACATTCTGGGAAAGCTACATAACCTAATTGTGCTTTTGGCCATGAGAAAGAACCTGATGGCTTCAGTACAAGATTTGAAGAGGTCTCTTAACAGCACGAAGAAAAAGCCTTTAATAAACTGCCCCTAGATTTTCTTCTCTTTGTTTTCCCTCTGTGATCTTGATTAGATTTTGTGTAAAATTAATAACTTATTTTAAAATTTTAAAAGAATAAAGAAAAAATTCCCAGGATCAAGGGGAAACAGTTTAATGAGGATAATGAATTACTGAGTTCTAAGAGTTTCCTGAACAGAGGCACTAAAAACTTGCACCACCAAAATCATTGGAAAGTATGAGAAGAGTAATAATACAGGCTGCATCATTGTTCAGCAAATATTCAGTCCTCTCCTCCTCGCAGACAAAGTAGACTTCCCTGCTCTGTTGACACGGAGTGATTTTTTTTTTTTTGACACAGGGACCTTAGCAGAAGTGATACTAGCAAAGGCTTGAGAAGTGCTTCCCGCTTCAGCCTATGGACTACAGGAAGAGCTCCGGGAAGCAGCTCCCCTTGGGCTGCAGGGTGAGCACAGATGGGACAACCTGAGCCCCACCCTTGGGAAGGAGGGAGGTGCAATGGATGCTCACACTGAAGCACAGCTTTTCCCCTGAGTCCTGTCTGGATTACCCAGCACAGCCCTCCAATTTGTGAGTGAAAAGAAATGACTGTAGGTTTAAGCTCTGGAGCAGCAGGACCATCTGTTAGGAAGCAGTAGCTGACTAATAGAAGAGCTCTTTCTGTCCTCCAGCACCTCTAGGATTTGCTCCTAATTTGGCAGAATCACTCCCCTGAAGTTTTCTAATAGATGCAATTATTCCTTAATCTTATGTTTCTTGATAATTCTGTTTCACAAAGAAAATAAATTTTCATTTTTCTTAGTAGTTGGGCTTTTCTTAATCGTTTTTAACTGCACACAATTTAAGTACATTGTGCGTAAGCATTTTGGGCTGAAATATAATCTCTTTGAAGTTGATTGAAAATGTAATGACATTAAGATAATTGTCTCAAATTAATTTGTTATCTGGTTTAACCTTACACATGAATTTCCTCCAAGAGATATCACCAAGTATGAGATGCTTTAAGAAAGATATATAAGGATATATATTAAGTTACATTAAATTATGTCTCATTTTTCTAATATATATTTTAAAATTTTAATTACCTGGTTTACATTTATAATCAAAACAAGCGATAGTTTTGTTTTTAATTTTTAAATTTAATTTTTAAAATCAAATAATTTTATTTAATAAGTAATAAAGTAACTTAAGTAATAAAGTGCCAACACAATAATTTTTATGTTTTGCATTCGGGTCTGACTATTCCATCTAATTCAATACTATTGATTCCCTACTACTTGCAATGTTTTGTGTTGAGTTTTGTGAATGCTAACAAATTTTTTCCTCTAGATTTTCACTGTATAGTAACTAAATTAAAGTTTTAATTTTTGAATGGAATAATTCAAATAGGGCAAAGAGACTTTTCAAGAGAGCTAAGGTATCATAAACTCAGACATATAAGACTTCTTCAATCAAAAGCCAAAAATACGAATTAAAGATCAAAACCTTCTCCCTAAAACCACCACCATCAAGATCATTAATAATAAAAAGATAGACTAGAGCCTCCATATGTTTATATTTTTCTGTTTAAAAATTAATAAAGGCATATATACATGATGGCACATCTCTGAGTTACCCATAATTGTGTATTTTAACTCAGGTTTTATAAAATATTAATAATATTATCTATTCACAGATATGTTGTAAATCACTTAAATTACTAAATTTCTTATCATAAAAATTTTTGTGACACTAATGGGAAAAAACAAATTATTTTATTAGATTAAATAACTTCACATATTTCAGTTACTTTTAGTCTGCCAATTTTTAATTGAAGGAAAACATTCATAAATGCTCCACTTAAATATGGTTTATTGTACTACAGTCTCTAAAGCATAAGTAACATTGCACCACTCTGAATCCCTCTGTATCAGAAGAAAAGTAAAAGTAGATATAGAGATTACTCAGATAGTAGGTATAAGACTCTTTTGATTCAGAGGACAAAAATCCTCAGTGTGAGTGCTTTAAAATTAAATCTATAAGCACTTTTTCAGGACTAGCAGTGGTGACGGAATCTTTGTACTTCTCTATGGTGCATTTGAATTGCTCTATGATGCATTTTTCCATAGATGAAGATAACACAGATGCGGGATCCTAGCAATGACACTGGCTGCTTAGATCTTGTAAGAATAATGGAGGCCATAAGTGGCATCAGATAGAAGCATACAGTTAATTAGCACAACACTACTGGCCACAGAAATATTAAGAATGGTCTGACCTGCAGGGATCTGTGATTTGGGGATTCCTGAGAATGATTATTTGATATACTATGTATAGAAAGAAGAATGACAGAGGTCTTGGGGGACTGGAAGGCTAATGGGTGGATATTCACAGCTTCTTACTTATTTCCCAGACCCAGGACAATTCACAGACAGTGTTTAAACCACTAGTTGGAAGGAATCTGTAGCTATATTAAGGTCATTGTGTTCCAATTTGTTAACCAGTTAGAGTGGGAGCTTCCAAAAGACAGGTGACAGAAAAAGATTTTCCTCAGTCTCACAGTCAGCCTAGAGGGGCACGGGTCCATCTCACTTTTTCTCCAGTTCCCCAAATTGTAGCGAGACTAGACACGGCACTATATTTAAAACAAGAGCAGAACTTGGAATTTTTGTAATAGCTTTCTTAATAAAAGAATCTGATAACATGGAGTAGAATAATGAAATTCCATTATATCCGGATGGACTTCACAGTGGTCATTTTAGAGCTATCAAGTTGCTGAGACAATCATTTATAGATTTTCAAAATGTAATTAGTTTGTATTGATTACATGACTTTTGTTTTAAATTGCAAGTCTGATCTTATAAATATCACTGCAGAAGGAAATTTGGAAATATTAATAGCATTTTAAAGCAACATTATGAAAGTATTTTCAATATATTAAAGAAGAATAGTAAATATTGAAACTATGAGAACAAAAAGTACATTTAGAATGCATTGATAAAGTTTCTTTCTATATTTATGTTTCTTTCTATATTTATGTTTCCTTCTTATGTGTTCAGATTATACTTTATTGTTTTAATTTTGTATATTGTTATCAAGAAGTTGCATTGTTTAGATATACCCAGAAAATGTACACAATCATATTTGATAATGATATAATAACTCTGCTTAGCAGATCTTTGATTCACCAGTGCTTTTTCTAGTTTGTAGACTCGACAGTCTATCAGAACAGTAAGTAGATTCTTGTAGACATATATTTTAACTAATATAAATAATGGCCCATGTCTCCTGTCAGTTTGACTTAACCATTTTGGACTTTACAATGGTTTGAAATAATAACTTAACATTCAATTGATTAGGTGAGATATCAAAAACTTTATTATACATAGACTTTGTGTTAGATAATATTGCCTAATTGGAAGCTAATGCATGTGTCCTGAGCATATTTTAGGTGGGCTGGAGTAAGCTATCATGTTCAGTACATTAGGTATCTTAAATGCATTTTCAATTTACAATATTTTCAACATATGATAAGTTTATCAAGAACAAACCCCTACTGTGAGCCAAAGAGTACCAGTAATTGCTAGATGAATGGACAAGTACGTGGATCAAATGATAAAGATATATACATATATTATACATATATAAATATATAATATATATTTTATTATGTTATATATTTTTATTTTATATGTTTATTTTTATTATGTATATATATATTTTTTTTCTTTAACCCATCAGAGTAGGTTAGGTTAGCTGTAACAGGAATAGACATATTTAATACTTGGGAGATTTCCAACATCGGTTTCTTGACTAATCATGTGAAGGGAAATCCTTATGAAGGCCTAAGTGGACATTCTCAGTGCTGTGTATCTTCACTGACTGACCAAGATAACTGTTGTGGTCTGAACACAAAATCTCACCAGCTTCCCCATATAGGAAAGGCTTGGTCCAGAGAATGCTCTTGGGAGGAGAGGAACTTTTGTGGGGTGGGGCCTAGGGGTAGGTATTTGAGTGAAGGAGAAAATGCTCTCAAGGAGGACTGGGGGACTCTGGTCTCCTCCTTTCTTTCTTTTGTAACCCAGCCAGGAGGTGAATGGCTTTGTATAACCATTTCTTTCCTGCTATGACACGCTGCTTTGCCACAAGCCCAAAAGCAAGGAGGTCAGTTGATCACTGTTTCAAAACTTCAAAACTATCAGCCAAAATAAACCTTTTATCTTTATAAGATATCTCAGGTTTTCATTATAGTAACTGAAAGCTGATTAACATAATAATGAACTAAAAGCAACTCTAAATCTTTGAGGGGAAAATATAGATTTGTACAGTACTCAAAATATTCGCAAGGTATGAAGATCAGAATTCTCACCACGGCCTCATTTGGCTTTCTTTCCAGCTGGTGAAAATGCCACGTGCATGGTGCATGACAGTAAATTAACAGAACCTACTCAGGTAATGATGTCAGGTATACTCAGTGTTACAGGACCAGTGTCCTTCATGGTGTAAACCAGTAAATCAACCAGGAAATAAGCACGATATCTGGCACTTGGCATGCAGCTATTGGCCTGGAATACCATCTCTCATACCATCTCAATTAACAAGCACAAGAAATATGTGCCTCTAGGGATGAGAGTACTGGTATTTGTACTGTCGTGGCCCAAGACTTTGCCATATTATTGTCTGAAGGTGCATTAATCAGCTTTCTCTTGGCTGCGACACAATATCTACTATCTACATCTTAAAGGAAGAGGCTTAATTGGCTCACAGTTTCAGTCCAAAGCAGACACATCGAGGCAGAAGGGTACGGCAGAGCACAGCTGCACAGTGGCTGGCAAAGGGAGCAGAACAGTGATGGCAGAGAGGGCAAAAGACCGGACATAGCCCCAAGATGGGCACAGCCACACCTGGAAGAGTGTACCACATCCCCAGAGGATTCCGTCGGACAGTCAAGCTGACGCTTCTTCCTAATTGCCATGGATTAGAAGCTTCTGATCAACAGAGTATCACACTTCTCCATCACTCATTTAATGCTGCCCAGGCACTCACTTAGGAAGATTGTTTCCTGCCTAGAATTTGACTGATACATATGTGATATCTTTTGCAGTGTTCAAAATGTTAAGTATCAACTCAAGCAAAAGTTTACTAACATATATTTAATTTAATTTGTGGTTAAATAATTAGAATCCACTTACCAAAAGAATCTGAGAGAACCACATCTTTTTCAAGCAGAGATACCGGGGAAGGCTTGTTGAAGGCTAATCTGTGGAAGCTAACTGAGGCGTCACAGACAGAGCCAGGGAACCCAATGCTCCACTGGGCTTCCTGAGTGCAGTGCGAAGGGTCCAGCAACGAACTGTGGGGAATGACCGTGTGTCCTTTGTGCCCTGGGAATGGAACAGAAGCAAAATGATTTCCATTTTACATTAGAAAACCAAAAACCCACACTGTAGGACCAATACAATAAAAAAAAAAACTTGCTGTATTTTTGTCTGTTTGCACAAAGCAAGGAAAACTCAAGTAAAGGTTTTGCAGTGAAATTTCAACTAATATCAAAAACCTAAGCTGAATTAAGTCAACCAAGGAAGGTTACACAAAGCTCATGTAACAGAAGGATCCAAATGTTTTCCCTCTGAAGCACTATGTATAAGAGGAGACAGAAGTATCAGCTACAGCTCAGGACTCAGTCCACATGAATGTTCAGATGAATGTCATTCATCTTTCAAAGAATCTTTTAAAAGTAAATTGTTAATAGTTCTAGGGTTACCTGTTGGGTAGCTGTCTGTTAAAAATTGTTCAGCAGTATACATACACATCCTTTCTATCTTAGATAATTCTTTATTACTAGTAATTTGTAAAGACACAAAATTCTAGAAACCACAAATACTTGTAGGCAATGTGACATACCGTGGAGTTAAAATGCTAAAAAATTTAACATACAATATATGCTGAATTTCTTTATAGAGCTAACATGTACCATGAATAAATCTAAATTTTGAATTTAGATTGGAAAGAAAAAATTAATTACAGACTTGTCACTTACTCTCTTTAAAATTGCTGCATTCTAGTAAGGCTATAATGAGTATGAATTCACTGCTTATATAAATAAACCTGGATTTATATTTTCTGGAGCATGGCTGACCAGAGAATTTGAATGGTCATGAAAGTAGTTTCTTATCTATGTAATTAAGCATAAAATATAGTAATTCTAAAATATTAATTATTTTTTGATCAATGTTTCCATAATTATTGCCCCAAATTTACTGGCTTTTTTTTTTTTTTTTTTTTTTTTTGGTACCTGGGATCGAACTCACAACTGCTCTCTTGCAAGGCAGTGCTTATGCCACTGAGCTAAATCCCCAGCCTCCCAAATTTACTGTTAATTCAAAATCAAAGTGTAAATCAAGAGAAAAGAGGCTTTTTGGAGGCTGCCTCTGACACTGTGACCTTTTCTAGGGAAGCACATCTCATCTGTGCCGGGTACCTTGCTTATCTGCAGTTTTCAAGCCATTAATAAAGTTTGATGCAGGGTAAAACCAGTAATGCCAGTTTAACAATTTAACTCTGTATTAACACAGGCATGTTTCCAATGCATTTTTATCACAGAGGAAAAATAATGTCACCTGTAAGTGAACCGTCAACATCAATTAGAGCAGCTTCATGTTCCCACCGAAAGCCAGCCTTATTAGGTGTGTGAAAATACTGGATGTCCACAAACTTTGCACTCCACCCTCCACATTTGTCATGACAAACTCCAGTGATGGATGTCACTCCCAAGGCTACACAGTTGGGACGGTCAAAGTTCATAAACTGTACAGAAGATACAGTCAGGCCTTCACTAAATGGGAGGACCAAGCCTTTAGATGTGCAAAACCCAGTGCCCATTCCCAGTTCATCAAGATGACCAACGATTTTGGCATTTTTAATCACGGCTCCGCTGGTTTCACCCCATCCTCCAACATAAGGAGCCAGGATCCTCTTGGTCTCAATTCCAGCTTCATGGTTATTGACCATCACAAAATTATGGAACTGCAGGGCCCCTCCGTTGACCCATTCAGCTCCTTTTTGACAATTCCAAGTAGTCAGTGAATTAAAGACTGCAGGTAGGGGCACGGTAGACGTACAGGATCCTGTTTCCATGGGGAAATACTCTTCAAAGATCCACAGTCCAAACCATCCTTGAGAATGAACAGTGTTGTTAAAGAACTCTCCAAGAGGAACTCTTTTTTGGCAGATGTTTCGGTCATAGGATGGTCCATCAGGGTGGTTGTTCATCCGATACCAAAAGCCAAAGTGAGTGCCACCAGCAGCTGCGTTGTGCCGTATGGTGTTGTTTGGGTTAGTCACCCAAAATGCAGCTGGTGTGACATCATCATTCAGAAGACTAGTGCTTTGCCGTACAAAGACTGCCAAGTTATATTGCAGAATGTTGCCATGTTCAATACCGTCTTCTATAAAAAATGCTCCTCCCTTGATGTCATAGATAATGTTCCTCTCAACCAGAAGGTGATGTGTGTTATGGATGGTAACAGCTCTGTTATAGGACTGGTGAATTGCACAACCTCTTACATAAGATTTGAACTGTAAATCTCCAAGTAGGTGCCAATGTATTGGGTATCGGCCCAACCGGAAAGCCTGGCCAGCATGGAATACCTGTGAAGCGGAGAAACCAGAGCTGTTTACCAGTTCACATAGGCTCGGAACTTACCTGACTTCTCTGCTCTTATGTCAAAATAATCTCCCACTTTTGCATAATTATTAACATATTACTATCTCCCATATTATTCACAATTACCATTTGAAAATATTATTAACCTTATTTTACACAAAGTATTATGGATTATGCTTGTTAGAAAAAAATGAATGAGGCTGGGGATTTCGCTCAGTGGTATAAGTGCCTGCCTGGCAAATGTGATTTTGTGAGTTCAATCCCTGGTACCAAAAGAACATGCAAGAAAGCAAGAAAGCAAGGAAGGAAGGAAGGAAGGAAGGAAGGAAGGAAGGAAGGAAGGGAGAAAGAAAGAAAGAGAAAAAAAGAAAGAAAAGAAAAATGAATAAACATAAGCTATCTTCGACTCTTCTTTTTAACCTCTGTCTACTGTTAAATTTTCATGTGTTACAAAAGAAAGCCTCTTAAAAGACTTTTTTCTCTGATTCTTACATAAAAAGAAACACTTTTGAATGTCTTCCATGTGCCAGATCGTGTGCTGCTGTTTCCTGACAGGCATAATCCCACTCTTTCCAGCAAGTCCGCCGTGTCACCCTAATCACTGACATCATCTCATAGATGAAGAAACTGGATGTTAGAACGGGTGGGTAGCTTGTTCCTCATAAAGCTCCATCAAATCCAAGTCAGTCTGACTCAGGAGTAGGTTCTCTTACTGACTACTCTGCTATGCATTCTTTCAAAAGTCTGTGATCCAATAATCTAATATGGAAAATGCCAATCTATATGAAAGTGTGTTTTGTGCATGATATATGTTAAGGTAAAATGTTGGATTGTTTATTTATTTTCATTCTCTATCTAAAATTAAAAAGTAACTATTTCTAATATTTAATATACAGACTTACCCTCACTCACTGTGTATCTCAAATGTCACCTGTGTGAAATGTATTTGAGGAGGGGAGTATCCCAAAATAGGGGCGTTGATTCTCTCATTATCAGTCTAGACTAGGAGTGCCCAGGATAAGTTATGGGTTTTGCTTGTTTGTCTCCCTTTGTCCATCCCTTTCCCTCCTTGTCTCCCTCCTTCCCTTCTGTTTTTTACTGAATATTTGACAAGAAGTCGACTAAACTCTAATTATATTGACCAGTCCTAATAAAATACAGGACTCCTAAAATCTTAAGAATAACATGCAAACTTATTTACGTGTGTCTGTTTTTTTGTTCAACAAATAATCATCTGAGTATGAATCTACTACACACCATGTGTTGTAGTTCTAGTCACAAGTAATCAGCTGATAAACCAAAAGACAAAGAGCTTTGAAATAATTGTGCTTACGTCCTAGAGGGAGACGTTAAACAAAAATAGCTGTCATATTGTGTTTGAGTAAACAAAGGGGAAAAAAGGGCAGAAACTTCAAATGAAAGTGGTAAGGAAAGGGCTGTCTCCTGAGATGAGATTTAAGAAGAGACTAACTGGAGGGAGCGTGTGACTCACACAAGCATTCTAGGTAAATGCAGAGCAATCACAAAGAACATAAGACAGGAACATGGGTGGCATGGTCACACAAGGAGATCCTTGCGGCCAGCACAGTGTGGAGTCACAGGAGATGAAGTCAGAGGAAGCTGGGGTCAGTTCGCATTGGTTCTATAGAGAGCACATAAACTTTCCCTTTTAGATGTCATGGGTGAAAGGGTTGCTGGCCCAGGCCTGATACTGTAGCCTGTAAAGCCAGGGAGTTCCTATCTCCCCCCACCCTTGGAAATTACCTCTGGCGCCAAACTAAGACCAAAGGGCTACCTGTGCATCCCTAATGCCCCCTTGGGTTCCAACCCAGGCCGAGGCTACTTATGTGCCTCACTCCGCGTGTTCCACAGAGAGATCACCGACCCCGGGGTGGAGATGCCACGCCCCAGGGGGTCGGGGGTGTCTCTCCCCACATTCCCAAAATAAAGGTTACTTATATTTTATACTTCTTATCTTTTCAGCCACCGCCGCCAGCCCTCCTTCTCCTCCCCCCGCCCCCCTTCCACAGAGCTATCAATGGGCCACTTAAAGGTTTGGGATAGGGCTACAGCAGGACCTGCTTTATGCTTTTAGCATTTTACTCTGGCTGTGTGGTGCAGACTGCACTGGAGCATAATGGGGAAGCACGGAGATGCGTCAGGAGAAAAGCAGTCACGCAGGTGAGGGATGCTGTGGCTGGAAGCTGAAGATCAGGTGAGGGAGGGTGAATTCTAAACCCACTATTTTGTGGCTGTAAGAATAGAACTTGCTGGTAAAGCTGACATGAGTGTGAGAAAAACCAGAAACAAAGTTTTGGCATGATGGAAAGGGTTAGTAATTGAATGCACTAACATTGTTCATAGAATATGCCAAACAGCGAGTGTCCAACACTCATGTGGATAACTCTAGTGAAAACACCACTTAATAACAGCGCCTTTACCTCTACGTGCTCTATTCTTCCAGTGACCACGTCGGCACCAGGCAGAGGTGCATGAAACATAACGCAGCCTCCAAACTGGTCACTTCCTATTTCCTCTCCAAATTTTCCTTGGAGACACGTCTGGGTAGCAAATTCACCTTTAAAAATACCATGAAAGAAAAATGACATTGAAATCCTTTTAATAGATTAAGATTTTTTTCCTCATACCGAATTGTATTTTTTATTCACATGTAATCTTAATCTCTTCCTGAGGCAAAATTCTAAGCACTTATATGATCTCCTCTTCTAGGCAGTAAGAAAGGAAAGTAGTTTGCCTTGTTTACATTTGCATGCCCTGACAGACTTACTAACCTGTAGTTGCGAGGACACTAACCTGAATGTTTGAATGAATGCTGATAAACACATATTGTTTTATTGTTTCTAAAGCTTTCTCCTCAAATTTGAGGATTAATCAATCCTCAGTGCAACAATGCACTAGAATATGCATTATTGTCACCTAAATCTTATATTTAACATGAAGAGGAAGTAATCTCATTTTAAACAATGTGAACCCAGAGTCACACACATTGTGAAACTTGATGCCGTTGGCCTGGAATCAGAAAAAGGACCATTTGATAACAAGCCCCAAGGGGCTGGAGGTTTAGCTCAGCGGCATAAGCACCTGCCTTGCAAGCAAGCGGTTGTGAGTTCGATCCCTGGTACCGATAAAAATGAAAAAGATAACAAGCCCCAAGAGCTTTGTCTCATACCTCCTGGTGAAGAAAAGGTTAGTACCTAGCTATACCTGCTACTATGTAAATGTTTGTAGATTGCATGATAGTAATGACTTTTGCAACAGAATCCAAGTATTTCCCCGTACAATAATGACATCAGTCATTTTCTTCATATATCGTAAAAATATTTAATTTTACTTAAAAACACTCTGAGGTCTTCCAAATTGCCATAGTTGATGATATTTACAAAGCAGATTAGTAAGCTCAAACTAAAATAATATATTAAATGTCAACCAAATTTAATTTTGAGTTTATATGATTATATCAGCCGCATGTCAGCTGCTAAAATTACCTGTGTCGAATCCAGTAGGGCATGCTGGGATTTTGCTATTCCATTCCACATTCTCAGAGCCTCTGATTATGATATTTCTTGTGAGTATTCCAACTTCTGCTCTTGCTTCAAACAAGGATCCATCAGGGAGTGTGACAGTGATTCCTAAGTGTGTGTAGTTCAGTGGCCGAGTTAACGTGATGCTCACACCATCGGCTGACACAGATGCAATGGTCCTTTTTTCATTTTCTTGTTGGCTGTGTCTGCAAAAATTTTAACAAGAAAATTTGACAGTTAATATAAATCAACATTTTAAAAATCTACTTAGTGTCAAGATTAAGGTTTACTTTTTCTTTCAGAGTGAGGATAGATACCAATTTAAATAATTATCAGGATATATAAGTGAACACCCACTCAGATAAAAGATCACTGCTCAGAAGTGGTACCTAAGAAATAGTTTGCACGTGATAAGTGTATTTTATGTTTAGGTTAAAAGGTTCCATCTTGAGTCACATAACATATTGATTTAGCATATTTGTTTTATGGCATTTCAAATACTTCATTTATAAAATAAAAAATATCATGCAGTTTTCTGAAGAGAGCTCGTGTAGTATTTTACTGTTTTTTTAAGTAACTGAATGAATAACTTTTTTACAGGTCTATTTCAATTAATGTAAATACAAGTGCTAGATTTGTTTACAAAACTGTACTAACTTCTAAAAAGTATTGAAAAGGACTGCTTATTTATGTGACTTTAAAGATCATACTCAGACTTCCTCAAATGAAGCTGATTTTATACCCTACCAATACCTGGGTACATTTTTGATCATAACAGGAGATGCTATTGGCATCTAGTAGGTAAAGACCAGGGAGGCTTTTCTAAATTGTGTAATATAAAGGATGGCCCCGCACAATATACATTATCCTTGATAAAAGAAAGTTACTGGAGATTTTTGAGCAAAGAAATCATTAATCATTAAATCAAAGTTTAGCTCTACCATTCTTCCTTCCAGTGTACTGAAAATCCAGTCACAATAAAGGGAACTTGCAAATTTCACAACGTACATATTCAGATATTTAATCACTCAACAAATACTAAGGGTTTAGCTTACATTCTAGATATAAGACCAGCATTGGGGGTGCTGGGTAGAAAAGCTACTGATTTTGAAACAAACGTGTCAGTAGTTAACTGTGAATCAGTGGAGGTGTGATCCGTGCTATCCACACAGGTCGGTTTAGAGCCTGCCCCCTTGACTTCTCTTGTGACTCTATTCTCCTTTGCGAATAATTTTTAGCCCTTAAGTAGCACTTCAAGTGAAAGTGCCACATTTGAAGTTTCCTAACCCTGCTGGATTCCCAAAACACAAATGCCCCGCTGCAGCCCACTGCGGCCCACTGCGGCCTTGGGAAGTGTCTGCTCCCCCTGGCTGGCTGCTCCTCTAAGCAGGGGCCCATTGAACCGTTTTCTCTACACCCAGCCCTTCGCACAGCACCTGTCATTACACAAAGATCGCTTTTGACTGATGGACAAACTACTACAGAATGAATTTTTCTGGGCAGAGAAGTGGAATAAAACCTAAATAGGAGGATGATGTCCGAGGGACTCGAGAATCCAAATTAGAACTGCGAGGGGGAAAAAGCGATGGGGGAGACATTTCAAGGGTGGAACTAAAGGAACTTGGACATGGGCTGGAAATGAAGGCAGACGGCACCTGGAAGGTCACCGAGAAATTCTGGAGAGAAAACAGACTGGAGGGACCGAAAGGAATAACAGGTGAGCAAGGATGAAACAGATGGAATGCGCATATAATATTTAGAAAGTTTACTAATTTTTAAAATAAAGAGTAACAGTGAAAGAAAGTGCAGGAATAGGAGGACAATGTTGTTTTCCAAGATGATGCATAGTCTGAGGAAATCAACATCCCAAAAATTCCAGGGAGGGAAGTGTGGTGAGAGGGGCCAGGGAGAGATGGAGATGAAAGATGTTCAGGGCGTGGCCAGCTCTACAGCGCAGGACCTCAAGGGAGGCGGGGAAGACTCAGGTCGCCTTGTCTTGGATTCTTTGAGATCTAGATGACACAGCATCTTCTTAAAAATTGCTCTAAAAGGCATTTTACATACATTGTGCACCTAAATACATTTTGCTTTCCTATGTAATATGTAATGCATAATAAGCACTTGCTTTCAGCCAAGTTCTGCTCTGAGTTCTTCCTACATTCGCAGGCAAAATAGCAGTTTTCAGGGCTGGTAAGAGGTGTTGTTGGGAATAAACACAAGCAAGTGACTGGTGATTTTCTTTTATTTATTTATTTATTTATTTATTTTTTGTCTTTTTCATTTTTATCGGTACCAGGGATCGAACTCACGACTGCCTGCATGCAAGGCAGGTGCTTATGCCGCTGAGAAGTGATTTTCTTGATGCCTTGCTTTACAAACTCTCAGATGTGATTCACCAAAGAAATAAGGAACAATGGGTAATATTCAGTAAAAACAATTAATTCTTGTTAGGAATTTTTCATTCTTCCTAAAAGTAAATAGCCTTGTGCTAAATTATACACTTAAATTTTTGTCTTTAGAGAAAAATTATGAATGAGGATTTTTTATTCTGTTAATAAGCCTGTGATTTTCTTCCTTTTTAATTCTGCTATTATACACTGACTATTTCTTCCAAAGGCAGGAAAATGGGCACTTGCAAAACTGAGCATATCTTTAACTCTTTCTAACATCGGTAGGTCTATTTTTAAATTGGAAAACAGCAAACTCAAAGTGCCATCTTGAACTGTTATTTTAAATTGAGCCATGACCTTAACATACCTGTTTCTCATCATAAATTACTATATGTTTCCTGATAAACACCATTTCCAATCTTAACATTATCTATAATTTGAACATCAAAGCAAAAATAAGCCTCCACTTTGCCCCACTACCTGGGAGCTCAGAGGCATAAGCACCTGCCTTGCAAGCAGGTGTTGTGAGTTTGATCCCTGGTACTGATAAAAATGAAAAAGACAAAAAAAAATTTTTTTTTTAAATTTTCTTGTCAAAATATATATATATACAGAAATTAAGGGGCATCCGCAGTTTCTGCTTATATCAATCATCACTCAATCAATAATGATTTCTTCCCTTTTACTTATTAATAAAATTTTGTTCATGGGGACCACTGCCAAGACTGCAAGATAAGAAAGAGTTTATTACCTGCTCTCCTTCTTTGGCTGCTTCAAACAAAGCAGCTCAGTTACACTTACATTTTTGCATTCATGAATGTATTTAAGTCAAGCTCTTAAGTCAGATGTTTTCAATTGACTCAATAACAAAGTCTTGTTTTGTAAATGAAGCCTTCTGTAGTCACAACCACATAAAACAGGTACAACTTTTTAAGGATACATTTATTTTAGAGATTTAGAAGTGCAGCTCCAGCCACCGAGCAACCAAACCCTAACGCAGGCTGTGTGTACTCTTTAGTGGAGCCTTCAGAAGCCTGGAAGTCGCCTCACCTGTGTCCTGTGCTTGCGATTACAATGGCATCTCCCGCTTTCCACGTCACTGGGTCTTGTAAAATCAAGGTCCACTGCCCGGCCTTTGCAGTCTGAGCCAGGCGAGTCCAGACCACAGGAACAGGCAGACCTGAAACCAACACAAACCCAGCGTCTCCCCGGGTGCACCCTGGATTCTTGAGTGTGCTGGTCATTTTCACCTTTTTTCCAGATTAAATTAATTTTGGGAAGGCTCATTTTACACTAGGATTTTATACCCATCTTATAAAAAGGATAAAAAGAATGCTAACTTCAAAAAAGTAACAATTAGGTTTGTAATAACATCTGGTTGTATAAATTTTTTTTAAAAAAACCTGCTTCTGTAATGCTATGCTTTCTTCCTAGGAACTTCGTTATAAATGTGGGAGCATCACACTAACAAAATCAGCAGATGCTTACCCCTTTGTCACTGTTGACAGGATTGTTTAACTGATAATCTAGAAATAAATATGTGCATATTTCTAGGAAATTTTAGAATTATATATGTTTGGCACAAGGTAGAACATTGATAATGAGAGTGTCTTGTTCCTGGATTTCTAAATTTATAGAAGGAATAAATTATTACAATACAGAAGACTATTTTTTTAAAAAGGGAGATTCATTTCATGCTTCTGAATAATGCTACCCTGGTACCTCGAACATAATAAAACTTTTTTTGTTAGTTTGTATTGTGCTTGGTACTGGAGAGGGGAGCCAGGGCCCTCACACTGAACGATATCTCTAGTCCTTTTTATTTTTTATTTTGAGACAAAGCCTCACTAAGTTGCTCTGGCTGGGCCCAGATGTATGATCCTCCTGCCTCAGCCTGCCAGCGTGCTGGGATTACAGGTATGCAACACCACAGCTGGCAATAAAAATCGTTTTTTACTTCCTGACAATATTTCTGGAATACAGCTATCAGAAAGTACAACTATGAATTGCTGTATATATCTTAGAGCCAGCACATAAGATACAAACGTCAGAAGCCCAGCCTTCCACTTCTGGGTCTGTCCCTTGTCACAGAAATAGCTGCAGCTGTGTAGTGTGCAGAGCACAGCTGGAGACCAGAAGCTCCTGGGGCGGGCGGGAAGGGAATGCGGTGCGGGGGGGCTGGAGGGAGGGCCGGGGAGAGCGAGCGAAGCTGGGGAGCCCCCAAGGCTCCCCGATCCGGTACCGTGCAGGTCCAGCGTGCCCTCCCGCACCGCCAGCGTTTTGGCGCCGTACACAGGGAGCTCCGGGGAGCGCAGGTGCCCGTGCAGCGTGATGACTGCCTGGTGCTGGAAGGGCGACGTCTCCGTCCCAACCTGCCACAGATTTCAGGAGCCCGCTCAGAAAATGAGACACAGCGCCCGCGAGTCTTACCCCGAAAGGATGTGTGTGCCCCCCCTCCCCCGCCCCTTGCTGTCTTTGGAGAATCAATGTCCTAACTTTGTTTCAAAATTCAAGCTTTAGATTTTCTATCCAGCCAAATGCACTCTACCAGACCTTCACAGGAGCTGATTTTTTTTACCCATGGCTCAGTTACTTTATGTTTTACTCTATTTTAAATTCTGCTCCTTTAATATATGGTTATATTTTTGTTAAGCTATAAAAATACCCTGGGAAACCCCTTCCCAATAGAAGGACCTTTATCCTAATAACAAAGCCCTCGCAAAAAAAAAAAAAAAAAAAAAATATATATATATATATATATATATATAAAAGTTGGTTTAATTAATTATGTGTTTTATACACAGTCTTTGAAAAACAAATGGCGAGAGGTCAGCAATGAATATATGTCATGTTCAGGAGATACCTGAAGAGTGCCTCCGTCTGTAATTAGAATATTTTCTGCCTGGAGTTCAATGTCAGCTTCATCAAAGATTAGAGTTCCACCTGTGAACCAAATAATTTTTAAATACATCACCAGAAAATGTATTACTAAAAATTATCTGGTTGCTCATCTCTGTCCTGCTTTCTGGGTACTATTTTACTTCTGCGCTTTGGTAACAATAAAAATGTAAGCATTTCAAGACTCTGAAAGTAGATAGAAAAATAAATTCGAGGGTAGATTATTTTATCTTGAAAAAGTATTATTTTAAATGTTATGAAACAGTGGAGTTACAGAAGTTAATTCTACAAGTACAGAGTTTCAAAATATGAATTAAGAAAAAAACAAGATTAAAGAAAAAGACACTTACACAAACCATGGTTACACCACCAATAGGTCTTAACTTTTACCCATTAACTTGTCCTAGTAATGGCTGTAGCTTGATTAATGCTATTAAAAAAATACTGAGATGCATTTTCCGAGATTGATGTAAGTGTGGAGACAGTAAAACTTTATCTGTTTAAAGACCCAAAACTTAATAACATCAAATTGTTGAAATACTATTGTTTTCCCAGATGTTTAAAAATAACAAAATTAAAGACATCTCTGAGCAGCTAAAGTCTTTATGGCAAAGTTTATGCACTAAAGTCCCAAGCACTTTCCTCTTAGAGAGTAATTGTTTCAGTCACACATAATTGCAGTAGTTGTATATTTTTGTAATAGTAGCAACAAAATATCAAGTTGCAGAGGGAACCCCAGATAACAGCTAAAATTAGATTTACAAGTAAATGAGAATCATAATCTGCCTTCCAAGGGCCATCAGGGGATCATTTAGGACAGATTTTAACAGATTGTTATAATTTTATAATCACTGGAATTTACCATATCAGTGATAAATGATATTTTTTATTTCTTTTACTTTTAAAAATTTTTTTATAAAAATGCCAGTCTATGAGTCTGTTCAGTGCCTGCCCTCCTGTTCCTGAAATAAAAGTTTAACAAAACAACATTTACCTATAAAAGATACCTAGCCATATGTATGGAGTGTACTTTATTTTCTACTCTATTTTATTTGTAAAATGCTGGTTTCAATGCATTACAGAATATTATAACCATAAACATTATAATACTCAAGTTAGAAAATTTAAAATTATATTTCATATTAAAGACAAACAACTATGGATGGTTCACAATTATGAATTTTGAATAACTTAATATCATACAACTATATTCAAAGGTAGAGTTAGTAAACAGATTTGCAGAAATTTACCCTGAATAAGCAGCATTTTCAGAATTGGAGTACTTTGGTCCAGTAATAGTATCTGTCCTTTGGTAATCACAGCGAGTGACCCTTCCTCTGGGGGAGGTTTTCCTCCCCATGAGAAGTTGGAGGACCAAATATCAACATATAGGAAGTAAGTATTCTCCTGTAACAGAAGATGAAAGACTAAAATTTAGAGTTCTATTCCCCAAATAAAGACATAAAAAATTCATATTAATAATAAAATATAACCCATTTTAAATATGCTATAACTGCCCACCCAGCAAAGGTGAGGTTTTGAGTTCGATTCCTGTTATCCAATAAATAAATAACAAATAAATAAATAAGCATAGCTTCCTTTTAGTTTATTTTATAATACCAATACTAAAAACCTATTATAAATTGTACCACAACCCAGAGTAATCTAAAAAAATGTAAATAAAAATGTCAGTAAGAAGCAAAAATATGTAAGCTCCTGTCACTTTAGTATAATCACACCTAGTAACCTTTTGGAGATATTAAAGTATGATATTCATTACCATTTAATTCGCCTAGCACAGTGCTGGTTTTTCTAGTGCTGCAATTGCTATCCTAGAAGCACTGATACCTGTCTAGCCATGCCGATGTTTCTGATGTTGACATGAACGGGGGCCCACCCTGAAGGAGTATGGGCATTTGTCACACAGATGATGTGCGTCTTGTTGGAATACTCCACATCACATTTGGCTTCTGCTATGGTGACCTGAACATCTTGTGGATTTTCACTGTAAAGAGAAAACTAAGCATTTATATTTTACTTAGATTTCTGCTTTGCATCATCAAATCTCTTGGTATTTTTGCAAAAGATGCTGTTGTCTTACACTCCATCAAAGTTCAGATTGACACCCTTTTAGTCAGTACTCAGACTCTGAAATGTTTGTTGAGGAAAAAGTAAACAAAGAGATTAAGGGATCAGAAAAAAGAACTGCACAAACTATGAAGTGTTTTAGTGCTAAAGGAAAAACTGCCTGAGTTTGCATTATTGAGAGATTCTTTGTTGGCCTCCAAATAGGTATTTTTATAAGAGACTTTCAAGGATACATTTGTCTATGACATTTTTGTTACAGTCACAGACCTTGGAACTTAATCTCCATTTCAAAATGCAAGTCTCAATCCTAAATGCTTGAGAAATTAAAATTGCCTTTTATGGTTTGTTTGAAATTAATGTTACATACTTGAAGAATACAAGAGTCTGAATTACAAATAGTAAGTGTAAGAAGAAAGAACCCCATCAGTTACAGTGGAAAGGACCTGGTACTTGAAAGCTGTTTCTTTGATCCAAAGAAACAGGTCATGATTGGAGATGACAGGGAAGCACAGCAAAATGGTGATTTGTGTTTCTGATGTGCTTTATTAGCATTTGAGACAAGTGACTTCACCTCTTTGACCTTCATCTCCTATGTTAAGTGGGATGAAAATATCTCATGAAGGAGGACAGGAAGCTTCTCTGGGTAGGAAGATGTCGTTAAATGAGGGACAGAGAATGGGTGATACGTCTCGAGTCTGGAAACACGGAGCAAGTTGCCCATGTGAAGATGGTACCTGAATCCTGATCCCAGCACTGTAAGCCTGGTGCCCCCTGCCGTACTGCCTTTTGTGGGAGATATTTCAGTGACACGCGGAGTCAGTGCCATCATGTAAGTAAACAGAGTCGTGGACGGGGATGAATCTTTCCCATTGACCACACGCACTTCACACACTTGGTCAGGTCCCACGCCTGTGAGAAGAGGTCAAACTTAGTGCACGTCTGCCGTCAGGCCCTGGCTCATTTCTAGAACCTCCACGCATTTGCAATGCCGTCTTCCTTTCCCCACAATCACATCTAATACATCCAAGCTGTCAGTGAAGCAATACAAACCTCTAGCAATATGCAAAAGAAAATATCGCACAGTTCATTCCCATTAGCAACAGTAAACATCCTCAGGCCCTTTCTCGGAACCTGTTAGGCAGTTATATAAACCACCTGTGTGGTTTTCCAGTCCTAGAGCCAGGCCCAGCAACAGCAGCAGGGTGGACAGCAGACGGCAAGGGAGGGACAGAACAACTTCGGAAAGTCCACATGAGAAAGAGAAGAGGAAGTAACAACCCGTAAGCCTGCCAGATCTCCATAGCATTGCTGCGTATTTCTACGGGGACACAAACTCTAGTCTGTTAACGATATGTAAGCACAGATGTGAAAAGGTTGTGTTGTCATCAGCATTCTTTGTTTAAAATGTCAAAGAAGCAAAAATGTTTCTGCAAATCTTCATCAAATTTTGTTAACGTATTGTCTTGCATACTAAAACATATCCTTTATATTTACCTGGAAGTCATGTTATTTAAATATCTTTTGTATTTTGTTAAATAATAACTAAAATTTATTGGATAAAGTTCTAGATAGATAAACTTCAAAAAAACTATTAAATCATGGTTACTAATATTTCCACTTAATAGAGAAGCAAGTAGAGTTCAATTACTTACCAAGGATTACTCAGTAAGTGGCAAAATAGAGATTTGGGGACTCCTCAGAAATCAGATTTTTAACTACCAAGGGGGAAACAAAAGCTGAGCGTAGTGACACAAACCTGTAATCCTGCAATCCCAGCACTTAGGAGGCTGAGGCAAGAGGATTGCTGTGAGTTAGAGACCAGCCTGGGTTACAAAGTGAGCTCAAGGCCAGCCCAACGTGCATAGTGAGACCTTGTCTCAAACACACACACACACACACACACACACACACACACACACACACACACACACGTACTGAGAAGACAAAATAGCCAAAAACACACTGGGGGAAAGACAGTCTGTTTAATAAAACACTAGTTATTCACACTCAGAAGATTGAATCTAGACCTGCATCTCTCATCATGTACAGTTCTAAAGTCAAAAGAAATAAATATTAAACCAGAAACATCTAATCGGCCAGAGGGTAAATAGGTGAAACTCTTGAAGTTACCGGTGTAGGCCAGGGCTCTGGGAATGGAACCCAGCTGTACAGGAAACAGTTCTGAGAATGAACATAAAAATCTTCTGCATAGCCAAAGAAACAAGTGATAGAGTGAAAGGAAAATCTACAGAATGGGAAAGCCTTTTGCCAGTGATTCCTCAGAGGATTCATATCTAGACTATATAAAAAACACACAAAATATAAGATCCTCCAAAACGAAAGACCAAATCCAAAAATAGGCAACTGAAATGAACAAACCACATGTACAAATAGCCAATAAACACATGACCATCAGATAAATGAAAATGAAAGCAACCCTGAGTTTCCATCTTTCCCCAGAAAGAATGACCATCATTAAGAAATCAAATAATAACAAATGCTGTAGAGGCTGTGGGGGGAAGGGGCCCCTCTACACTGTCCATAGCACAATTGCTATGGAAATCAGTATGGAGGCTCATCAAAAAACTAAAACTAGAAACTCCATTTGACCCAGCTGTTCTCCTTCTATGTATCTTCCCCAAACAATTAAAATACCTTATTACAGTGATACATGCAAACCCATGTTTGTAGCAGCACATTTATAATAGCTGAATATTGAAAATGTCCATATTTCTATCAACAGATGGATAAAGAAAATTGCTGACCCACAATGAAGTACCTCTTTAAAATAAATTACTTAAAACATGATAAAATTAGAAACTTAGAAAACTTGGAAAACAAAATTCTGAATAAACTACTTAAAATGAGATTTAAATCAGACAATCATAAAAGAGATGCAATTATTTCCAAAGAACCCAAAACTTAAAAAAGAAAGCTGAACAGTGATACTTATAAAGTTAACTTCCTGAGAACTTACCATCATGAGGTGGGATTTCACATAATAATGTGGTGCGATCCGACCTAAGTCTATCGGTTGCACATTCTGTGCTGCAGATCGATATGACTGAATCTTGTGGGTTAAAACCAACACCTGTCACAGTCAGGATCTGGCCACCACCAAAGCTCCCTAGTGAAGACCAATACAAAATAAACTTCCTGTGTGCACATTTGCTTAAGTTAATCTTAAAACTTTAAGTGGAAGAAAGTTACATTAATGAGAAGTTTTTAAGATCCAACATATAAAATGAAATATAATTAATAAAACATCTTTTGATTGTAGGGTTTAAAAATCTTCACTGAGCAAATGTCACACCTCATGATTTATGTAAACTGTTTCTCAGAACTAAACTTCTACTTGAAAGAGATATCACAAAAAATTTCAAAGTAGTCAAAACATGCACTTACAATTACTGTTTTGAGTACATTAATTATACTTCCTTAAGGTTTTTAATCATTAAGAGAATTTTAAACTGGAAAAATATTGTTTCTTATAGAAACAATAACATGACACTGATGGGACCTATGAGTTTTTAAAAAAGAATTTTATGTGAAACTTGGTCATTTTAAGTAGAACTTATTTTTAAACACACTACATAATATTAAGAAAAACATAGGCATTATTCAATATTTTGAAATGATTAGCTACTCCTTTTGTGAGCTTATTCTTTTTGCTGAGAAGAAAAATCTTTTAGTGTTATAAGATTATTTTTTTCTAAATAAACTAGTTGTAACTGGCACAATATAAAATACAGTATTATTAGTTATCATAGCATCAAAATAGTTCAGTGAACATGATTTGTTCTTTTTAAGAACACATGCTCTCCGATGACCTTTAATAAAATATAACCATCACTGACAAATTATCACATTGTCTGGGCTCAGGGACTGTTGATCCCTCATGTGTCAGAAGAGACAGGGATGAAAATTATTCAGAAAACCCAGACTCTCTTATGATACAGCAGTGGTACAGGACGTGCTCATCAATAATCATGACTGCAAACAGACGCAACCCAGGCAGGGCCTTTAGTTAATCAATCAGGAGACTCTTCCTCTATTTCCTCCGGTGCCCTGTCCTGGCATCTTAGCAGCTTCTGGGAGTTTTTCCTGGCTGCATGGATCCCACAGTCGGCACTGTTGGGAGCTGTGCTTTGAATGTGCAGTTTTGGCTCATTCGTGAAGAAGCTTCTCAGGTCATTGCAAGGGACCAAGGAAAGTAAATAGTACTCCTAGGACAGCACAGAATTGTGACCCTGCCTCAGTCTGTGCACTCACTGGAAACGCCCAATGTCCCTGACAGTGAGACTGGTCCTCATAGAGCCACAGCTCTGTCTACCTTTGCAATAAATACCTGGGAGGACAGAAAGACATCTAAAGTATGTAGTAAAGGAGCTTATTAGCCAGGAGCACCGACAAAAATTAAATATATAAAACAATCACAGAGCCAAGAAAAACAGTGACAATTAATTATTTGATCATTTCCAATGGTTCAGAAGTGTACATATAACTCTTGAGGACATATGTGGAACCATATGATACAGAAAGTTTCCCTGGAGACATCAGTTCTAAAGAATTTGCTTACATCTGAGAATTTAGGTAAACAAAGCAGTTTTATTATCACCTGAGGAACTTCTGGAAGCAAATAGTCCTTCGACGTGAGCCCAATAAGAAGAATGCCCTGAAACTTTATTTTTTGGACCTTTAGAGTAATTGTTCTGCCTGTATTACATGTAATCAACAAATCTCATAAAAGAGTGCTCCAAATCACTCCCTTCTACATCAAAACAGGCAGCCATATATATTTTTGGATATTGCCTCAATATCTAAAATAATGCTAAGTAGCCTATTTCTCCCCAGTATCAGACATTTTAGAAATAATACAAGTTTTAATGACATTTGTCTTCTCATGATTCCTGTGATTATTTGCATAATACATTTAAAGAATGTGCCTAAAATACAATAAGCTACAGGCACTCCTCATTTAATGACCAAACTATGTTCCTTTGACTATGTTGTTAAATGGATTGGCTTCTAAATGAGGAATGATTTATGTCAAGCACATCACAATATTCAGAATCCAATTTGATGACTTTGCTTTTATTTGCATAATTCTTACCTGCAGTGTTTTAATGTATAACAGAACATAAAACTTCAGTACTATACTGCACTATATTATACAGTATAATGAGCAAAAATTACAGTACTGTAGAAACAAGGTATACTGCACAAAAAGCCATTGAAGCTTTATATACAAGATGTACAGAACTGAACCAAAAATGGGTCATAAGTCTGAATAGTAGTTAAATAGGTAGGTCGTTAAATGAGGAATATCTGTATTTATTGTATGTTCCTACCTTGCTCTGGGTGAATACTGTGAATATGAAGTGGGTACTCAAATACGACAGTGGACACGCCAGAGCCTTTTGTCTTGTGATGCAGCAGCACAGGAAAAGTACCACCAGCATGATCTCCAGCGACACACCGCAACACGCTGCCATTGACCATGGTCACATTGCAGCCAGCGTTGCTGATCGTCACGGAAACTTCTGAGATGTCAACACCAAAGTTAGAGCCAGTGATCTCAACTTCAGTTCCTGGGGGACCTTAAAAAGAAGCAAATGACATAAATTTGTATTTAAATCCCCATACTTATATGTGTAGTCAAAGATCTATCGCTTCACTTTTGAAACTAAAATAATAGCCATTGTTTTGAAAGCATTATAAATATTAAAATACATGTCATGCATATTTTGCCTCCCACATACACTACAGTCTATTGAATATTAACTAAGTAAATTATCTCAACGTTCACTATTTTTTACACTTTTGACCACTCCACTGAGTTTTGAGTTTTTAATGCAGGTTAACAAGGATAAGAGGAGGAAGAAGAAAGATCTAGAGTTTAAAAGCATGAGTGTCTGGACTGGAATATATTTTAAAAGTGAGGCTTACTAATGTTTATTTTTGGTAGTTTTTTTCCCCTTGATATCAGCAATTGTTTTTCAGAATGGACTGTATTTTTCTTTTTCTTTTTTTTTTTTTTTTTTTTTTTTTGTACCAGGGATTGAACTCATGACCTCACTCTAGGTGCTTACGCCACTGAGCTAAATCCCCAGCTGGATTATATTTTTCTTAAGTCAAATATTTTCAACAGACATAAGTTAGTGAATTGTGTGCAAATTATTAAGTGTAAAATAGTGCATAAAAAGAATTAATTTAAAAATATTGATGCTAGGGCCTTAAATGAATGTACAGAGAAAGCACAGTGATCCAAGAATTTTAAACCTATCGTGTTTCCTTTTTGACAAATGTATAATGAGGACATTAAACATATGGAAATTTTCATAAGTTATCCAAATGAATATCCACATACCTAAGCTTTAAATGACCAGATAGCAATCCCCACAAGTTGCTACAAATACCTGGCCTTCGAATTTGAGTTTGGTTTTAATTCAAGTAGTAATTATAAGAATTACCATATAATTGACAATAGTGAGGATTACCAAAATGTGAATCATTATATTTATGAATTATTATTATAAAGACTACAAACATTAATGAGATATTTTATATTACAGATAATTTTAAGATATAGACTAAAAATCATTTATGTTAAAATATTCATTTGACATTTCGCCTTTCCTATGAGACAGTGTTCTAAGTGTGATGAATTCCTTGCCTCTTTAATAAATTAAACAGTCCAGATCTCACTTGCCTATAAATCTGAGATGTCACACAAATCATTGAAAAGGACAGTCAAAGAGAAAGTTGAGAAAAAAACTGGTCCATGGAAATAAGGAACAAATGTCAGTATTTTCCTTGCCTACAAATTTATGAATATGTCATTTCTCTTTTTAACATTTGCTTCTTGATGTAGAAAAAAAATTAACAGTAAACTTCCTACAGGCAGAGAATATATCTTACTTAAATTTAATTTCCTGGCAGACTAAATAAAGACATTTTCTAAAAGTCAATATTTACTGATTTCTTTAATAACTATACCACTCTATGGTATATTTTATGGGTGAATTTATTTTACTTTTTACTACCTAGGTACCTAAAAAGCTGATGTAAACAAATAAACAAACAAAACTTGTCTAAAAGTTTAGGAAATAGAGGAATTTGGATTTGAACTCAGGCCTCAAACTCATGCTCCAACCATGACACTATAGTACCTCTCTAGAATTCATTACACAGATGATGAGCATTCCAAAGCTTGACTATAGTTAGGGACAGCATAGCATAGTTAGCATAATGACAGAGCCAAGAGGGCATCTTAATCTAATCTTATAAAAACTCGGTGCTAAATAATGAAGTAAATCTTATTGTCTTTATCTAAATGTGCCAACTACCTCCTTAAAAAGAATAGCTTTCTATCAACAATATCAACAGGAGCTTCATGAAAAATAATCTGAAAAATTATCCACGTTAGAAAGATCTTGTGAATTTTTGTAGTCATTTCTTCTACGATATCAACATTGCTGATAATAATTTATCCATTTTGGTACACAGAAACACATGTACTTTTCCCTCATTTGAAGTTTAGGTTAAGCTAATGGTGATTTTGTTTCTAACTGGAAGTTGGAACTTGATGAAAAATTTTATCCTAAGGACTTACAAAGACTAATCATAAAATGAGACTTCTCAGAACTTGAATCTCAATTATGAATTGGGTTAAGTAGAACTGTGTAAAAAAATAACAATAATTATGAGATGTGATTAAAAACACAGTGAATATGGAAATTTTAAAAGTGTGCTACAGGGAAATCATGCTGCCGTCCATCTCCCTAAAGCCCTGCTCCACCCTTTGCTTGCACACACTTAGTGCATTGTTGCTCCCGCTTTGGGATGCGTTCTCAAAGTCCTCTTCCAGCAGGGCCCTTAGCTGTGCCATCCTGGACTTTGTGAACCAATTCCAGATGTTTACCTTTCACTCTCACTTTGACTTTGGGGAAGACCCAAGACTCGCAAATCGGTGAATGCAGCAGCTGAAGATGTACCTAGCGTGTCTGCAAGCCTGCCCTTTCTTGGGGGCACTCAGCAGCAGCATTCACTACATTTATTATTACACCCTGTAAAAATACTCACAAAAGAGGCCTTCTAGGACTGCCTCAGAAAGTGGCTAGAACAATGGCGTGAGTTTGAAGTGAGGGGGATTGGTAGCCATGTATTTCTTAGTGTAATGATTTTTTAATGTAAACAGCCACTGTGTATTTTGACCATATCTGATATTTACAGATATTAGTGTAACTTTACAGTAATAAATATTGAAAATATAACATTGAGATACTAAAAAGGTAAGTAGCTATCACTGTCATACCTATGTTTGGGGCAATTCTTCTGAGAAATGGGGTATCCTCCAGGGCATACGTGAACGGTAAAGGTGGGTAAGGAACTGCATTGACCAGGACCTGCAGATCGGCCTTCCCAGCTCTCCCTGCTGGGGTGCTACAGTGCACCTCACTGGCGTTGGCAAACAGAATCTGACAGGGGCCCTCCCCAACAGTGACTGTGGTGCTGTCCGGATGGAAGCCATTCCCTGTGATGACCAACATTGTTCCTCCACCAAGGCTTCCGGAGGATGGCGAGACAGATGCTTCCATGGGGCTGCTGACGGTCAGGTTTCCCAGAGCCAAGCCTTTAGTTCCCACCACTACTCTGAGAGGATGGAGTCCGGCCGGGAGGGAAGACACGAGAACAGTGATGTTATTTTCATTCACGTCTATGGCTCTGAACTGTTGATTTCCAATGAGAACAGCAATCTCTTCCAACACAGTCCCAAAACCTGCTCCTTCAATGAGCACTTTTACAGGTCCTCTGATGGTGTTTGGGGAGACTCCCGTGATGTACGGGGTGATGCTGTCGGAGTATGCAAAGCTGCAGCTGCCCTGACAGAGGCCAGGCACTCCACGTGTCAGAAGATGCACCTGAGCAAGCTGTCTGGGCGCAGGGGACGTTTCACATTCCACAGCCGTGTAATTCACTGTGAGAACTTTGCAGGGGAAGTGACCCATAAAGACCTCTACACCTGCCCAAGAAAACCCAGAGCCTTTAATGATCACCCGCGTCAATCCTGTCGTCGACCCTGTGTTCGGCCATACCATGTCAATGCTGGGCAACAGAACAAACCGCCTATCAAACTCATGGGACAGTGTATTGATTGCAGTGCCCAGGTTGTAGACAACCAAAGTGACAAGCTCCCGGATGCCAACCTCCATTGAGTCTTGCGGATCAATATGGCACGTGATAGAATTGGCACTACTTTCTTCTACAACACAAGGGTAGTGACCAATTGTAACCTGGAAGGAGAGTGAATGTGAAATAAAGTAAGTCGCGACATGACTTCTGTACACATTTAAATTTTGTATTAGCAACAACTGTAATTTTCGAAGGCTAACTCTGTGGAAACTTTTTTAATCACAAAATTAACATTGGGAGCTAATTATGACACAAATTAACTTTTAGATTAAATTACTATTGTATACATGTTCATGACTACATTATTTATGACACCCCAAAAAAGAGAAAATAGCCCAAATATCCATGAACTGATGAACAGATAAGTAAAATATGATATACCATACAATGGAATATTGTTCAGCTATAAAAGAAACAAATCCTGCCACATTGAATACACTTTGCAATGTTAGGTTATGACGCAGTTGGTCACAAAGAACCACATAATGGGTGGCTGTATGTGTGGAAGTGTCTAGAAGAGGCAAATCTGTAGGGAGGGAAGGTAGATTAGTGGTTGCATGGGTTGAGATGGATGGGATGGTGCTATTTTTTTACAGGGTAAGAGAATGTTCTAAATTGTGATCACAGGTGTAAAACTCTGTGAATAGACTGTGCATATATGTGTGTGTGGACCCTATGTCATGTGAATTATGTCTCACAAAGCTGGTAAACATTAAATATGAGGCCATGGTTGAAACATCTCTTTTTTGAGGATATGGAATGTCAAAGATCCATATGTTCTCACCTTATTAGCACATGTGAGGTTACTGAAGCCACTTCCAGTAATTGTTATCAATTCATTTGCTGTCCCGGTGGATGGAGTGATGTTGCTAATGGATGGCGAAATGCAACTTGAAAGCTCAAAGAGAAATATACTTGAATTTTGAACCCTGGTATCATTCGGACCACACAGAGGTTCTGTTGCTAGGCAGCCTGCCCCAGAGCTTCCTAAGTGCAAATTCTCAGGTCCTCCTTTAGACAAAAGAACTTCCTGTAAGTCATGCATAATATTCAAAAATAAGAACTGTTTCAGACACAGTTATTCTTTATTTTGACAAAGGTAGTTTTAAATTCTGGTAAATCTTTTAAGGGTCTGGTACTAGGCTGGAAAATTGCCTTAAAGACCTAGACAAAAGGTTGTGTAATAAAAGAGTGAATGTAAAGTCAATTTAGTTTTCAATTTGTTCAAGGCCAGCTCCCATAGAGGATACAAAACAATAATGTCACCAAATATTCGAATATATTTCGGGCATATGCAGAGTGTCAGAACTCTTTAATATCAAATCTCATTTGAAGCATAGCAGGATTCTGGGAGGCAGATAGGAAGACATTACCATCACCCTTATTTTATAGAATAAATTCTAGCCTCTGAGCATTGCAAACCTTTTCAAGGTCATAGGTAAGAAGACACAGCCCTCAGGTAATGCATACTCATCAAACTCCTACTACAGGAAGGTCACATCACCCCCAGGGCACCTCGGTGACGCTTCCATCTTTAACCGTCTTACCCTGAATGTGCGTGGCTTCAGTGCTGCTCACGAACAGGTGCAGGGGAAGGTGCCTGCTTTCAGCTGGTAAAACGTTAACGACTCCTTGGAGGGAAATGGAGTGAGCCTCATCAACATAGCCGCTGCTGTAATAATGGATTCCAGGCGAAGTAAATTGGTAAGAAAATGAACCTGCCATAAAATAAGGTCATACATCATAAATACAAACAATGAATGTACCCTTTAAAGGAGAGGGAAGACATCTGAAATGATGGTTTAAGTGCTCATGCAGATAACATGTGACTTCTTCATGCACTTGATATTTCAACGGCAGGTAGAAGCAAAATGCCTTATTGGCCATAAGAGCTATTCTGTATAACGAATTTATTCCAGGAAGACAAGATAAAGCAGTAATTGTTTAGATAATCATAGCAAGTTTGACCACAATTTACCAAAACTGAAGAAAAACTCAACCTAAAATTAAAAATTAAAAAGCAATGCTTATATTGTTATATATCTATATCTATATCTATATCTATCTATCTATCTATCTATCTATCTATATATATATACTGAGCTGTCCTACAAAAAATAAAAATGTTTAAAGCTGATTTCAATCAACAAAAGCTCATCAGCTTAAAACATAAATTTCTCTTTTCACTGTATTTTGCTGTTTCAATGTAGTTTTCAGTTATTACAGAAATAGTAAAGATATTTCTGATACCAGAATTTATTTCCATGTATATAAAGTAGTTTGCTTGCACTTTCTTACACCATTTTTACTACTGCCATAAAATGCCAGGTAAACCACTTGGTACATTTTTCTGTATTATTCATGTAAAAGTATGCTAAATATTAACAAAATGTATTTTCATTACATTAACAAATATAGAAAAAATAAGCATGGTGCAAAATTCAATAAACTGGAAACACACCTGATATAGATTTTTGTCTTCCATTTGTAAATCCTTTGCCATCGTAAGTCACACTTCCAGGACTGGAGACAGAGAAAACTCTATATCCCACTCCCCTAAGAAACGGAGGTGCCTGCCAATGCCATATCACTGTGTCTCCGACAGACACATTTAAGACGGACGGTGACCAGGCGTAACCCAATCCATGCACTGAGAGCCAGAATTGGATCATATTTCAAAAGGAAAATAGACAAAAGAGTAAATTTCTTAATTAAGCTTGTAAGCACTGTCGCTATGCAGTCGCTCTTTAACTGATACGGCGAAACCCTACTACGTACATAAATTACTCAACAAAGACAAATAGGAATAACACAAAGTAAAATGACAGCATGACAAGGAAGAAATAAGTCATACAACTCCAGCACCGATGACTAAGAGATAATTTGAAAAACATGATTATTCAACGAACTGTTCAAAAATACTACAAGGACTATTTTTAAAGTTATGAACCGTTCTTTAAACTTAAGAATTTTCTGAAACACGTAAGTAGCAATATATATATAATTTCAATCTGAATATGCATTTAAAACCCATGAATTATTATAAATTATAGTAAATCAGAAGGTTCTGCATTGCAGCAAAACCAAAGGCAACTTCTGATAATGGGAATTATAGAGTCAGCTTTTTAAATTCAGCTTTACCACAAATGCAGTTATGCAACCCTCCACCTTAAGTGCATATCACTGATGCGTTATGAAAGGAGCAATAATAGTTATTCTCTAGATAATTTGAAGCATTAACTAAATACCAATTAAATCAATTACAGGTTAAAGAGGTTTCTGCATTCACAATATGTAAATGGTGATCGGTACCTAAATCACTCCCGTCATTGGTAACTCGGAACACATTCCTTGTTGAATGAAGAGTACATTTTATGGCGTTTTCTGATGACCTTGTAACATTGCAAGGGAAAGAACCTAGAAAGAATAGAGAAGGAAGAAGCTCCCTTTTCTCAAATTTTTTCATGGACTGTAAAGATAAAGTAATATCAGTAAACATCAAGGCTTTGCAAAAGTTCTTCAGTATATGGGAGGATATTGGTACTTTGTTTTTAATAGTGAGCATGTTTCAGTAGTGATTATTTTCAACATAAGAGCCTCTCCTTGAAGTGTTCTATACACATTAAATACACAATCTTGATTTGTTGGGAAATCAAACATTGAAAAGCAGTTATTTTTACTCTGTCCTCTACACCAAATATACTTATTCTTTTTCATACTAATAGAAAAATAAACTTTCCATGATTAAGACAGTTAGTGTAATTTTAACTAGGCATCCGAGGCATACTTTTAAGCAGAGAAAATGGTAAAGCTTGTGGGAATGCAGCTCTTACCTAAGAGGACAGTATTCTCAGCTGGTATCGTGCTGAAGCCAAATCCCATTATAGTGATTTCAGTCCCACCATATAAGGAACCTCGGCGTGGAAACATGTCTGTGACTTCCAAGACATACTGTACCGAAGCATTTAACTTGTCACTAAGAAGGGGAAAGGGATGAGATTTTTTTCAGTGCACTTTCCATAGGTCCATACTCTTAAATTCTTGCCAACCTGTAACTTCTTTAGGAAGCAGGAATATTTGAAAATATATATATATATATATATATATATATATATATATATATATGTAGTCAAGCACTAGTTTTCAGCTACCTAATCTGGTAATTATCAGTGTTAATACTTTAAAAATTAGATTCCTGGAAATTTCATTTGCCAAAGCATGTGAGATGAAAGATCTTAAACTATCATGGAAAACTCTGATTATGAGAAAGATCTCAAAAATTAACTGAAATCCTTTAAAATATTTTATATTTTCATTATGGTAAAATATAAAGGCAGCTCTACCTGGAAAAAAAGAATCAATAAAATTCTCCATATCTTATCTGAGTAATAAAGTGTTGTGTAATTTAAATTTATCATTCCATGTGTGTTGGCAGTGTCAGGATTTTCCTCCCCACTCTTCCAGTGAGTGGGTTTTTAATTAATTTTCCTTTGTTACAGACAATGTCCCTTTTGGGAAGCCATCAAAATGTACAATGTTTTTGTGACCAGAGTTGAGTCCTACGTTAAGGTTACCACCATAACTACTCAGGCAGAAAACCCCCAAAATGTTTTTGCTTTGACCTGCGTTCAACTTCCTCAACATAACTGAACTGGTATTTCTTCAACTACCATCTACAGAAAGACAGAGTTTGCATCGGGCCCCTTCTGTACATGTATCATCCAGCCAAAGCACAAGCCAGTAGCTCTTCCAGAACTCACATGAACTCCCTCTGTGGATCTGGAAAGGACCCAGTCCCTCAGGCTGCTTGGCTTGTTCCATGTCCTATGCAACTTCACTGCAATCATCTCTCCTGCTGCTGTGCCACAAGCTGTGTTTGCCTTTGATTTTTAATCCCCAAATTTCAGAATTTTCTTTTCCTAAGTATTCCAACTAGTAACTTCCTCACACAAAGACTGAAACTGCCAGTTAACAAACAGTTTAGGGGAAAACATACTACATTCCCACAAGAAACAAAGGATTCTCTCCATGCTCTCTTTTACATGGCCCACCCTTCCCTACCCATTTCTTAACTATCACCAATTCTTACCTATTCCTCAGAAAGTTAGCGCTTTCCCTTATATACTCTTATAGTGCCTGGTTCTCTTTTTCATAGCTGTTTTCACCTTTATAATTAAGTGACTGATATGATCTTCTGTTTGAAATCTTTCCTACAAAACTGTGAGCTCGATGCAGGGAATTTTCACTTTTAATTTTCTACTGTGAATCCAGTACAATGCAAGTGTCTGGCCCTAGAAATTGCTTTATAAGTATTTCCTGAATGAATGAAAACTGTATGACATATATGCAAATGTAGTCATGCAGGGAACTTTATGACCTGATCTGATATTGGTTGCAAAAAAAGTATCCTATTGTATTTTTAAAGATTTTCTTGAAATAGTTTGCAAAAGGATATACAGAAAAATTAAGGGGGCTATTAACATATCATAGATTAATGATTATCTTGTCCTCCCCAATTATATTAACATAATAAAGTGATCCACAACTCTACTAAGTTTGTGATCATTACCATACCTTGTTGATGCAAAACCCCAGTTTCTGACTTCTGCATAGACAGAATGTTCTCCAGGAGACAGCAGTGGTAAAAGGCACCTAATATCTGTGAAGTTCCAGTGGAGAATCTGGCAGACTTTTCCTCCAACATATACCACCACGTTTTGTGTAAGTTCATTTCCAAAGTTATAACCCTTAATTGTTAAATTAACATCTCCTGTTATTTTAAAAGAGAAAAAACATTTTCAAAAGGGCTCAACTTATTATCCAGTGTGAAATCTGAGTGTTAAAAAAACCAACTCATTTATCATTTATTGGACTTAAGAAATTCTAACACTTTCTGAGGAAACAGAAAGCAAGAGCTGATGGCTAGAATGTGGAGGTAAAAATTCATGTGTAATTGTTTCAGAAGAAAAAAGCAATGGGGCAAATTACTTTTTAAAACAATGCTTTCACCAGACTGTACATGTTCAAAATATAATTATAAAATAAGCAATATTTGTTTAAAAAAATCTTGAGAAATAAACTGAAGGGGAAACTATGCTTTGAAAGGCTTTCTTGAGGTGATATCCGTGTATATAAATGATTATTCTTACTGAAGAAGTTCTTACCTAGAATTGTCCGTATTTTGGGGCTAAAATCCGTTATAACTGGAGTCTGTAAGCAATTATATCTGAAAACATTCCTGACGGTGGCTTGAAATCCATTGGTAATAACTGAAATATCAACTGTGCCCTCACTTCTCTAAAATAAGTGGAAAAATAAAACAATTAGAAAATATTAAATGCTAAAATATGGAAACTCAAAGTCTGAAAACAAAATGAATTGTTAAAAAACTTCTGAAGATATTTTGTTGGTGTCACATATAGGCTACATGTGCAAATTCTCAAGATAAAGGTTGATTATATGGTAGTTTGTGGTTGTATGATTAATTTATTGAATCTACAGTAATGGATTTTAAGAGTTCTATGTAGTTGAAACGCTCTGGACAAGTGGTTCCTTAACTGACAAGAATTAGATATCATAAATTTTGTCTTTTTGCTAGTGAAACAGAATTCAATGTAATTGTTAAGCAACTTCATTAACAAATCACAGTCTTAGCATCTTTTGCTCATCTAGTTCTAGAATCTAAAACCAAACACTTGGATTCCTAAGAAAAATATTTGATACTTTCACTAATCAGCACCTATGCAGCTCCTAATTAGGAAAAACAATTTTCTATCACCTTATGTATATGTAAAACACATTCAGTGTATAACTGAACATTATGATTTAAACAGAATAATCTTTGATGGATCATACTTCCCAGATTCTCATTCCCATCATTCAGACCAATTCACACTCAAATTTGTTTTTCTTATAGATCTCAACAACATAATGACCTTATTTACTCTGCCACATTTTTATATCATTATCCTTTTTCCACGTAATAAGTGAACCAGAATCTTGGTGTAAATTTAAAGACTATTTTTAAGATAAAGAATCATGCCCAGTACTAAATTGTAGCATCTCACGGAGAGCTTTACGTTGTTTTTGCCAATAAATTGAAACTTTAGCACATTTAAAAAGTAAATTCTTTTTTAAAAATTAAAAATGTATAGACTTGTGCACCTGAGTTTCTTGAGATTATTCAGTACTACTGGGCTTTTTTTTCAACTTTTATTTTACCTGGTAAAATTTTATTAATCCTCAAGTGCTAACAGTATATTAAATTGTCTTATTTTGTATGTATTTCTATCATTTCAAGCAGGATACATTACTTAATTAATATTGGGTTGTTTTCATGATTTTTAAGCATGTAGGATGTGGAGATGATATTTTGTCTGGGGACACTAACAGAGACATGTTAAAGAAATGATCCAAAAGAGCATAATGGAAAATCTAAAATCTCTAGAAAATGTTTTATTTGCTTAACGTTGTGCTCAGATGTTCCCCAGTTCACAAGATTTCAAACTTATGAATCAGAGGAAAATGGCAGCAATCAGAGGCCTTACTTTGGGTGTTCTGCAGGTAATCCTATTCAAATTCCCTTCAATCACATCGCAGGTTTCATTTCCAACTAAAACCTTTGAATTTTCACTAAAGCCAAATCCAGATAGGGTCAAGAGAGTACCACCTTTATAAGAAAAACAAAAGAAAAAGAAACCGAAAATCAGATCAATTATAACAAAACCTAAAAGTAACAGTAACACACAACCCACATTTGCTTCGGAGGATTAATAGCCACATCTATTTTTCACAGTGCTTTGTTCATACTCATACTTTGACAGAAATTACGCTATTTCTGTTCATCCAACCATTCCATTGGTGGGAAATGAGAATGAATTAAGATTCTCACAAAATCCCTAATTTTAATGCCTCTAAATAAAATAAAATCAAAGGAAAACATGACAAAATAAAGTCACAGTAAATTTTTATAAACACCAAAAAGTTCAAACCAAAGCACAAAATCCAAAACTAAGCATGTTTACAGAAAGAAGGAGGAGGAGGAGCAGGAGGAAGAGGAGGAGGAGGAAAGGAAGGAAGGAAGGAAGGAAGGAAGGAAGAGAAAGAAAGAAAGAAAAAGAAAGAAAGAAAGAAAGAAAGAAAGAAAGAAAGAAAGAAAGACAGACAGACACTGAACACAAAGCAGGACAAAAAACGCCTTATTTCTCTCCATCCTCTTCCTCAGCCTTCCTTGGCTTGATTAGTTCCCAGAACTTTTCTGTGTCAAGTAGCTCCATTGAGACCGTGGTTACAAATGAAGCAGCTGCTAAGGAGAATAATAACTAATAAATCTTATCTTGACATAATTAATGAGCTTGTTATGGAAACATGTAATAATTGATGATATTAATTCAATAACCTAAGACGTAAGTATGAATAGTCACTCTGATTTGTGCTTTATATGAAACAAAAGAATAAGCCAGCCATTTAATCATATTTTCTACAAGGAGACTGTCCTTTGTTCTAGAGGGAACTTTGAGTTCCTCTCCCTGTGCCCTGTACCCAGAACTGCACGAGGAAATATGAAAAGTACACGATTTTCTCCATTCAGAACTAGCATCTAGCAACATATTACCTGCCAGGCTCCCAGAATCAGGCGTGATGTGTGAGATCCCACTCTGATAAACGAAGTGGAATCCCTGGCTGTGTGCGGTCCGCGCCAGTCCAACATCAGCCACGGACACTGCAACGGGCAAACGTCCAGCGCTTCCCTTCAGAACCTGGCACTTGATCTCATTTTCTTGCAATAAAAAAGAAGAAGAAAATGAAAAAGTAAATGGGTTCTGTGAGACAAAATTATTGAAAATTTACATTTGTAAATACTGACATTCACTTTCACCTCTAGATCCCATAAATACATCTGAAGAAAATACCTATGTATTAACAGGAAAGGATGATCTCTGGGCAAATGCTTTTATGTACTTCCTAACTTATGAATCAGGTTTTCCTAGGAAATAGATAAACCAATAGTGAAAGCAAAGTAAAAAGATACTGTCATAATTTTTTAAATCCTAATTTTCTTTTACTTTTTCCTTTTTTGGGAATCAAACTCAGGATCTTGTGCTTACCAGGCAGGGGCTTATGCCACCGACACAGAATCCTAATTTTCAATTACATTTGTATTAATAATTCTAAAATTTCTGGTCCAATCTATTATTTATGCCTAAAAGTAAGTGAAATAAATTTTATCAATAAAAACCACATTAAATGTTTTCTTCACTTTATTTAGAATTATCTGTGTGCATTGCTGAGTCAATAATAGCTGTTTAGGGCCTCAACAGTGCACAGAAAATTTAAATTATAAATGATTGAAACGAATTGCAATATAGGCTTGCTTATTTAATTCCAATCTATTTAAATTAGGGGAAACACTCAGGGCTATGAGAGATAACTTCAGGAAATAAGTAACTACAGCCCTCCCAATTTCAAGAGTGTGCATGGTTCTTTGAATTTTCTCCATTGGAGAGAGGCTGTGTTGGGCTAGGGCCAGGGTACCCGGCCACATCCTCTTGCAGTGGGACTAGTGTGGCATTGTCAAAGCATCGACAGGACTCTGGGGCACTAGAGGGGGGCTCTGAACATGTTCGTGTCCCAAAGGGACCAATACAAATACAAGAGAGATCTCATGTGACCACTTTGTAAAGGACAAAAACAGAACAAAATTAACCGTTACAAGATAAAGACGATATATAACATGAAAGGTTAGTCTCTGGTCATGATCAAAGATAAAAATAATGTAAGTGATTATCCTGGCCAGGTTGCCAATTTCATGGCTTCTTGGGATAGACTAAAGTAATCATATTTGTAATATAGCATTTGGATTCCACTTTCTCTTAGAGGAGAGTAATCAGACTTTATAATTTTTCAAAGAACCTACCCTCCACAGAAAGAAGAGAGCAATTAGTAGATCCAATGGAGACTGACACTGCTGAGCTAGGAGAAAATCCAGAGCCTGCTATGGTTAAAAGTGTGCTTTCTTCATAGGACCCTGAAAGTGATAAAATTTAAATAACAACATTAGAGTAATAAAATTAGAATATTTTGAAATCTAATATTTCTCAGAGAAAAATAAGCCTGTCTTCTAAAAGACGTAAACAATATGCCAAACTAGTAGAAAATAAAAGCATTTGTCCTGTGAGTATAATTTTTCCATTGAATTGTTCTATCTTGCTTCATATTTGGAATCTAGGCATTGACAGTGGAAAGAACTACATGATTGAAAGCATGAAATGGCAGAGAAATCAGACATCTCTGTAGAGTAGCTTAATGTATGACAGACTAGCCATCATAAACTCATCAAGAAAGTTTAACCCATACAATCGGTGTGCTGACACTTCTTTTTTTTTTTTTTTAATAAAATCATTCCTCTATCTAGAGTTGCATAAATCCTAAAGTTCATAGGGTAGTCCATTTACAAATAGCGCCCAGGGTTTTAAACTTTAATATTTTTCCTTTCACTGTTAAAAATGTCTGAGTTTACTAGCAAATAAAATACATGATCTACCTACTTATATACCACCAAGCAGAGTAAGAATTTCATGTGAAATTAAGCAGCTAAGAATGAAAAACCAAAATTCTAAAACTTTAGAACTAAACATAATCTAATCTCTCAAATAGACAAGGATTTCTTAAATAAAAGTAAAAAGCTATAGTTAACATAAAAGGCAAGATACATACAACAATAATTGTTGTGTGTATAATACACACAACATAAATGTTTACATGAACAATTTACAAAACCAAAAAACTGATAGAAGATATGTACCACACAAAGGATCCATGAGCATAATATATAACAAGTAGATACAAATTAATTTTAAAAAGACAATGCAATAGAAAAGTTAAAAGATGTTAAATAATTTTCAAAAGAAAAAATAATCTGAATATCAAAAAATTAATCTGAATGTCCATAAAATATATAAGAAGTTTCTCGTATGTATTGCTAACAAGAGAGTAGATGAATTAAAACAATAACAACTTCATTCACAGTCTGGCCGTAACTAGGAAGCTGATAATTTCAGATACTGATATGGATATGCTGATGATACTCTCATACCAGTTGTCAGTAGAACAAGTTTGGAGGAAAACTGACTTATACAGTAAACTGAATATACAAGTACGCAATTATTATCCAGCAGTTTCATCCGGGTATTACATTCTTAAGACATTCTAGAATATATGCAATGGAAGGTTTATAAAGAAAGCTCCAAAGAGTCTCATTTATAAAACCAAAAGCCTGTAAATAATCTAAATGCTTACCAAGAAACAAACAATTAAATCATTATGCTTATGAAGTACTGTAAAGTGATATTAGGAATACCTACAACCATTATTAATTTTAAAAAGTAAGAAATGACAAGATATTTACATTGGAATCCATCACTTACAAGCTTTAGACATGGTAAAATCACCGTATGTGCTATATACAAAGGGTGTTAAAATGGCAAGAAGAAGACACATAAAATTAATTACTGTGAATGCCTCTGGGGAGGAATGTGGGGGACCAAGACTAGAGATGCTGCTTAAAAAGATTTCAGCTGTTCTGGGACTACTTTTTCTTTGTTAGATTGATAACTGGATGCACACATGACAACTTTTAGTGAAAAAAAAATTCTTACCATTTTTATAATCTTCTTTGTTATACTTGTATTATATTATTTTTTTATACTTTGATTGTAACAGTGAAAGGCAACCCAGATTGCTATTTGAATTAAAAATCATATTTTAAAAGTGCATATAAAAATAGCAACTCATTACAAAACACAAGGATAGATGAAAAATATCAAAAGATTATAACCAAATGTTCATCTAATTCTTATTATTGAGATTTTTTTACACTGTACTATGAATTACCTTAAAGTCAATAACATTCCATTTTTTCAACCTAAAATAATAGCACTATTTTTATTTTTTAAGGCTCTTTTGGGGCATAGAATGATTTTTAAATAGTGGGTGCAGATTTCTACCAGCCACCTCACTCAATGTATGATCACGATGTTTCAGTTCATCTTTTTGATTGACAAAAAATCACCCCTTATAGAGCTTATTTCTGCTGCTAACTTTAATCTCCAGGAGCTCAGACATGAAGGGTAATCACATTTTTGGGAGCAGTAACATGCTATGAAGAAAATGGCACAAAATGTCCTTTGAACTAGGGGGTACTTGCCAATAATCTTTCTCTCTTTTCTCGAATGTAGCACTTAGCTATTAAAAGTTGTCACTAGACTTAATATAAGTCTCCTAGGAAAACTGGTCTCCTGTGGTGAAAGATTCTGATTAACATCCTAGTTTAGTTGAAAAAACATGCCTCAAACTCAGTAAAATTTTAGGGAATGATGCCGACTTGTAAAAGTGGAGTATAAAGATTAGCAATTAGTACATGTCAAACAGTGTACTTCAGAAGAAGGGAAAAGGAGAGAGAGAGAGAGAGAGAGAGAGAGAGAGAGAAAGAGAGAGAGAGAGAGAGAGAGAGGACAGCAAGGAAACAAAGTTTTTGTAAAAGGGGGAGAGAGTTTGGAGGGAGGGTAGGGGAATGAAAGAAAGAAACAAATTACATCATGTACAGATACAAACTCTCTATGATGAATGTGATCACTATGTGTACTTAAAATGTACCACCAACAACAAAAAAGATCGTACCTCAGCTTCAAAGGCATTTTTTTCCCAAAATAAGTAATTAATGTTTTTCCCAAAGCATTCTTATGTGATAGGCTTTTTTTTCTCACTTTATAGAATGGCCTGCTTGCCTTATTGGTAACACTAGAACGAATGCATCTTTAAAAAATCGTTATCAGCATTTATATTTTTCTAGCTATCTTCCACCTCATACCCCAAGTTACAAAGCAGGAGGTTACCTTGAGAAGGGCTTATGGCCAAGACTTGGGGAGTAGCCGCGGGATCCCACGTAAAACTGCAGTCACCTGAACATTTTGCTGGAATACCATTGATGTAGACTTCAACCTTCAGGAAAAGAAACACAGAGCCAGTAAAAAAGGCAAAGAGGTAGCAGGGCTCATAGAATATGTGTAGGATTTGGAACAATTTGGAGTTACATTTGCTTGCTTGTCTACAAAAATTAGTGTATATATTTTCTCTTTGACAGATAATTATTCATTCAGCAAATGTGTCTACTGTGTATCTGGCATAGTTCTGAATGTTAGGGCTACAGCAAAATACAACATTAAACAGATGACAGGCCTTCAGTCATCCAACTGATAGTCTAGTAGAGAAGTTATGTATATGAGTGAATTAGGGCTCTGAAGACTAGAGGCTGCTCTTAGGGAAGTTACTAAGCTCTTCACATTTTGATTTCATCATCACTAGACGTTAGTAATTACTTCACAGAGCTAATATGAAAACAACATTTAAAAAATATATTTTCTAAATCTGGCAGGAGCCGATCTTAAAGACGCATCACATTATCATATGGAACGATAATTTCCCCAAAAGCCATAAAGTAACATTTTTTTAGTTGATCAACTTTTAACACAAATATTCACGTAAATACAGACAGGTCATCTTCCCGTTTTACCATGTTTCAGTATATTACAAATCAGTTATACATTTAAAATTAAGTAACACATTATGAGAAAAGTTTCACAAATACCTGCGGCTGTTGATGGGGGGTCCGAAACAGGTCTCCGAGTATGCGCTGTCTGAACAGGCCACCTTCCTTCACCTTTGTAACGGTCATATTCGCCTTTTCTCCCACAATATTGGAATCATTAATCTATTTTTACACAAAACTATTTTACTAGAATGGCTATCATAAGTATAACCACACAAGCATTTCTCGAAATTTCAGAATTAATAAGTCTAAAGAAAATGTATTACTGAAATTGATTTTCTTAAAACATTTTATCCCTTTACTGAATATAACCACTCTGATGAATTATTACTGAATAATTGAAAATGGATCCTTCCATCCAGTGTTCAACTTTCCCCGTTATCATTTTATACCTCTCATTACTCTGGGTTTTCATCTATTCCCTGAGTTACTTTTTCTCCTTGTGGTAAAAATGAAACCAAATCAAGCCAGCATCCATGATCTGGTTGTTCCAAAATCTCTTTGCCAGTATGGAAGCCCGCTGATGGATACGGGCTGGTGAAGACATACAAGGCTCCATGCTGACCCCCACGTGAACCAAAGCATAGAGGAAAGGAAACAATGAATGAGCCAAGGAGACTGCTTAATAAAGAGCGGACAGAGTGGGTGTGCGGAGACCAGCGGTCACAACAGGGTGGAGACCTGTCATGGGTGTTGCCTCAGTTCTGGAATTTTACATTCTAGTTCCTGGCCGTGTCCTCTTAAAAGGACCCCACATCTGTGAGACTGTTACTGTTTTGCACATTCATGCAGACTTCTGTTCTAAATCACACACTTTTTTTGATCCTACTTTGTGACCTCTCCTTCCCTGCCAATGATTTCATAAGTGGCGTTCTGTGCATTTTCTCCTTAGGTCACAGGAGTCTTTCCAGGCAGATACCTGAAGATCTACATATTTGTCATAACGACTGTTCTAGTATCAACAAGATTTAAGTTTCTAGGCTTTTACTAGCACAAATGATGTTGCAGTGATCACCTTCCGTGCCTGTGTCACTTTACATCTGTATTATCCTTTCATTAGGACAGAATTCTATAAACTAGGTTGCTGAATCATAAGATGTCTATATTCAGACACTACTATATAGTCTTCAAAAAAAAAAGTACTAATTTGCCTTCTCACCAACAATGCATGGGGGAAAATGTTTCCCACACTCTCATTACCCTACTGAAGGATTTTGTTTGCTTCACATATTCTAAGGATAAGGCTTAAGGCTTGCTCCATTATAAATAAGCAATAACAACTAAATGAGATCTCCAGGCGTGAGTGTGAGATCCTTGTAAACTTGAAAAGGTCAATTTTGCAACCACAAAAGAAGAATCCCAGGTCACAGAATATAGCTCTAATGTCAGTGTCAGAGTTACAGACACTGAGGGTGGTCATTCTTGGCCTCTCCTTACAGTACACCTGGATTTGGTTCTGAGACTCCTCCAGCCTCTGTTCCTCCTGCCCCTCTCGGGGCCTCTACCACACACCTTCCTGAACTTCCTTAGAGGACAGAGGATAAAGTACTAAACATTATTCTCCATGGAAGAGAACACCTGGTCAACCTCGTGAAGGACAATCTTCTGTCCAAATTCTTTAAAAATATTTCCAGTCTATAGTTTGAACTTGTAAAAATTCATAGTTTCCAGCTCTTCTTAGAATGAGGCAGAGTACAAAAAAGCAAACAAGGCATAGAGGAGAAGGGAAGCCCACTGGGGAACCTGTAGAAGACTCTGCTTTCCACAAGCGCTCCTCCACTTGATGCTCCAGGCGTATCCAGCACAGGTTCCCTCCCGTGTCACTGAGACTTGTCCCGCCTCCTCCAGGCTCTGGAGAGCAAATCGCAGATCTGCAACTGATACATCAGCGGGAATGCCTGCACTCACAGGGGGAGAACAAGCGCCAGAAGTAAAAAATCACCAACCAATTTCCTCTTTAAAGTATACAAACCATGTCATTTGTAAGCTACAGGTACTCTCATATAATGAGAATGAATTTTCTAACTTATTTTTGTGAAGAATTTATACATTTATGGAAAAGAAAATTGAACTAATAATGTATCTCAGACTGTGATCATGGCTCAAAAACTGTTTATTTTTTAATTTTTTGGGGGGGTTTGAGGAATTGAACTCAGGACCTTGAGCTTGCCAGGCAGGCACAGTGCTGCTAAACTATATTCCCTGCCCTTGTTTTATTTTAAATATCAATTCACTTTATAATTTATAACATCAATTCATTTTATAATTTATGATTTATGACATAATTTAGAACATAAGAGGGGGCAAACTTCTGGGAATATAACCCAGTACACTTGGTTCAAGGGTGAAAAAAATATGAAAATGCCATTTGTGCAAGATAGTTTACTTTTATATTACTGACATTATCTCTATAAATCACATATCAAATCTATGTAGATCTATTTAAGTTATGTACAGAAACCTGCTAGACGGTACACCAAAATGTCTATTGTGATTGCCTACACCAGCACTGTCCAACTGACAGTGACCTCAGACACAATTGAAAAATGTTCTAGTGTAACAGCAATGTTTTAAAAAGCAAAAATAAATAAACAAAAGTGATTTTAATAATAAATTTTATAAAGAATTTAAAATACTATTATTTCAACAATATTGAAAGACATATCAATGGTGTTTCAGTATGCAGCACTTGTTAAATTCCAAGTATCAGGAGACACGTTTTGCTCATGGGCAGTGAGGCACTAGATGGTCCAATTCAAGATGTGCAAAAGTAATATTTCAACTCTCGATTTCTATAGGATTGTAACATTATCATTATTGTTTGAGGCTACCATACTAATTTTTTTTCCAAAATGTTACCTATTAGACAAAGGCATGATTTATGAAAGTTATAATTTCAACCACCTTCAGCAAAATGAATACGAAGAGTCTGTTACATTTTTACAGACTTTTACACATTATTTCTAAACAAAAATAATCACTGTTAATGACATTGGCTTTGGGTGCATAAGTTGTTTTTTTTTAACTCTGGTAAAAAAAAAGCTTAAAGCAAAAATGTAATGATTGGCCATAATATGGTTGGATTATCTAAAGACCTACATGACTGGACATATGAATGTTAAAATAATAACGAGTAATTCTCAACTGAAAAAACATCTAACAGTTTATAGACTATACACACATGTGTTATATCAGTGTTCTGAACACCTCTCATTTACCTTTGAGAATATGTCCATAAGCTTGAATGTCAAAGCTGCCACTTATAGGGGGAGAAGCTTCTTGAATTCTTCGAATGCGAATCTTTGACTCCCCTGGCCAATTATTTCCTCTGTAAACAGATTCATTTTCTGTCTCGCTTGTGATTATCTAATTTCCAAAATAAATATTGATAAAATTATTAAACTGAACAATGGCTACCATGATTTCTGTTTCACCATCGTACAATCCTGTGACAAGACATAAATGAGCCTCATGTATTCATGATTTTTCAGAACATTAAGGAGAGAATCACATAAATCAACACAGGCCAGGCCTGCATCACCGCAGTAATGAGGCCGAAGTCAACTCAGTCATCTGTGTAGCCATCAGCTGGAACGACTGTAATACCTCATTAATTCAGGATGTATCCTCCATCACTCAAGGAGCAAATATTTATGGAGCAGGCAAAGTACAAAGCTCATCACTGTGGGGAGGCGAAGAAACATGAGATGATGCAGTGTTGGCCATCAGAGAACTGAAAACCCTTTTTGGAGAAATAAAATATGGGGACTTAACCAAAAATTAAGTAAATATATTCCAGTAGAGTGATTTTGCCTCACTAAAAACTTTTAAAATGCTGAAGGAATGGAAGCAAAAAGTGCTGTAGAAATCCACAAATTGTAATTCTAATAGTGAAAATGGTATCTTTCTACTGCTGACCCTTCAGAGTTATCTGTTAACCTTAAAGAATTTAAAATGAGACATAAATGAGAAACACGAGTGCCAGAAGACATACTCAAGAATGTTCGTGTCAAATTGACTCATAATACCTCAAGTGGGAATAATGCAAAAGTCATCACCGGAATGGATAAGGTATGGTATTTTAATACCATGAAATAATGTATATCAATGAAAAAGAGTAAACCACATGTAACAGTGAGAATCTCTCAAGATTCAATAAAGGAAGTTAGAAAAAAACACATTTCATAATTTCGCTCTTTTGGGAATTTTGGGTATAACTGACTTATTGTAGTTGAAGTCCAAAGAGTGGTTATTTGGGTGCAAGATGAGTAGCCTACTGTCAAAGAGAAGATACAAGGAAAGCTATCAAGGAGCTAATGATTTCCTTTACCTTAATCTGAATATTAATTATATGAGTGTATTTACTTTGCAAAAATTCACCGAGTTCAGCTTACATGATCAATACACACAAAAATCACATTTCTAAATACGAATAGTGAAGATGTAGAATCTGAAATTAAAAATAAAAGATGACTTGCAATTATCTCGAAGAAAACAAAATCTAAAAAATGTGTTCTGGATTTTATTTGCAAACTTTAAAGTTTTGATAGAAGCAATCAAAGAAAACCCAACATAAATGCATTGATTTTTAAAACAGAACAAGAAGACCTAGATAAGTGGAGGCATGTATTGTGCTCATGAATTGTGTTCACGAATTAAAAGACTCAACAAAGGTGCCAATACTTCTCAAACAATCTGCTTAATTCTTATTAAAATATCAGTGAACTTATAGGCATAAATAAGCTTATTCTAAAATGTATGTGAAAAGACACAGGGCATAAACTAGGTAAAGTATTTGGCATAAGAAGAATAAATGGCAGATCTTCTCTTGCTTCCCATGGCAAATAGGGGTTACTCTGTAGGAATACAATAAATACACGATGGTATTCATGGAAGGATCATCATATGGAAAATGGAAAAGAATGGATAACCCAAAAGTATAATCACATGATTATGCTCAACTGATTTTGCACAAAGCTACAGTAGTAGAGGAAGGATAATGCTTTCAATAAATAGTGCTAAAGCAATAAGAGCCATAACCAAGCAAATGAACCTCATCCTAATGCCACATTTATCAAATTAACACGAAGCGTAACACATCCTAAAGTGTAAGATGTGTTCTATTTTTTAAATGTAATATTTACACAACTAAAACATCTTTATGACTTAGGGCTAGGAAGACATGAAACCAAAGGAACCACTCATAAAGGAAACAAATCATAGGACCCCATAGCTTTTCTTTCCATGAAAGACCTAATAAAATGCAAAGGCAAGGAACAGTCTCAAAGAAAACATTTGTTAACCATAGATCTAACAAAGAATTTGTATGTAGAGTACATGACGAGGTCTTAAAGCTCAATGTTGAAAAGATGCAATTAGAAAATGGACATAAGACATTCAAAGAAAGCATCTGAGTGGCAAATAAGCCCCTAAAATGATGTTCAACATCATAGCCATCAGAGATTGCAAGTGAAAAGTACTATGAGTTACCAGTATATAACCTACCAGAATGACTACAATTGAAAACAACACTTTGTACAGAAGCTGGATCATTCATGTGCTGCTGATGGGAATGTAAAGTGGCACAGGTATTTTGGAAAAGAATATTGCATTTTCTTACAAAATGAAACATATGTGCTTATTATATGACCCCATAATTGCACTATGGGCCATATAACTCCCTTAAATGAAAGCACGTCATACAAAAACCTATAAATCAATGTTCATAGTAGCTTTATTTGAAATATTTCAAAACTGGAAACAACTCAATTGCTCTTCAGTGGGTAGGTGGTCCAACATTCTACTACATCTATACTATTAAGTACCATTCAGGAAACAAGTGCTAACTATCAATGGACACATCTTGGATATACCTGAAGGGAATTATGCTGGGTAAAATAAACCAATCTCAAAAGGCTAAGCGTCAGTACACTTCAATAAGTTCTGATATCATTTACATAACATTGTTGAAATGACAAATTATAGAAACAGAACAGATTTGTGTTAAGTAACTTGTGAGGGAGTGGCTTGTATACAAAAAGAAAAAGGGACAAATGTGATGGAACTGCTCTGGAGAAAGTTAGATAAATGTGTGCTTATGGAAAATTATAAAGAACTACACACAAACACACAGACACACACACCCAGATAATGGCATATAAAAGTGATAAATCTAAATAAGGACATGAGTATAGTGTATCAATATCAGTTTCTTAGTTGTATTCTTGTACATTGTACAAGCAGTTACCACCGAGTGAAGGTGGTGAAGGATACAGGAATATCTTGTATTATTTTTGCAAGTGAACATGAATCTACAATTACCTAAAATTATAATGCCTGGTTCTATACATTGAAACATTGAATCTTATTCCTTTTAGCTTTGATTTGGAATTTTTTTTAAAAACACAAAAATTAAGTCCTATATTTTCTAATTTAGCTTGGGATAAATAAACTGAAGTTAAAAGCTACAATCACCAACTGTTAGATTAATGAGAAATCTTTAACAATGAAGGGTATTGACAGAAATGCTTTGAGAAGTGCTAAGTTGACACATTTTGTAATAAAGCTAAAAGTAAAAGACTAGAAAACATTTCTAAGACATATACATTGAAGTTAGTAAAACTAAAACATTGGGGCAGTGGAGGTAAAAGCAATTTTTGTGTAATGTTTATAGTCTTCCTTTACCTTTATTCTTTAAGTTTTCTAGTTAGCAAAAGTTTTCTTTAGTTACAAATGCTCAATAAGAATTGAGATGTGATAGGTATATGTATCATTTCCCTATGCTGAATGAATTTATTAAATTCACAAATATATAGTAATAAAAAAGGAAAGGAAAAAACTTAAACTTATTAATATTTGTTTTCAATTTGTGGTAGGAAAGGACTTTAACTCATTTTAAAGGAAATTAAAGTTTAAAATGCTCATTATATTTGTAGTGTTCAATACTGATCTTGTGAATAACTCAAATAGCAGATTGAAATTAAAGTTTAAAATGCTCATTATATTTGTAGTGTTCAATACTGATCTTGTGAATAACTCAAATAGCAGATTATTCAGATTCTTTTGGCAGGATGGAAAAAGACGTCTTTCTTTTTTGTATAAATTTTTATAAAAGGAGATTACATTTTGCTTACAATAGAAACCATTTAAAATCATAATATAGAATCTCAACTTTTCTTTCAATATAGTAATTCCTACTTAAGGATATCTATGAGAGAAGTCCATAGCTTTTCCTTTTAAATCAACAGGAAAAATTCTACATAAACCTGACTTTCTCTCTTAATAATATTTCCACATTTCCCACCATAGGCACATTTCTTAAAGAACCGTTTTAATGCCTTTAAGACAGTTTTTATGCTGAGGACTCTCGACCATCATTTATCCTCAGAATAACTGTCTTATTTTATCAAAAGACATATAATCTGTATGCCATCTATTTTCAAAAATTAATAAAATTTATCATATCAAAACTGATGCTTATTAATTTGAAAATAACAACTTATAACAACCTAAGATTACCTGTCCAAAGCTCACAGCCATCAGGGGTATGTTGTAACTGCAATTGTATGACGTCATGGTGACAGAATATTGGATCGTCATAGTTGATTCATCTCTTTTGCTCTCATTCACTTGAAAGTGCTTCAAAAATATTCCTCTACTTGCTAATGCTGGAAGTCTTCTCTTGGGCATTTCTATAATGTATAAAGAAAATGAGAAAAAAGATTTTATTGCTAATTTTTAGCAATAAAAGTTTTATTGCTAAATAAAATTTTATTTTATTTTATTTAATATTTTATTATCATATCTCAAATGTATGAGTTTATTAAAATAACTAGATAAACAACAGTAAGACAATCAAAAATAACATTTTCATTCACAGTATTATGTCCATGAAGTTTTCAGGCAATCTTATTAGATAGATTTTCATGTCAAAAGTTGCATCTTAAGAATGAGTCTCCAAAGTTGGGGATTTAGCTCAGTGGCATAAGCACCTGCCTGGCAAGCATGAGGTCATGAGTTCAATTCCAGGAATCCCCCCCCCCCAATAAAAGAGGAACTGAGACATATCATGTAAGGGTACAAATTCTCTATGATGACTAATGGATATCCCTCTTGGTGGGTTTTTCAACGATAAAACAAACAATAAAAATGTCACAGTACATCTATTGAGAACCAAAATCTAGTAGTGTAAAGCTAATTCTTGCTGTACTGAGAAAATTTACATTTAAAATACACTTAACTTTAAAAATAATGACCTTTCCCTATTCATCAAAACATACAATTAAATCATAATATATTGAACAGAAAGAATGTCATTAATATTTAGATTAATGTTTCTATCTATACCACCGAATATAAGAAGAATTTCTACAGTAAGCTTTACTATAAGATAAATTTAGAGGACTGTAAGAGATATAAAATGATACAACATACCATCCAGGGTTGAGGTTGTAGATACCTGTCCAATGTACACAACATCCACATAGAAAGATTGCATTTCTGATGCTTTCTGTAAACTAATTCTTTGAAGAGAAAAATCTGTTCCAGTCTGTTTACTCTGTATGAGATCCAGAAGATCTAAGCAAGTATAGGTCCAACTGCAATGATTGATTAATTGGACATATAGATTAGTAACAAACAAATGCACCATGGAAGTCATTAAAATTTTAAATACAAACAAAGTGCCCTTCTCCAGAAAAAAAACCATCATGCCTACTTTATTAGTGCAGAAAAGCTGCAGTGAGAAGGCACAGCAGACAGATACGTAACCTTAGACTGGCAGTAAAGAGTCAGTGCTGCAGTCACGCGTGGCAGTTGCCACAGGAGTGTAAATAACAATCAGTAACAACAGGCAAGGAAATTAAGGAGCATTACGCATTTTTGTGCAGAGCATATTAACAAAAACAAGACACGAAATAGAGCCCACTTGCTTAGTTATAAATTTCAGAAACAACAGCAAGTTTAGTCCATTGCTAAGATGCAAAAGTAGAATTTGATTCTATTTCCAAAAGATCTTACTGCAGTGTCACTGTACATTGCTTTAAGTGACACACAACTGCTAGATTATTTGGAGATATAAGTGGCTGCATAGTGTCTTTTAAATGTATAATTTAGACTCAGGTTTTCCATGAATGTTAACTCTACTGGAATCTCATTAATTACAGTAAAGCAACTCAGCTATCAGAGTGTGTAATAGATAAATACTGTGCCCTAATAATTCAGTATAGTTTCACAATATTCTTTGCATTGGTCTATATTGTAGTTATTAACTGACTGCTTTGTTTGGGTACTTTCTCTTCTCATTTTCTTCAGGGTGTCAAAATTCAAGAGATCATCTCTAGCACCTCAAAGCTTAGACTGCATGGATCAGTTTTTTAAAATTGTATATACATAACTACACTGCTATCACACTGTTTTGATTTCAAAAGCACTTTGGGCCTCTAAGGAGAATTTTACGACTAATTTTATAATTCAGAAGTTTTAACAATCAGTAATTTAATAAGTATTTAACATATAGTAATTTTACTACTAAGAAAACTTGAGATGTCAAACAAGTTCCTGTATAAGAGGAGACTGCTGCTGGGCATGGTGGTGAATGCCTGCAATCCCAGCAATCCCAAGAGGCTGAGGCAGGTGGATTACCACAAATTGAAAGCTAGGATGCACTACACCCTGCCTTGAGGGAAAAAAAAAAAAAAAAAAAAAAAGGAGACTGCAAATGAAAATGAAAGTAAAACTGAAGGCAATTGCATGTTGTTCCATTGTAGCTACAATTACAATTTGTAAAAGGAAGACAACCAATTTTGAATTTTGGAACTTGATTTACAGCTACAAATATTATGGCTTTGGGAAAGTTATACAATGCAATTAACACTAATACCTCTACTCAATCTAGGTGAGCTCTGTGACCTAAAGACACACAGGCCTAGAAATGGACATTCCAGACAAGTGAAATTTTTTGGCTTTGGTATTAGTTTTAATGGCAGAACTCTGCACTTCTCTCTCTCTCTCTCTCTCTCTTTTTTTTTTTTTTTTTTTTTTTTTTTTTTTTGGTCTTTTTCGTTTTTATCGATATCAGGGACCGAACTCATGACTGCCTGCTTGCAAGGCAGGCGCTTATGCCGCTGAGCTAAATCCCCAGCCCCTGAACTCTATACTTTTCAAAAGCGATGATATTCTTGTTTTACAATCTTATCACATTTAGGATAAAGAAAACTCACTAGTTCTAACTGTAGTACATTTTCAAATGCCTGAAGAAAAGAGAAGCTGCAGGCTAACAGGAGAAACCTACTTCTTTATTAAGTGAGGGTTTAACTAACATTGAAAACTGAAGTCTGTAACATGTTACAAAATCCTATGGCAAAAAAAAAAAATCCTATTGCAATGGAATGGAATACATGCAGATAGTGGGCCTCAAAGCTAAAATTGCGATTCTGCTGGGCCCATAGCAAGGTGTGCTCTCAGGTGTCCCTTCAAGGAGGACTTCTCCTTCATAAGGGTCCTTCAAGGGATTACCCAAGATCTGAAGCAACTGTGCGTGACACATGGTGGAATACGCTCCGGTGCAGCTTTCCCTGCTCCTGGGCAGCTAGCATGGGTGGGTCTACCGTGGCCCAGCATCGCTTCTGCCTATTTTTGACTGCCAGTGATGTAGCCTCCTCTGAGTCAACAATTACCGTACAGAACTGCAGCATTGTTCCTTTCACTTCATTCACACCCAGGAGCTCCTTTTGGTCCTAATCTGTAGTCTAACATTTAGTGGCCTCAAAGGCATGGATTTTTCCATTGGGAGACTAACACTTTTGTCAATACTAATACCTTCTTGGTATCTCTCTCTCTGTCTCTCTGTGCGTCTGTGTCTGTGTCTGTCTGTCTGTCTGTCTGTCTGTCTCTCTCTCATTTTTCACATTCTGTACCTCTAGAATACCAGAGATAGGATAAATGTATTTTTAAAACACCAAAGACCCACCTAGCGTTCATAGGATGTTAAATAACATGACAGTGTCATTTGGGAGCTAAATCTGAACTTTGGGGAAAAGGACCTTTCTTATTAAAACTTGTCTAAAATGACATACTTTATAAAATAGAGAAGTGTGTGTTTTCATTATTTTTTCTACTGTAAATAAAATTTTTGCATTTATTACATTTAGAAATGCAAAGTCAGGATTTACATAAATTCTAGAAGATACAATAGTAAAAACCACAGCATAATTATACAGAACTAACTTGTTCTTGTGTTACAATAACTGCAGTCATTAAATAACATTCTCCAGGCTCATTTAATCATTTCTTTATATTTTTCTATTTGCATTTCTATGTGTGTAGCTCACAGCAAAGCAAGCATCATTTTGGATCATCTTTTTCCCTTTTATGTTGATACAGTAATCAAAACATTTGTCTTCTCTACTGACACATTTTTAACATTAATCTCTTTCTACTATCTTTCAGTATTTAGGAACATTATTGGATTTAATAATATATAATCTAAATTACAACATTTAGCATTGCTTTGTCTTTTTAGTTGGTCATGGGTAATGATATTACAGCAATTTGTATTCCTGTAATTTATAGATTTCTTTCTAAAACAACAATTTTGTTAGAAAGCATGTGTGGGAGGCCAAAAAAATTGCAAGCAGATTCCCACACACATTATTCCCCCCTAAAAATAGCAAAAAGCAAGAAACGAGTTTATTGTTATAGTTTATACATACAAGTTATTTTATAACTTGTTTTCAAATCCATAGAGTAACTTACCTGTTCTCCTGAGCAAATTTATACATAAATTGTCTCTCTGTGCTTCTAGTAATCTTGCCATTGTCTTGGTACTGAAATTTTAGACCAATATGATTTGCCAAAAATCCTTTGTATGCTAAGCATAACTGCACAAGAAATATGAAAAAATTAGTAATACTATTTTGTGATTAAATTATTTTCACAGTTCAAATTTAATTTTATAAGTATTTATTGACCACTTTCTATATAAAATGTATCAGAATATAGAAAAAGGAATGGTTAATTTCAGTTAGCTGTTGGAGAAGAATTGGAGAAGATTTATTGACAAGAAAATGGCATTGAAGTGGTCTTACAATTAATTACTGATTTTTTGTTTTCTTGGATATGGCTTCCTTAAAAATGAAACAAATCACTTGTTATAGAGCTGCACTATGTACTAACCCTCATTAAAATTTTCCATAAACTTAGCAGTCAAATACACGTAGAAAAAAAAGGCTGCTAAACATTCAGGCAGATTAACTGGAATATGCATACTATAGAATATTTAAAGGTAAAGATAAAATGTCATATAAAATAGTAGTTAAATACCTATTTTAATGGCCTACAACTCTGTAAGCATGCCAAGTTCTTTTTTCTTGCATGCCAAATATTTTAAGAACTTAGAGCTTTAGAACATGTGTCACAGTTTGAGAAATTTTTTAAAACACAAAGCATAAAACTAGCTTTACAAACCCATACCATTACCTCTCTTCATGAATTTCCTTCACTTTTCTCCAACTAAATATTAAAGATCAGTCCATAATGTCTATTTTGTTTTTCACTATTAATGAATAAAATGTAGGAGATTACACCTTAATTAACTTTTTTCAGATCATGCGATAAATGATACTATATTCTTTCTTTCTCTTTTTCTTGAGAATTACCAGAAAAAAAAAAATGAAGAAAGCACTCAGGATGTGAACAGTGTCTGCCCAACATGACATGATTTCACACGACAAGTACTTTTCCTTATTTTAAAATTTCATGAAATTTTATTACCAAGGTATTTTCCAGATTCAATTTGCATACATTTTGATGCGCTTACCTGATTATAAGGAAATAATAAAATGTCTCCATATGGTAGTCTGTTTGGTTTAGCATCTGCTGAGTCAAAAAGAACAGATGGATTTTTCAAGGAATAACGACCACAGTAAGCATCGCTTTCAGCTGTCTTCTGGCCTCTATTAACATTTTCCTACAGAAGCAATAATATTTCAACTGAAAATATGATACAGTGTTTCTCCCAACATCAACAACCAAGTTCTTCAAGTCTGAACATGATCCTACAGTACCCCAGACTGCTTTAATTTTAAATATGCTCTCCCTTCTCTGAAATCTAAAGCTCTCGTTCAAATCCATACTCTGATATCCCTTGTGCTTGCATTTAATTATTTCTCAAGTCCTTTCTTTTTCTTATATTATGAGCTCCTTCAGGATATTCATTCTTTCTATGAATGTTTATTCAGTGTTTATTATGTGTCAGGTTTGTTTTTTGTTTAATCTCCAGAATTCAGGTGAAGAGCACTATATACAGGGACCTCCAATTTGGGACAACAGGATCAATAATTATGGTATGAAGCCCAAATACAGACATCTAACTGACATGAGAAGTCATCAAGAAAAATGACTCAGAAGAAGTGGCACATGAGATAAGTAAGAGTTGCTCAGAATGGAAAGAAGAGCTAAGGGTCTTCAGACAGAGGGTAAAATATATGCATAAAACAGATGCAGAGACACAAGAGAACCTAGTGTTAGGAAATGCATATAGTAAGGTTGGGTAGAGTGTAGAATTGTATGTAGAAATGGTGATAGCAGACGTGCAGGAAAACAATAGAGTGTACATTACTTGTGTAAATTACTTGTGTAATCTTTATGGCTGTTAGTACTACATTTTGATACAAACACCTTGGTCAAATTGAAGAAGTTACTCATTAAATACATTTTCTCTTTTCTCATTAATAAATCTGCTCATATAAAGTGTTATGTAATACATATTTTTAAAGATTCACAGGTTGCTTCTAAGATACTGATTTAAACTAAATAATTTGTACATCTTTTATTCTAATAATATTTACTTGGAAATAATGTATATCTGGCTTCCTCAAGCCTTCAAAATAAGAAGTAAGAAGTATTTTTAACTTTCCCCTTTACGGACAGTAAATAAATATCAAAGAAGAAATGAGGACTAGGCACTGAACTAATCCAGAGAATAATGTTCAAAAGAAGACAAGCAATTTAATATATATTTCCAACTATAAATTGTATTCACTGAAGCCAGTAAAAAAAAGACATTTTTTGGTATCTATGTGAAAAATAACAATTAAAAACACTTTAGCTCTTACATTTGCCCACCTTACCTCCTTTCTATTGATCAAGTAAATTTTTGGGTAGTGCAGATATAGTTTCCATAAATGAATCATTTATAATGCATGAAGATGCTACAACAAGCCCTACCGATAAATCTATAACATGATTATTTTTGCAATTTGACTCTGAATCTAAAAAGAAGTAATCCTTGCCCCTCCCATTATGGTTTGTATCTGGATGTCCCCCCAAAGCCTCATGCGGTCATTGGGGGTGCATTTCCAAGGCTGCTGAACCTAGTTTGTGATTGGCTCATTGCGTAGTGCTGGGAATGTGGGTGAGTGCTGCAGCCAACCTGGGACAGGTAGTGTTCATACAATATAAGGAGGGAAAGAGGCCTGCTAAGAGGCTTGCTCCCTCATCCTTTGACCCTTTCGTTCTTATCACTTTCGGTGTCTGCCAGATCAGCCATGAACAATGGCCCTCAGCCATGCCAACCTGCCTTGGAGCCAGCTGAGTATGGACTGAAACCTCCACAAACTGAAAGCTAAATAAATCTTTCTTTGCTTCTTTTTGGGAACCAAGTATTTTGTCTCAGCAGTGAGAGAAAAGTAACCAATGCACCCCCAAAAACCAAAAATTTCTAACATTTATATAAATTCCTATTGAATCAGTTTCAAAGTTCATTAAATAATACATACCAAGTCAAAATCAGTTTCATAGTCTCTGAAGTATTTCACAACAAATCCTTCTTCAAAATGAGCAATTTGTGGGGGACATTTAGTGCTAACCATTTCTTCCACAGCTACCTGAAACTAAATTAACAATATATTATTTAGTAATTTCTTTTTCATAAAATAATTCTTCAATTAGCAATTCAATTACTTCATCCACTAATTTTCAATTACTATTCTATTATTAATTATAGTACATATTTCATATTTCCCATAAGTTAGCCAGAATTGTGAAATCATTTGCTAAATAATTTTGTTAACATGCTCATTTTAGGGTCTATTGATTTTTTTAGAAGTTTTAGAAGAGATTCCAAATAAAAGATTATCTACCTAACTCAAAATTCACTAAGAAAAAATCCTATAGACTTCAATTATTCTATTTTTCCAATTAAGAGAGGCATAATACAACCCTACTATTTCTGGTCATTTAAAAGTAATAAATAATTCTGGGCTATACAGAATTAGTGCACATTCATGATGGTTTTATAACATACATTTATTTCTCTCGCAAATTACAAAACTAATTTTTGCTTAAAATTAAGGACTTAAGACAACGTAGTCTTTAGTTATCAGACAAATAGAGACTTAAGCTCCCTGTAGAGCACTTGCCATGATTCAGTAACCGATAAGCATTCTTTTCCTGTGAACTGCTGCCCCACATGCAGAAACGTCAAGTCCACTGACACGGGTCTGAGAAGTCCCCTTTCCTTCCTCATTCTTTGTAATTATGTTTTTCCCCTTCTCTCCTCACTGCAGGTTGGCTCCTACCCACTGTGCCAAGTGGGAGGATGTGTTACTATATTCTTTATAGATGACTGACATTTAGCTATTGGATGAAATAACAAGATACTTTAACTCTGTGATTAAGCTTTTACTATATGACATCCCTCAAGGTCATTCTGACTTTTATATGCTGACAAGTTGGATTTGGGATGAAGAACAGAGCTGGGCAGGTGAAGGAACACAAAGGCTACCCAAAAGCAAAGCAGGGCTCTGATGACTTTGAGAGGCTTTGCCCCCCAAAAAGAGGTGGCTGTGCTAGATGAATTCTGTGTCCTTTTTTAGACAAAATATGTACAGATATAAATTTTGATAGACTGATTAAATGCTAAATAATTTGGGGCGATGTTTAGAAGTGATACATCTTTCTCTTTTCTGCATGCTAGGAGAGGACTCAGGGAAAGTGGACTCAGGAGGAGTGTGGGTGGAGCGTACTTCAGCTTCTGATGACCACGGAGTAAGAGGCTTAGAAAGAATCCCATCCCATGTCAGTGTGAATGTCTCCAGACTGGGTTTTCCTTTGGTTTGCTCTTCAATATCCACTGTAACATTATTCCCTTCAAATACTTCATAAGCGAGCAGATCAAAGTCTCCTGCAGTGAATTAGGAAGCAGAATTTTAAGAAACAGTTTAATTGAAGAAAATGAACATCTGTAACAGATACTCAGACTTACCAAAATTGGTTTTCCTGGAGCATTTCATTAACACAAACAAAAAAGACGGATGGGAAAATGAAGGTGTTTAAATTGAAGTAGTTTTCTATAATATAAATAGCAAAACCACAGAATACTACCTGCTTAAGATTCTGTTTCTATGGCTCAAGTGGAAATAGACATAAGATAAACAAAAGAATGTACCTGACCATGAAGAAAAGATCAGTGGGCAGCAGGATATTCCAAAAATTGTTTTACTTTTGTGGCAATCACATTATCTGCTACTCTCTTTGGGTGTGGACATAGCACAAAGCTATCTTCCAGAAAACCACTCAAACCTGTGGGTTTATCCATATAGTTCCACACTGGAGAAAAAAGGCCTTGTTCTCAGATGTTTCTACTTTTTGGAAGGTTGCTTTATGAGGAATCTCATTGACCTTCTTTATTGGTAACATTATAAAATGTATCCAGTTTTGCTTGTGGCATTGTAGTTCCTGGGTCACTGCTGGAACCTTGCAATTTCTATCTGATTTCTAAGTTGTAAGTCAATAAGGATAACCATAATTTCATTTATATACTGTTTGTGCAAACTAACTTTCATGACAATTTTAGATATTTTTATGTTGAAGAAAAAAGTAAAAATTCAAAATAAATAATAGGAGAGTAACAATAGTTAATACATTCCATATTGCTATCCTCATAGTAGTTACTTAGAGTATAAGACAGAGCCATGAAAACCTGTCCAAACAATATCAGCACAAACCTTTCTTTTCAGTGAACTAAGAGGAGCTATCTTAGCTACCTTGTATTTTTTTCTTTTCCTTTCCCTACTTTCTCCTTTTCCCTACCCCCAGTTTCTCTTTCCTTTCAAACAGCTTCTTCCCATTTTGCAATGTCTATTTTACTTTTTTTTTTTTTTTTGGACACTGGGTCTCATTATGCAATTTAAACTGATCTTGAACTCACACCAACCCTCCTGCCTCAGCCTCCCAAGTGCTGGGATTACAGGCATGCGCCCCATATCCAGCTCTCTATTGTACATTTTGGACCTCATCTATGCTTTTGGTTTCTACACATGTGAGTCCAATTTATTTTACTTAAGAGTATGGTCTCAAATTGCATCCTTACGTTGATCTTTCCTTATGGTTGAGTAGAACTCCACTGTATAAAAGACATACTCCTTGTATTTTATATAAAGATTAACTGGGTGTGGTGGTGCACTCCTGTAATCCCAGCACTTGGGAGGCTGAGGCAGGGGGGCTCTTTGCAAGTTCAAGGCCAACCTGAACCACATAGTGAGACTCTGTCTCAAAACGACCTAAAAAGATATATCTATTGTATAAAAACATACCCATCCTCAGTTGATGCACATTTGGGTTGTTTCCAACATTTAGCTATTATAAATCTGTATCTTCCTTTCAAAGCTAAATTATTAATTGCATAAAAAATAAGATATAAACATTCTACTTACGTGAACTGGAAAATAATGATGGCCCATATAAAACACACACACACACACACACACACACACACACACAAAGATTTTCTTTATGGCTTTAGATATTCTAAATAGCCAAAGTGGTTGCTAAATTTATTTACCAAAATAGTCTCAATTTCTTATATAAAATATTAATACGAGGGTAAAAATTATCTGTTAAGATTTTGAAAAGATAATGAGGACAGATTCAGCTTCATTAAACACAGGTAAATTCTTTTTAAACTGTAGAGTGCTGTGGACTTTAATATTCCAGTGAACCTTGCCAATCTTCAAGGAGGAGCCACAGTATGCAAAGATTCCCTATGAATGTAGCTACAGAGCCCTTTCTTCAAGTGAGATTTGGCCAGAATGCTGTCTCCTTAACAATGCTTATTTCCTTAAATTTCATTTTCAGAATTAACATTTTCACTAATTTGTAAAATATGATGAGTATATTTATTTGTTGTGCATATAGTGGCTGCATTATACTCTGGAATAGTATATTCATTGAAATAGAACTAGAATTTAAATCACTATAGAAAAACATTAACTGTCTAATTTCTAGGCATCCTGATTGAGCAAGGCTCCAAATACACTTCTTGCTCTCTGTCATTTTCACATATAAAACCCTTCACTTTTTACAGTGGTGTTACACAGATGTAAATTTCTTTCCTGGAGAAGTGCACAATGAAACACAGCTTACCTCTATTTGATAGGAAAGTCACTGTGTATATACAGTGCTGGAGACTTTGTACCCTTATTACTTGAACTGTATCAGGCTTTATAGACCAGAGGTCATTTAAAGCAGATTGCAATAGGACTTCGGAAGCATCAGCAGGTAGCCAGACTTTTGAAAGAATTGGGGAAAAAAGCAGACGTGTTAAAATCTCTCTGATTTACTGGCCAAAACTGTAGTCTAATACCTAACTTTTCAAAGTACTCATACTCTATACCATACAAGCAATCAAACTTGGAGACTCTGAAGTTGATTTAAATTCAATAATATTGTCTATTTAATTGATTTATGATGCCTTTGTTGGAAAGGAGTATATTTTATTATTTTAATATTTCCATAGTGATAAGTATTGCATTTTGCAAATAGAAAGCACCTATAAATATTTACCAGCTAAAATAATGAACAGAAATGCAAAAGTTATTTTTAAGATTTATCAAATATTAATAACTGATAAATTCGCATTTCATAGGTCATGTAATTTGAGAACTTGAAATGTAATGATTAATTTAATTCCTATTTTTTGAATTTGCATCAATGAGTCACAGCCATGTGAAATCCTTACGTGTGTTTCATATACAGTTATTACTATCCTTAGACAGGAAAATGATGGAAGATGCCAGAAAGTTGTCTCTAATGATGCCACTTTCCAGCCAGTTCTGCAGGTTTTCCCTCATAATATAGTTTTTTTCTTCTTTATCAAGCACATTATTCAAACTTTATATTCCAGACCATAGCATGGAGGAGAGCAAATACTTCACAGCTATGTCTACTCATAAAGACAAATATCATCACCCTTGTATTTGTAACTCACCGGTTTTCTCCAAGTTATAGATTAGCCTGAACTGGTAATGTGAACATGAATTAGTGTCCACACATGGGCTAGTTACTATGATCTTCTGAACTTCATTAGTTGCAATAGCTGTCTCCCAGTTTTCCAAAGTTATAACCTAATTTCCAATTTTAAAATACAGAATGAAAAATACATACGTTTAGCATATGGAAAAATACACTATAAATCACCATAATTCAGCTATTCAATGCCTCTTCCTTGGTCTACTTTACTAGAAATCAGAAAATACTCTAAACTATATAAAATTTGTCTTATTCTATAACAACCTGTTTGATTTGTAGCATATAGATATCCCCAGACACAACTCAATACTTGCCCATGATAGCATTCCCTAAAACAACATCTACCCTACCAAAAATAATAGCCAAATGAAACTTCTCGCTTTCAAAGTTTGCTTCTCTTTCTATTTTTTGAAGTGCTGGGAATCAAGCCCAGAGCCTTAGGGATGTTAGGCGAGGTGTCTACACTGATTTTCAGCCCCAGCCCTAGACATCAACTTTTCATAAAGTAGATCTGTCACCAAAGCAGACCTGGACTTCCTGGATGACTGTCGACTGGGATTTTATAACTTGTTCTTCATTTACTGCATCTCCTGTTTGCTGTTCAGTGTATACACTTTTATACTGGTACAGTCCAACATCAACAAAAGCACTTAATCTGTATTCCTGCAGCAAAATTTCAATGTAATATCTGGAAAACAGAACAATTAATAAATACGGCTCCTCCAGAACACTTGTTATAAAATCATTTTCAACAAAAAAATCAACATTATATTAAAAATACATTAAATTATTTTATAGTATATAAATGCAAACTGTATACATTTTTAATATGAAAATATTAAAAAGTTCATAGCAGTTTACTGAAATAAAATTATGTAAGATATCTGTCCTAGGAGAGAGTTGTTTTTATACATGACCAACTCATTCAGCTACTTATGGTTGAAGATACAATCCCCTAAGAGGAGTTTAAGCAAATTCGTACTATATATCATAACAATAGTTCCCTGGAGTACAACAGAGAGGACTTGCAGAACCAGAAAATGTTCAAGAGAATGAAAGGCAGGCTTAGACATATCCATTATTTTGTAATAGAGTGTTTATATATGTCCAGGATGAAAGTTGTGGATATCATTTGGATCTTAAATGTCCCTCAAAGTCCTACATGTTAGAAGCTTGGTCAACAGCCTGCGGTACTCCTGGCATGGGGGACCTTTAAGAGGTGGAGCCTAATGGAACCTGGCTTCTTCCTCTCTCTCTCCTCTTCCCTCCACTCTTCTCTTTCCTATTTTTCCCTCTCCTCTCCTCTCCTCTCCTCTCCTCCTTCACCTTCCCCTCACTCCTTCCTCTTTCCTTCCTTCTTCCTCTCCCTCTCTCTCCGCTCCTAGGGTACCAGAAGGTAAAAGCACCAGGAGCTTCCCCACATCGTCAGGCACCCCACAGCAGGGCCCAAACACCATGAACTGAAACCTCTGAATCCGTGAGTCAAAACAGACCTTCCTCTTTGTAAACTGGTGACCTCAGGTGTCCACCACATGGTGATGGAAAGTGACTGAGTCCTACATGCACACGCCTTGAGGTTGGCTCCATTTGTAACCTGGGGAGTAAGACACTACCTCAGGGAATTCAGACTGATTAGAATGACTCTGATCCTCCAACACGATGAGCGGGATCCAGACCTTATATGTACAGTTCTTGACTCTTGAGACGCCTGCCAACATCTGTTTATCTAGGATGAACACCACACAGCAATTTAAAGACAAAGAAAAAGTCTTACTCTTTTCCTTTCTGAAGATGAATATCATCTGATCTTTGCGTTGGGCTGGAAAAATAACTGTTGGCATTGGCTGAATGATACGCAATTTTCACCTTATCCCAGAAAGATAGAAAAAAATGTTTTAATCTTTCAACATTTAATTTTCATTTATCATTGCCGTCAGACTTTGAACTTACATGAATAGAAAGTTACGAAACTCTTGCATATTTTTCTTCTAAGGTTTGTTATCTATGACAACATAGAATTTTAAAAATTATCAGGTTCACAACATTCCTTCAACCTTCACTAACACACTAACATCACTAGATCACAGATTCTCCACGAGAATTACAAAGGAAATTAAAAGGTCCATACTAGGAAAAAGGTTATTATTACTAAAAGACTCTTTGCTGTGTGGAGAACTTTTAGAGACTTGATCCAAATGAGAGTCTTAAAAAGACATGAGAGCCTTAGAGCAGGCTCTGAAAGATGCCGAAGATTGCTAAATAGTTCTGCCTACAAGAGTGGGAGTATTTATGCTTTCAAGAAGAATGACTATGCCATCTTTGGAATGAGCACCCTGACGCACTGTGTTAAATTAAACTTCATAACGTACAAGTATCAATTTAAACTTACGCAACCAGTTTGGAAAGCGATCTTGCCATATAAATTGAATCAGAACAAGTGATTTTGATTTAATCTATTTGTTTCATATGTGTAAACTGTCCTGAAAAAATAAGTCAAAATGCCAAAGAGTCTGATGAATGCCTATGTCCATTAAAGTATTGTGTTCACAAAAATTCAGAAGTAAATTAAAAACCTATCAGTAGGGAGATATTTAGCTAAGCTTAATAAACCCATGAATGTGGTGTGGTCAAAATAGGTAGTGAATGTTCAAGTTTTAAAAATGTATTACAGTAAAAGATACATTGCCACTAATCCCCTCAAAATAGTTCCCTGCAATTCTAACACATTTAGCCAATCAACACACTTGAGCCAGTTCTGGGCACTTTCCAAGGAGGTCTAGAAGTTTTCTCTAGTGTTTTTACATAGAATGGCTTTTAAAAAAAAGTAATAGCACAGTGAATGCTGCTGGGGAATGCAGCTGCTTCCTTCCGATGAAAAGGGAGGCTCATGACCATACTCATAAGTGAAATAAATCAATCTCGCATGTATGAATACCGAATAGTTTCCCTAATGTAAGTAATGATTCAAATATATAAAAATATGTGATAATCATGATTCCCCATTATGTGGCCTTGAAGCCTTATAAAATTTTCACTTATTAATTAGAAAGGCTTTATTCTGGGCTTTTTGATATGGAAATATTTGAAGCTATAGTATATGAAGTTTTATCCAAATATTTTAAGGAAAAAGACAGACACTATGGTAACTACTATTCTTTAAAAAAATTATTTAGCTATTTCTTATGTTTATTTTAATTAAGGGAAAAATTTAAAAAATTAGGATATATAGTAGTAACTCTTTTTGATCTCCTATTAACTTGTTTTGAAGTCCTGTAATACTCCCAAGATCTTGTTTTGACTGATTAGACTCTGTTCCATTCTGTACGATAGTAGCAAGTCTGAAGGTATAGGCAACTAATTTGAAGGCAATAAGATTCACAAAGATGCCCATTCTGGTTTGACTATTGTCTCCTTTGGAAGTCCTGTAATGTTCACAATGCCTAAGTTTTATTGGTCTTGTTCTCCACTGTTTTGTCCAACTTTATAATATCTAATGAGATAGACAATTCCTTTTAAGGGAACAAGAGACAATGTTGATAACCATTGTTAATAACCTTGTACTCTGTTCTACATCATGTGCTATGTCTATCCTTGGTTTTGACTTACAGCTTTGTTTTGCCATATTTGACTTTATTCTCTCCCCCCCCCCAAAAAAGTAATAAGAACTAAGGAGTAATAAAATCCAAAATGTGTAAATTTTGTTGTAAAAAAGAGAGGGAGGGAAAAAAAAAAGAGCTCTAACGGATATAACAGCAAGTGTGTTTAGGGATGTTAAATAGCTGACTATATTAATGTTTTTGGATCATTGAACACAGCTCTCTGTTTGAATGTCTACTTTGTATTCTTTGATACTGTGATTTGAGCAACTATTTCCAAGATGATAATATGTAATCTATTAACAGGTGATTTCTTACTGTTATGTTTTTTTTTTTGTAGTTCTGTATTATGTGTAACCTTACACTGCTTTGTTTTGTTTTGTGTTTTTCTCTTTTTCCTCTTAAATAAAAAAAAAAGAAAAAAAAAAAAGAAAAGGGAGGCTCATAAAACCACAGTGGTGCCTGCACGCCCATCTTATCCACCGAACCTGTCACTATGCAAATTCTGGCTCTTTTTTAAAATCAAAGTGACCATGAAAGGTCAATATTTTGAGTCAGTGCGGGACATCAAGGCAGCCAAGACAGCAGAACAAAAGCAACTCATGAAAGAAGACTTTGGAACTGCTTCAGAGTGGCAAGAGTGACATTATAATGTGCTAGAAGAGGAAATATTTAAAGGAGGTCAACAGTAATATGCCTTGTACTGTGATGATGTTTAAACATTTAAATGTACAGCATATTTTTGACCACACGTTAATAACATATTATTCAGTCATTAAAACTAGTAATAACATTTCATTTTTAATATTCCTTATAGCAAAAGTGATTATGAAATTGAATATGTGCTCCAGTTTATATAAAACCAAAGTAGAAGTCACCAGGAAAGACTTTCATCTTATGACCAAGTAAACATAGAATAGTGAAATATCTCCATTCTTTCCATGTGGAATTGTCTCACAATGAAAAACTTTCAGTGTGAAATGTGTGTTTTCACCTTGACAGGCAAAATTCGGGTAAGGGAGAAACTTCCTTTAGGTTACAAGTTTTCTATAAGGTTATAACTCACATCACATGTGTTAAAATAGCCAAGAACCAATTTACATGAAGTCATTTTTCTGAAGTTCTTTAAAATTTGCACTGATTTCGATTGAGGATAAAATTGGAGTACAGATGAAGATCATCATATTGTTTATAGCGTATTGGATAATACTCCGCAGCTCCCTACCTTGTCTTCTGGAAGTCCAGTCTGGCTGAAATAAACGGCATAACGGTCGTCACCTCTGATGTAGAATCTGTAAACATCTGAATCCGGAGCCACCAAAAATCCACTGAAGCGCGCAACAAATGTGTCGTGTTCCATGGGCCAAATATAAGAAGCAGAATCTACCCAGGTGGCACCCAGGTACCCTGGTGTGTTCTCACTGTATCCAAGGATCTCCTCAAGCTGTTCTGGCTGACTGCTGTTCCATACCTCAAGCTTTAGACCTCTCCCACCTAAATACAACACAAGGGAAGACTCCATGATGGCAATCACGATGCAGTGTCTCCACCTTCTATCTGGGTGGAGAAAAGCTTGAGCACATCAGCCTTTTAGAGAAGCTGTGTGTCCTGGGCCCAGCGTATTCTAACGTCATCAAGTATAAATGCCGAAGTTATTTTTGTGAACTGGTCACTTGTTCTAATTCAAGGCAAAGAAATATATGGGGTGGGTAAAGAGAATTTATTAGGCTTCAGATACCAACCAGTGACTGAATTGTAAGTAGATTTCATTGTGTGCACAAGATATGAGACATAAGAAATGCTCAAACACATGTATAGCACTTCAATGGAATTAATGATACGAAAGCCGTACACTGCGGGTTACAAGGGGAAACCATGAAATGAGGGTGTTTTGGGGAAACTGGAGGGTTGTCTTTTGAGACAGGGTCTCACTATGCAGTTCAGGCTGGCCTTGAGCTCACTTTGTAATGCAGGCTGGTCTCAAACTCACAAGGATTCTCCTGCCTCAGCCTCTCAAATGCTGGGATTATAGGTTGTACTACCATACCCGGCTTGAAATGAATTTTTTTTGAGTTACGTCTTTCATCTATTTCCAGCCTTCAATTATTTGGGAGTTAGGATTTAACCTCCCCATTTATTTTTTTTTGAACCAGAAAGAGACATTTGAAAATTTTTATGTAGATGGTACCAAGATTTAGTAATTATAATTTAATCTAAAATAAAAGTACGATTATACTCTATCAATAGACATGCTCTTTTCAGTAAGTCTAGGTATATCACCACAAGTTCAACTTTGATATAACTATTTTAATACAAATATTTCCTAATCCAGGAAATAAAAATTTAAAAACTTACAGAAAATATATATTTCACATCATAAATTCTAAAAAATTCAAATAATGTGACTTAATGATACACACTCATGCACATTCTTTTCCTGAAAACTTAGACACGGTTATTCTCTCTTATGTAACTTACCTGGGTACACAGTTTTGAGAATGTGAGGTCTGGGGGGTGTCTTGCAACATATACTGTCTTCTGTGACATTCAAAATATCACAAGGTTGTCCTACACGGAAACAAAATGCAAAACTGTTACAAATGAATCTTCAGAATATGAATCAATTAACTTACCTTGAAATTCTTTTTCAGGTCAAACAAAGTAACAGGAGCAAATGGCAAAGTTGGGGCCTTCCATTTTCTTTACCTATTTTCCATTAAAGCATGTCATTTATTAGTTATTATACTTCCACAAAAGAAAAACTTCTTCCTACCAAAATATTGTCATCATAGGCTTGAGATAGGACATTTCAAAATCTCTGAGAAAAACAAGAAAAATTTGATAAAACTACATCATTGTAAAAAAGAAAGTATCACTTCTGAGTGCGAGGTGAAGCCTTATGTTCAGTTCCTCAGAGCCCTGAATTAATGTCATTGATGTTCAGGATTCATGAAGGGGTGTGATCCCGGCCTTCTTAAGTAGGAAAAGTGGTAGCTTCTGTCCAGGTTCTTCAAATGAAAGCCATAAGTGACAACATCAAATGTATTCAGACTGAATCCTAGTCATCAAAGGCCCAAAGAGAATGATTATAACTTCCACACAAAAGCAACTGGGCTTGGTAGAAGAGTCTGTGTTTCAGAAGTGTATCTCATGTAAGGTCGGGCCCAGCAGTTCCTGAAATAGCAATTGCAGTCCACAAAAAGTGAGCACAAATGGGGCTGGAGATTTAGCTCAGCAGCATAAGTGTCTGCTTTGCAAGCAGGCAGTCGTGAGTTTGATCCCCGGAAAAAGACAAAAAGAAGACAAAAAGACGAGAGAGGTATCTTCCCCAACTTTCATTTAATGGTCTGGGAAGTGCGGACTTCCATGCTATTTTTTACTACAATATTTTGAATGCCTTGTGAATGTAAGAAAATTGAAACAGAAAATGATAAATTTGAACCATATATTAAATCAATAGCCCTTTTCATTCAGAGTAAAAATGTGCATAAACAGATCACTACTTTTAAGAAATTTTTATTTTTACTTATTTATTTAGGTACCGGGTATCCAACTCACGACCTTGCACTAACCAAGCAAGTGCTTAAACCACTGAGCTGAATCCCCGACTTTAAGAAATTTTAAAGACTCCAAATTTCAAGTCTGGTTGCCATCTTAATGGCAATGAAATATGATAGAAAAGGAACCTCACACCAGCATATCAACTCTATCATAATCAAAATATGCATAATAGATCATGAAACACAGAAACTGCAATCATTCTATGTACTTTAATATTTAGAGCATAACATCTTATCAAATATAAAAATCTTATGGGCCAGGATTTGCTATTTACGCAGATGACCAGCAAGATTTCTCAGAGCTGAAAGATACTGCACACAAGTTAGATGAGGATGCTTTCTATCCATCTTTCTTTTCTTAAATCAGCTCCTGGTCAGAATCATTAAAAAGTGGAAACTACTAGAGCAATAGGTTTGTTAAAAATGTACAAGCATGTGCTCAGTTGCACGGGCAGGCATCCTGTGCCCTGCTTTCCCTGGGACTGATGTCATTTTGACTCAGGGGACAGTCCCTGTATTACATTTATCCCAACCTCAGTTTTCAACTGCACAGTTCCCTGTCTCGGAACAGATCTAGACAGATACACAAACCAACACACAGTCAGAGAAACAAATGCTCCGTGCATCAGTTAACTAGCGCTCTTCACAAGACCCAAACCATCCATCATTTCTAATGGGCAGGTGCCACCATGTATCACAGAGGTGTGAGCACAGTACCCAAGATGTTAATTAAAATTTCCCCATAATTAGCTAAGTTGTCGAGGTGTAACAACAGTTCAAAAGGATATTTAAAGGTTTACTAGATAGAGAGCGTGCTGAGGAATTTGTAGAGCAACCATGATCTAGTGTCCCTTATTGTCACCCTCATAGTTTAGGTCCAATAGCATCAATCTCGCTGGAAAACTGAGGTAAAAAGGGCCCTGAGCTCCATCGCTTATGTGAATTATCTAGTTTTTACTTCAATAGAATAACAGGAAAAACTGTTATTCTGTCTACTAATTATTAAAGAACAGACAATATTTATTGTTAGAAAGCCACATATTAAAAATCATGGAAAAATACCTCCAACTAGAACTGTCACTGGGAGATCAGTCTGATCAAAGAAGCGACTATTTATTCGGAGTGTGGCACCACCTTGAATGCTTCCTTTTGAAGGTGAAATCATAGTAACCTCTGAGGAAAGAAAGCACATTTTAAAATGTCATGATTATGCCATGTAAACCCAGATGCTCCTTTAAAAAAAAAAGATTTCCAAGTCCCACCTAGCCATAGCACCTAGTGGAATGTGGGTAATAGATTGCCAGCTGAAAAAATTAGGTGTTTCATTATCTGTCTCGTGTGCAATACCGCAAAGCAGACAATAAACAACTTTCACAGAGACCTACCTTCCAAAGGGGACCAGGCTTTGGTGGTGACCTGTGCTAAGGAGGTACTAGCAATCAGGGGATGGGACGGAAGGTGCAAGGGAAACCTGAGCTGAGCACAGATATTTAGAACAAAACAAGAAGACGGGTTAAAACACCTCTTATTCCATATACTCTTGAAGAATGCATCTTATAATTCTCAAACTTAGGAACCAAACTCTTGCATTTATAGTTTCTCATATAATTCACCTAACTATGTTTAGACTCTTTGTATGTAAAAATTTTATGTATGTGGATACAATAATCCAAGATATGACATATGGCAAGTTCTTACTAAAGTAGTTTCTTAGTAATTATATCAAAGTGCTATGCATTATTGAACACAAATTTTGCACTAAATGAATTTCTAAGAAAAATCTTGAAATATTTCCCATTTGATCGATTCCACTCAAGGCACATCCTTTTTTACATTTTAATTCCTTGAAATTGTTTTTTACGTTTGAATATCTTTGAAATCTGACCATGTCTCTCCGTGACTACTGACTGGACAAATACAGGTCTTCAAGGTCAGAGTTTCTATTGGCTTCTGATGCTCTCTAGGGCTGCTATCATGTCAAACTGAGAACAATTTAAAATGAGTAAATTAAATTAAAAACTGCTGCAGGATTCTTCTAAACTACACAGCATAATTAAGAGTTTTGACGTGTGGTTCAAATTGATATAGAAAACTTTTTTCTTCCCTTCACCAACAACTAAAATTGAAACACACGAGTTTCCCTGCGAGTGTTATAATTTTGGCTTTCAATCAATCTTGCATTAAGAATATAGTTTTGCTGAAACTGTCATGCTTTGACCTGTATTGTTATGTTGTTATGTCCTCTTTTATCTCAATCTCTCCCTTTATTCATTAAAAAAATTACTTATTTTTTATGATTTTTTTAATTAAGGGGAAAAATAAAAAAATAGCAGGATATAGTATAGTAATTTTTTGATTTCCTATTAACTTGATTTGAAGTCCTGTAACACTCCCACTATCTTGTTTTGACTGATTAGACTCTGTTCTGTTCTATATCATAGTATCAAGTTTGAGGGTATAGGCAACTACTTTGAAGGCAATAAGATTCACTACAATGCCCATTCTGGTTTGACTATTATCCTCTTTTGAGGTTCTGTAAGATTTACAATGTTTAGGTTTTATTGGTCTTGTTCTCTACTATTTTGTTCAACTTTATAATACCTAATGAGATAGACAATTCTTCTTAAGGAAGCAAGAGGCATTATGGTAACCATTGTTGATAACCTTGTACTCTGTTTTTACATCATGTGCTATGTCTATCCTTGGTTTTGACTGACAGCTTTGTTTTGCCATATTTGACTTTATTCTCTTCCAAAAAAAAGTAATAAGAATTAAGGAGTAATAAAACCCAAAATGTGTAAATTTTGTTGTAAAAAAGAGAGGAAAAAAAGTGCTCTAAAGGATACAACTGCAAGTGTGTTTAGGGGTGTTAAATAGATGACCATATTAATGTTTTGGTTGGATCATTGAACACAACTGTTTGCAGTCTCACTGTTTGAATGTCCACTTTGTATGCTTTGATACTGTGACAAGCAACTATCTCTAAGATGATAATGTATAATCTATTAACTGGTGATTTCTTACTGTTTTTTTTTTTTTGTAGTTCTGTATTACTTGTACCCTTACACCACTTTGTTTTGTTTTGTTTTTTCTCTTTTTCCTTTTAAATAAAATAATAATTAAAAAAAAGAATGTAGTTTTTGGAGACTTCAACTTAATGTTGCAACATTCTCCCCATTTTAGGTAATTTCCCTTTCCTGTCAGTATATAAAAATATAGTACTCCTTATAGTCATTATGACTTTGATTTGATGAAATTAAGCATGCACCGTCTCCCTCTGCCCACTTACACATTGGGAGAGAAATGTCACATACCTGCAAACGTTTGAAACATTGAAATTCTATTGAGAGAAGAAACAAAATATGCCATTTTCTGTGGGAGGCTCCTGTTTAAAGAAAATAAATTCTCATTTAAATTCCTGATTGAAAAATTAACCTTTAATTTCAGGATTTTTGTAAAGCAATAGCAATAGAAATCATATGGATTGCAAAGAAATACAACAGAACACTTGAGTAAAGACAAAAACCTCTATCTTGATTTGGCTGTTGGTTACATATATATATTCGTTTGTGAGAATTTATTAAACTGTACACATCAAATACATACATTTTAGTCTATTCAAACTATTTCTTAATAAAGTTGATTTTAAGATATTGTACAGACAAAAAGCCAGCAGACTAACAGACAGCAGGACAGTCCTACATATGTCTGAACTCTTCTGCTGGCTACTCTACCGTCTCTTCTGTTAGAACCCCTGTAGGTCCTAGGAAAAGCTTTCAATTTATGATGGCGCTTTGATTCTATATCAACCACATGAGGCTGGAAAATACTAAAAAACTTACTTAGCTTATTTAAGCTCATAAAGACAGCAAGTGATTGAAACAGAATTGGAACCCAGACACTTTGAATCCCAAGCCCTGGTTCCTAACCTACATGCCACACAGTACCCTACCCTGCCCGCTAAAAAACTATGTAGTAGTACAAAGGGCTGAGAGCAAATAAACAAAAATCCACCAGGCTTATCTCCCTCTTAATAAACACAGGGTCTTAAATTTGTGCTTATTTTCTGAAAAATATATATATTTTCCACTTCCACTACCTGGAGGTTAGAAAAGAATCCTGATAATTAAATGTTCTTCTCTTAATTATCCCCATAAAATTCATAACTTGAAATATTAAGAAATTCAAATCAGAATTTTAAGATTCAAAACCCATTGAGGATAATTTTCCTGTACCGAACTAAAGTCTAAAATGGTAATATAAAACCTGTGGTTGAGATAGAACAATGAACCCTCCTAAAATCTAACCCAGGCATTACAATGTTCCTGCACAAGAGTAAAGAGTTGCTTGACTTATTTTATGCTAAATTAGCTAAGTGTGAATAGTGGATTGTGTATTTTTATAAGACTTTAAGTTGATTCCCAAAGAACTGAAACCATGCTGTTTTCGACATTTCAGACCAGATCCTACATCTCAAAAATTAACTATTCTTCTTAAGTTACTAGGAAAATCGCCTCCTGAAATAAAATTTGAATGTAATTTATTTTGGATGACAGTGAGGTGCTTTTCACTAATTCACTGATAATGATTAGGCATTTCTCAATTAAGGCAGTCTCATCTAAACCTTATCAGTTTGGAACAGCTGTCATTTGAACTTGGGAAAAGAGCAGACAGAAGGTTGGCTATTAAAAGAGATACAGAGTGGGGAGCTCACTGGTCTTTAATTGGTGCACTTGATATTCAAGAATGCTCCCAAAATTGGTAAAATATGAATTTTATAATTTCTAAAATGACTTAATAGTTATATATGCCATGTAATCTTAAAAGTTGTTTTAAAATATCAAATGTAATTTTTTAACTATTATCTTAAATTCCTGTTTTGCATAAAAACAATTTTCTCAATTATGAGACATTAATACTGAAGGTTAGCCATTAGCTAAAAGAGGAAAAAGGAGCTGAAACTCAAGATCACAGAATCAGCAGTTTAATGCAGTAGTACTGTCCATCTTATCTGTGAATTTGACAGTTTTTGCCGGGAAAGTTTGCAGGCGTGTGAATGCAGCAAATTGATTTATGGACACTTAACATTAACTCAGCTAAAGCATACTCAGCCTGACCGCTCAAACCAGCTATTTTTGGATGATTGTTTTTCTGAGTGACATATGATGGATTTTGTAATTAATACTTTTCATTCATACTCAGAACTAAGAATTCATTTTTTCCAACTTAGGAAAAAATGAGACTGAGAATGTAAATGAATCAGACATACTTCCAGCAATCAATCAAAACTTGATAATTATTGCTTGTTTGTTTGTTTGTTAACATTTTTGGTATAATTCTATTGCTGGATCTTAACAAAGTATATGTAGGTACTGTTGTTCTTGCAGAAAACAACTGTTAAACCATAAGTCATTTGTGCCATATAAATACAAAGGTGCATCCTAGCAGCATCTAATGGTTTCCCTCTGATTTGTCCTTGAACTATGCTATTCTTCATGTTTTCAGCCAAGTCTAAATTGGTGTATATGACAGTGTCCAGGCCAGACACCATGACACACGTTCTGCTTCTAGATGGCTAGCACTGTACGTTCTCTTAATAGGGGCAGTGACTGTCAGATCAACTTGAATTGCGGTCCCATCAAGGGAAGGACCAAATCTAACCTTCTCTTGCAGTCTGTGAATACTGACCAGAAAAACAATACACTCTGATCATAGCATTGCTATTCTTTCCAAACTTCTAATCATTAAGTCTCTTTTCAGGTTAAAAAGAAAAAAAAGAAAGAAAGAAAAAGAAAAGAAATCAACAGACCTAGCCTATCGTTGACCTACTGCAGCCATTAGTACAGTGTTATATGTTAGGTGTAGCCATTTATTTGGTTTTGAGGACTCACTCTCTCAGTGACATTTTGGACAGAATAATTCATTTAGATTTGGCATATCATCTTCTTGACCACTAATGCCATTATCATGCCTAGTTACTATGACAATCAGGAAATGCCCTTACATTTGCGAATACTCCTAAGAGTATAGTAGTCCGGTAGGGTTTTTAAAAGTTCCTGGATCAGGACCATAAGAAGTGATGAGAGGTGGTACCAATAGTTAGAGCCTTTAGTTGGTCACTGGAGAGCACTAAAATGAAATGCTGGGTTGCTGGCATTAGACTACAGGATTCAGTTACTTTCACTGCTTCTATGGATGAATACCCTGAGGGAAATTACTTAACGGGTTCTCCCATTTTGCCAGTGGCTGTCGTGGGGCTGATGATAGCATTCAATCTAAAGTTTCTTTGAAGGATTGAACTAGCTAATGTATGTAAAGTCCTTCCTTCACACCGGGCTGCCACTAAATGTTTGCTGTTGTCATCTATAACATGAGACTTAGAACATGTGTTGTAATTTGCATATTCTGCTAATTGCTTGGACACATGAAAATCTTACTAAAATTAAGATGCAGGATATCTGGAAATGAGTTCTAGCTTTATTAAAAGTTATAAATATAAGTTATTAATATTTTGGTGTTGAGATGTAACTGATGGCTACAACTATCATCTTGCCCAACTCTGCCTTAATATAAAAGAAAACATCAGGCAAGATTAATCGTGAGGTTCTACTTATTTTTACAGTAATTCAAATCAAAATTTAATTAGTTTAGCTGTCAAAAGAACTATAATTAAGTCAGAAGAGCCACAAGACATAAAACAACACATTTCAATATCATAGTTAGAGACTTTTTAGGCTATTTTAGTTAGTGTTAGATTCCCAATAATTGAAAGGTCATGTATGAGACAAAAAACACAGGCAAAAAGAGGTTACTGACTCTTTAAATGCTAATTTGGGGAGGAAAATGATTAATTCTTTAATCTCTGAATCTATAGCACGAAGTTAATATACACTTTGTTTTATTTGCCCAGTTGAATCAATTATGAAAATTATTATTTACACAGTGTCCCACCTTCCATAATCACTGTCTAAGATGAAGCTGACATTGTGATGACCTGGAATTAATTAAAATACACAATCAGTTAAATTGTCAACCACAGGAGAATAAAGACGATTTAAAATCAGAAAAAACAAAACAGTACTCATAAATTACCTTTTAATCATCAGAGAAATGAAAACCGAACTGTATTTTTTCTTTTTATACATTTTTAAAATTTTATAAGGCAATAGATAAATAGGGAGTGGGGAGCAGTGCAAATAATTCTCCAGATTACCTATTCCATTATGTCAAATATATTTTAATATATACGTTAATCGGGTTTACTTATACAATTAGTTTCTCTTAATTCATTGAAAAGAAAGTTTTGTGCTAATATCTGTTTGCTTCTTTTTTGGAAGAGTCTTTTTTTGTCTGTCTTTAATTACCTTTTAAAAGTGCCTACAGTATAAAAACATAAGGTATCTTGGGGTTATAACTAAAAAAACTCTGACAAAATAGAAATAGGAGTAAAGAATAATACAAGAACAGATTGCAACCATGCCCTGAAATCTCTGTCCTTCTTGTACAGCTCTAATTGTTTGGAGCCCCGGGAAGGAAGGAGAGAAGCGGGGTGAGCCTGCCCTTTACCTAACAGCGGGCACTGTGGGGTGAAGCACACCCCCAGTCAAGAGCAGTGACACCGACAGAGAGCTAAGAACTCTGACAAGGCCACCAGGAAAAGAAAAGCGAGCTCTGAGAATGGAAAACAGGAGGTCACAGGATATTTTCCTGAGGGTAGACATTTTATCTGCAATTTTCAGGTCAGGATGTTTACAAAAGCCTGAGACTGGCAGGAGGAAAACTCATTCAAGAATCAAAAGGTCTGTCTGTCTGGAATATGTGAGCACAAGGGAAATACAAAACAGCATGAAATGAAGGCAGCAGCTTAATTAGCCATGGCATCTTCTGGGGATAAAGAAGAAATGGGACGTTGTTTACTTTATATGTGAACCTCAGGAAAAATTACATTTGTGAACATTTACATAAAGTAAAAAAAAAAAAAGAGAGCCAAGGAAATATTTTTTAAAAGGCAAGAGAGGTCAAAGAAAACACAGAATAGGGAAGTAGAGTCAGGCATCCAAGACAGCTGTGAAGAGAGGAGTGACACTTACCAACGTAAGTCCCCGTCACCTTACACACCACCGTGCCCACGTCCCCGCTTGGATGATCCAGTTTTAGACCATACCTAACAAGTGTATATGTTAGTAACAAAGTATGTATTAACGTTCAAGTTTTAGAACACTGGTTTTTTTCTTTTAAAACATCTCATCTCAGAATATGTGTCAGGATAGAAACTAGTGCTACAACAAAAATTTCTGTAAAACAAAAATACTTCCAAGACTTCACTGAAGCTATTTAAATAAATTTTGCATAACAATGAAATAGTTTGTAATTAACTTTGATGTCCCCATTCATATTTCTTTTAAAGAGTTTAAAGTATGATCCTGAAACAATGATTTGGTAAAGACAGTTCTCAAAACATTTTTCTCATAATAACCTACATAGTGGTTCATAGCACACTATATTAGAAACAGAGTAGGATATAAGGCATAAATGCTATAAAGCTGATTTTAAAGTAGAAAAAATAAAAACTGTACTTATACATTGTGTATTGATCCTCAAGGAAATAAAAATTGAACTATCTTTAAAATGTACCTACACTATAAAAAATATGTACATAAGTTGTCTTGAAAACTAGAAAATCTGTTTTCTTACAACTAGAAATATCTGACAAATTATAACTAGGAATATTTATAATAATATAAATTAATGTAAGTTTACTGTATAAATTATACTGCATGGTAAAGCATCTGGCTATGCAGTACTGCTAGCAATTATTTAAATTTATTATGTTCATATCTGCTACTTATTTTTATAAAGAAAATTAATTACTTACAGATCATCAGACTGTGGTTTAAGAAGCTCACAGGGCATTCCTCCAACATAAACTCTGCATAAACATTTTGTGTAAAAAATATTATCATGTTTAATAAATTGTTTCAAAATAAACCCTCCTCCTAGGAAGATCAAAATCCACTTTAAATGTTTTCCCTCTCAGTTACGTATTATCTGTCACCCATTCCTTCCATAAAAATCCACTGAACAGTTTACGTGCGCAGAGACTAATAAAAATGATAATTATACCATTTGATGTGTTAGAGAGTGCTAAACACACAGGAAAACATAATGGACTTATCCACTTACAGTTCAGTCAATTTGAATAAAAACAGTATTCTAGTAAGATTCTGATTATAGGAGTTGAATGAGGAAATTCTCAAGGCTATCATGATGAAGAAAGCATGTACCAGTATGTGTGAGACAGACAGATAGATAGATAGATAGATGATAGATAGATGATAGATAGATAGATAGATAGACAGACAGATGCACGAGAGGAGAAGAGGAAAAGGAAAGCAGAGGAGAGGTGGATGAGGTGGCAGTGAACATGTGTCCCTTTACAGTTCCTCAGCTGCTGAGGTTCTCAGGGCTGTCATATTCAGGCTGATGGTATTTATTGGAGGCTCACAGGCAACTGGCATCAGATTACTTGCTACATCAGAATAAGCCACCCAGTTTCCATGATAGCAAATGCCAGACTCAAAATAAGGTCCCACACGTACCTGCACTATAAAAAATAAGGACTTTAGTTTGCAGGAAATGCTGAACTTTAAAAAAGTACTTTCAGACACAAGTCCTCTCATTTGATCATTACATGAGGTTTGGAAAACTAACTAATTATTGCACTCAATATAGGGATTCAGGATTCACATCTCCTTTGAAACTCTTCCTTTTCAACTGAGTTTAGCAGCTCGCCCTTTTATTACATTTAATCCTTGCACCCACCCTATGATTTATTAACTATTATCCTTCCTTTTTAGAGGTGGGGAAACTGAGGCAGCAAGGTGAAGCGATTTGCCCAAGCCTGCAGCTGGTGAGGGAGAACAGGAACTCCCAGTCCAGGCTCTGACCCACAGTTGATAATTCCCACAGTGGTACAGGTGAGCAGATCTGGAAATACTACCCTGTTTGGCCTTAATGAAATATTTTTCAACTTTCAGATCAAAGGTGTCATAGTACACACCAGATCCTCTGTTATCAGCACACCATCTATAATTTGCCCCAGGACTGAGTGTGGAGTGTTGGCCAAAGAGAAAAATCTGAGTGACAAGGTCTCCTGGCTCCCTGCCCAGTAGACAGTGAAATGATTGAGGATGCCCAGTGGCACAGTGGACATGGCTATAAATGACACCAGTGAGTGTCCAAGAACATTTCATCCCCTCATTAGTGGGTGAGTGAAAATTTTTCCTATAGCTACATATAAGATACCAGGATTTTCAGAACTCAAGAGATGGATTTGCTGATTTCTCTGAAGTCCCTTTTGGATGTGATTTTAAGATTTCATGAGATAAGTTTCACTGATTCCTCGGTAGGAAAAAAGGAAATTCCTGCCACTGTGGGGGAAGGATGGGGGAGCAATCTATTTTGGAAATTTATCCATCAATATGGAAAAATAACTGAAAACAACACCTAACAATTAGAGTATAAACTGTTTATAGCACTCAACTATACTGAAATAGATAAAATCCTCACTTACACTAAATTGTCTATATCAGAAGTTAAGTATTTTTCTAGTAGTTATTTTATTACATAGAAGGGATCAATATGAACATTTTTAGCTGCACACAAACTTGATTTAATTGGAAGTTCCACCTCACAGAATGGCAGCTACCTCATCTTTGTTTAATAAAACTTTTTAAATCACTTGTTGTATAAAACTATATGCATCTGTATGCAAATATATAGTCTTTTTCGCAATTAACAAATCCTATAGTTGCTGCCTGAATTGTCTAATTTAGTCATTCATCCATTTCATACATGTATTTAATAAACACGAACATTTCAAAAGCCATGATACTGCTTTGATACTTCTGTGGGAAATGAACAGGATTTTCAGTTTTCTGAGTTAGGACTGAGAATTCTGTCATGCTACAGCAGAGTGCTCCAGGAACGGTACTAATGTCCAGTACAAACTATGAACTGTTGCTTTTTGATGTTAGTAAGCTAGGCATTATTACCATCTGATGTACAGCTGGTGAAGAGAAGAATTTTGCTTCAAACCCTGCCCTCCAGTGACGGTTTTTGGTTGCACACTCTCCCAGAATGCAATAGAAAAAAGTACCAAACAGTGTTGGAAAGCCTGGATCTATATCTACTCCTCATCTTGAATAAGCTATGTAACTTCCAGGCCTCAGGTATTTTTAAATAGAGGCAGTTAGAGTAAGTAGAAAAGTCCTCCATCAGTAAAGCTCTATGACTATAGTTTAGTTACTATTACACTTGCATTCATGTAATTTCTTTTAATAAAATCCATCATAGAAAAAGAAGAAATTGTATCAGACAAAAAACTATCCACAAAGCCATACTGACAATTTTGTCACGTCAATCAATCCATCAATAGTCAATTTTTCTTCCTCTAATATTGCTGAACAAACATTGGTTTTTCCATCACATCATAGTAGGTTTAATACCATTGGACCAATTATTTATAGAATATCATATTTTAGTTGTGTCAGAAGAATATAGTTTCTCATACAAATTACCTCAAAATCCTAACATTTTTCCCATTTGAGCTTAGTGCAGTATTACTTCCATAGACATCGGTGAAAATTCTGCCTTGGATTGTTATTAGTGTGCCTAAGAACAAAACAATAAAATCATAAAAAGGTTGTATGCATCAATGTCTATCTAGATATTTAACTGCAGTTAGATTTTTTTTCCCGATAAAACCACAATCCAGACACTTCTACCTGATGTTCACCACTGTGTAGTACTGCTCTAAAAGTTCAAACAAATACAATAATACATGAATGAGTTCCTTTAAGAATTTATAAATTAAGCAGTGTATCATAGAACAGGATAAGGTACTTAATAAGTACTGCATGGGTCAAAGAGTTATTTATTTGAAAAGAAAAAACAATTCTACTGTATGCAAAAAAATCTTAGCTGAAATAAATATTAAACATAAAAAGTAAAACCAGAAAAAGTCCTGAAAATAGTGAAAATCTATGTAATATTTATACAATAAGGATAATGGAATTTTTCACAACATAAAAAATGATGTAAGTAAAAAAAGTTAAAATCTATAAATGTGATGATAAAAATCTAAAAGAACTGTGAATGAATTTTCAAAGTAAATTACAAATTAAAAAATATTTCCACAAATGACTTATAAATCACAAATATATTTCAGATATAAGGGATTCTTGAAATTTACCATGAAGAAAAGATGATGTGATAAACCAAGGAGAACAATAAGCAATTTATAAAACAAACATGCAAATATTCAATAAATCTAAAACAAATGTAGTGACCCAAATCAAATACTTTATAAATAAAAACCTAGTACATGTATCACATGATACCTGAAAACTGTTAGTGTCTATACTGCCCTAGCGGACATGGTCACAGATTTCGGTTGAGGTTATAATCTGGTATAATCTGGTATAATCTGGTATAATGAATGCTGGAAGCTAAATCCTCAACAGGAGAAAAGTTAAATACATCAGAATGGACCAAGATACAACATTTGAAAACACTTGCTAAAATATTATTGTTAATTTCACAATAAGAAAATTGTAATTTGTACATTCTCTGGCATTACCATATTTTTATGTACTAAAATAGAAATTAATTCATGGCCACAAAGCTGAGAGCATTTCAGTTGTGACGGGACAGACCTGGAGTGCCAGAAGTAGGTGTGATGCTCCTTATGGTTGGTGTTCTGAAATTTTTTGCCTGTAAAACAATAATATCACTGAAGAATCTTATTTGTGTTTTAATTTTGATTGTATGGTATAGGTCTGTTTTCTACATTATTTTTATTTCAATAACACTTATAATACTGCTGTCAAAATGTAATCTTTTACATATAGAAATAAGACATAAAACATTTCTTACTATTTAGTATATTTCTTCTTATCCCAAAAATTCTCTTCCATTTCACAATATTAATAGTCTGCAGTTTTAAAAGTCAAGCATCCTCTTACTAACAGTATATTCCAAATCTCTGTAATAAAAAGACTTTCAGGAATTTGATGCAATAAAATTAAAGAAATCATACTTTGGATTAAGCCCCTGAAGAAAAAGGTAACAAACATGTTTCAAAAACATAGTACAAAAAGGTATGGCAAAGTAAGCTATAGTGACCAAGGTAATGATAATTCTCTAGTGCAATGCAAGTGTAATTAGAATTGTGACACCCATTGAGAAATTAATATTGAATAGGTACAGAACAGGAATGATAGACAAAATAAAGAACTCTCAGTAACCAATGTGCATTCAGAAAATAATTTACACTTAAGACAAATAATACAGAAGAAATGAATGAACCAGAAAAGATGAGGAATTTTTTTCCAGAAACACAGAGGTGCTACAGAAAATATAAAAGTCTAAAAACATGCACACTTTTACATTATAACTGAACTTTTAGATATATGATGAGGGAGCCTCTGCATGATCTGAAGATAACACAAGCAAAATAACTTAGCATGAAGCAGATTCTCAATAAATGTCAGCTGTACCTCAGTCTCATTAGAAAAGATGCCTGGATTTCTTCTTAAAAGTAAAAGAACAGATTCTTAGAGTGGAAAAATCGAAGAGATAAATCTTTGAAATGAGAGGCTCAGCATGGCTTTAGACTTACTCTTCCACATTTTACAATGGTAAAGGGAAGACAAACGTTTAGTGAAGATGTTATGTAAAGCAGTAGAAAATAAGACCTCAAAAATACTTTCAGGCAAAATACAACTTGTAGAGCAGAGTTGACAAGATAACATGAATCACTGGTATGTGTGTAAATCAATCCTTTTAAGTCACTGTGTTCTCACCTTTATAAGATCTATAACAAAATAATTGAAGAGAACATGTTAAATTTAGTTTTTATTATATTTTAAGGAGATACACCACTAACAGATTTTCAATTTGGTGCATAATTTGCACGAAAAGAAATGAAAATGGAGGCAAATTACTTTTTCAAAAAAACAGAAGATTCTGAGAATTAAGTATAATAGCAATTCAGAAAAACAATACAATGTACAGTATTAACACAAAATTAGCAAGTAGTTTGAAAAATGGAGATTATGAATATATAATTTTGCACAGGGTTTTAAACTACACAGATAAAATAATGCGTGCAATACTTTGTGGCACTAGTGATGGAGCCCATGGCCTTTATACTGAGCTACATCTCCAGGTCTTTTAAATATTTTCTGTTTAGAGGCAGGGTCTTACTAAGTTGCCTAAGCCAGGCTGTAACTTGCCATCCTTCTGCTAGCCTTCACAGTGCTAGGATCACAGGTGTGTACTATTACGCCTAGCCAAAATACTTGTTTTTAGTCCTTGATAAGAACAAAAAGTAAGAGCATGCATTTGGGAACTTTTATATCAACATGACATCGCTGTGACATATTTACTGTACTTTATAAGATATCGGTCCACAAAACAATGGGAAACTTTCAAAAAGCTGATCCTTCATCATGGTTTAAGGTACTTTAAACCAAGAGAAAATAGAGACATGATTTCAAAATGCTAAGTGAAATTTATTTCCAAATTAGCCTTCTATATCCAGCTAAACTGTCAACTAAATGTAAAAGTGTCATGAATGTTTTACTATTGTAAGAATTCTAGTTTAATTCAGTAATAGATTTATGTTCTAAGGATATTTTACCACATAAAGGAATAATCAAGAGAAAGACACACATGGGATTCAGGCAGTAAGCAGCACCAGGAGAGAAGGGCAAAGTACCCAGAAAAAGTGCTTCTGAAAGGTGCCCCCAGGATGACCTACTGCTATGCAGCATATAGAGAGCAACTGCCCAGACTGGAACACAGCTGGATTCATGACTGGGCGAGCACATAAAATTCCTGCTGCTTGAAGTCACTACTGTACGGTAGTGTTATGCAGTGCTACAGATGTACAGATGTAGGATTCTAGGCACTGAATTCTCATTATTCCTAGTAAGAACTAAAAAGATAATAGCTACACTTCAAAGATTCAGAAATAGCAAATTTCTAGTTACTAAGAATATTGTTTCAAAATATCAAAATATGTAACTAAAGGTGTTGAAAGTGAGTGACTCTGGAGAATGAAAAAGACTCTAGGAAAGGTGAGTGCTATTGTTAATTTGATGTGGAGACCTAGCTCCGTTTAAATTATGTACAAGTATGAGGTTGTTAACTAAAGTCATTGACTTTGTGGATTCTGTTTTCAGAGCACAGCCCAACAAAATAGAAATTATTAAGAAAATACTGTAAGTAGATCTAATCACTTGGTGTTAAATTCTTCTTCAGTTTTATCTTAGGGAAAGAACACAGAACATCATTCAGAAAATACTGTCTGTGTTCCTACAAAGTGCTAAATCTTAGTCTTAGAAACAAAGATAAACACAGAGAAACATATTAAAAAATAATCACTACACAATGAACTCACTGCTAAAACAGGACATGGAATAAAAATATAGAAAAATAAATAGATAAAAAAACTAAAATTAGTACTTACTATATGCCAGGCTCTTTCTGATAAGTTTATTAAGTTTACATCATCTAATTCTTACAACAATGCTATGAATAGTCTCCATTTTGCAGGTCATCGGTTTCATTCTGCCCATGTCAGAGCTAATAAACAAGGGAGTCTGTCTTCGAACTCTGAACCACAGCATTAAGCAATTTTACAACTAAGGAACACAGTAGAGGACCTCCTTTCTCTCTGCTTGGGAAAATGTTAAGGGTCCTGAGTGATGAGACATATTTCACTAAAAGAACTAAGTAAGACAATGGATCCTTGTCCATCGGGAGAAGGGTGGAAGTCTTTGTTAGAATTTGATGCAGTTCCTCACTATGACACAGTAAAGCAAACCTAAGACGATGGGTGGAGGAGGAATGAATGGTGAGCAGGAGAAAGACAATGATACTCCTAGTTTTGAAGGATAACACTGAACAAAGCAATTGCAATGGGTAGAGAGAGGTATTAGGAGGAGATTATGATAAATGAACCAAGTGAAAAATGATAGGAACACTATCAAAACAAAGGCCATATAGGACAGAAGCCAGGAAGATGAACCTGAGAGAGTTCAGGGTAGAATTACGATAATGTGGCTTCTGAATAGTTACGGGGCTCAAGGTAAAGACTAACAAGAGGGTGGCAACACGTTTCATGCTTGAGATGGCAAGAAATAATCAGAGAAAGTGTAGGCTTAACAAGGAATCCAACAAGCCCAACTGAGTATGGATGAATTCAGGTTGTTTGGGGACCACTTAGGTGTGATGTACAGGAAACAAGCTTGGATTTGCAGCCAAGGAAATAGGGGCCAGGAATCTTCCTAGGAGGTGTATGTGGGAATCAAAGACTATTTGAGGACAGAAGTTATTGCTTTCTTCAGAGTTTCATCTTAGACTGGAACATTACACTCTTCAGTAATTGATGACGTAAGAGTTAAATAAAATTTTTAAGAACATCTGTGATGATGCTTAGAAGAAAGTATATTTTTTACAAAAAGTTCCACTTAGGGCAATGGAATTTTGAGTGGCTCCTGTGCTATGTGCAAGCTCATTACATTAAAAATCACATGGAAAGGAAGCACAGTTATGCTTTTACTAAAAATGAAGTGATGAATCCTGTGAAATAGGAAAAGGGAGAAGTGAACTAAGAGCAGACATTGAGGAAGAAAAAGAATGTGAGTGAGAAAATAGTTTGGAAGTACAAACATTTCATTCATTCATAAAATTAATTTAAAGAAGAGAGGAAGGAAGCAGAAACAAATGAGGCTGAACTGCTATGAATACTGGGGACATTATTCCTAGCTACATACTATTATATTTTTAAGATACAAAGAGTCTGTAAAATTTTTTTGAAAAATTAAAACCTAGCTCTGTAAAAAAAGAAAACACGCTCAATGACAGGTGCTTTACGGGGAGAAGCACATACATTGAAGCTGCAGGCCCAGCTGTTGATCCGACCCTTGCAGGTGTTGTTTTCTGCAATAGGAACCCCATCCACGCTGACTCGGACAGCGTAGGAATCTTCTGGCATTGGTCTGGAAGGCAAAGAACATACAAAGAACGCAGTAACTTCTATTTAGCACATTAATGAAAATACTATCCCATTTATAACATTTTTAAAAATAAAATTATCTAAAACTCTAAGGGGTATACAGTTAAATTTCACTTTATATTTTGAAGAGAGAGGTCTATCCTGAGCCAACCTGTGCTGAAAATTCTAACCTCATGTGCACAGGCAAGCACCGTCCCTGACTCTGCAAATTAGTGCTTATTTTAAAGGACAACAAATACAATAACAGAAAGCAATAATCGTCCTTTAACATAGTAATGTCACCCTGGTGTATTTAGTTACTTTATGCTATTTGTAAAACTTAATCAAGCTTCCCCACTCAGTAAGTTTTTGCTGCTGACAAATAGCCAATAAGCCTAATACAGATGAAAGGCTTTGGGGGATGAGCTATCTGTTTCTAAGGCTGATATTGAAGTCACAGTTGAAAACAACTTAAAATGTTTCCTAAATTGCAATAACATGCATCAATTCTGGCTGACAGCAAAGAACTGGCAAGGTCGCTGAGCAAAATGATCATCTTTAATCTTTATAACTGTGAAGATCTTGAACAAAATTAATCTAACTGGACAGGAAAGCATACTTTTGGTATTTTGAGAGAGCTCATTATAATTTAATAGTACTCATTTATCTTATAAAAGAGCTCAATAAAAATAACAGTTCTAATAACATGAGAAAAAATAGAATATACTTTTATCAGGCCAATATGTGAAAAAGCATTATAATTGAATATAATGAAAAATCTAAGTCTAAGATCATGCAATTAAAAATAATAACTAGTAAACAGAAAAATACCACTTTTAAAAGGAAGAAAAATAGAACTATTAAATTACCAACATGCGTAACTGATTTCTGGCATGATGAACATATTGTTAAACATATTTTAAAACAGACCTAGTATAGCATGTAATTTGAGTTGAATGACTTGAATCTTTTTCTACATCACAAGTAATTGACCGGAAAGAAGAAACTAATTGTACACTGTTTCCCAAATCAGCATTATCAACTCCATAGTTAAACTGGTTTGCTTGAGAAAAACCTGGAAAAGTAAGAAAACAATTATTATTAATGGAATTCAATTTTCAAAGATCTAGTAATTATATCTCATTATTAAATCATTCCATACATAAGCACCAATGAATAATAAGCAATTAGCACACTGCTTATTTACCCTTGTGAGTATAATCTGCTCTGGAAGCATAAAGAATTGGCTTTTTAATCCATTCATTCACAAAAGTAATACATTAAAATATATAATGTATGTGGTATACATGATAAGGAAAATCCATTTTTAAAACAGACTAAAGAACTAGAAAGACTGAAGGAGAGGAACACTTCCATAAGGGATAGGATTTTAAATTCTTATAAAGCAGAATCGTCAAACTGATAATGTATTTAGGCAATAATCCTCTAGGGATAAAGGCAGATAAAACATGAAAGAAAAGGCAGGACTAGGTGTGGTGGCAGCACATGCCTCAAATCTCAGCAACCGGGAGGCTGAGACAGAAGGATTCCTAGGCAAGTCAGAGAGTTAGTGAAAGCCTGTTTCAAAATTAAAAGAGGCTGAGAGTGTTGCTCAGTATGAAGACCTTAGGTTCACTCTCCAGTACTGTAAGAAAGAGATAGACAGCGATGTAGAATGAAAGTGTAAGAAAACAAGAGAGAGACAGACAGACAGACAGAGAAAGAGGAAAAGAAAGAGAGAGAAGAAAAAAGAGAAAGAAAGGGAGGAAGGAAGGAAGGAAGGAAGGAAGGAAGGAAGGAAGGAAGGAAGGAAGGAAGGAAGGAAAAGAGTGGGAGAGAAGGAGAGGAAGGGAGAGAGATAAAAATGGGCACTACTGAGAATCACCTGCACTGGGAATTACTAAGGAAAGCCCGAAATCCTCTCCAAATGAAAGAATCAATGGCATTGCGGGAAGTAACTTTTCTTGCAGTTCTGAGTTATGATATCTTAATTCACTGTATCAGAGAAGACCTTGCACTGTTGACAAAGACACACTGTGAACATTGCAAGTAAGAAGCATAGATTGAATCAAAGTGCCAGGAAACTGTGTGCCACAGCTAGAGCTAAAGTTAAGGATGAAAAGAGGAAGTGAGTGTGAGCATAAAAGGCACCTGAGTCTACCATTTAGCCCACACACATGTGCTTATGCCTGCGTTTTAAACACAGTCCACCACGAGGCCTTTTAGGAGGTGGCTAACTGAGAGCCCTGCTGAAGATGTAATGCAAGAGGACTGACAGGACGTGCTCTAGGCCACACTGCTGCAACTAGCCCCGAGTCTATACCCACCATGCCCCATTTCTGTCGCCCATCGCAGATTTCCTTATCCTTGACACTAGGGACGGTGGGGGTGACACTGGCTTTGTCTCCTAGAGGTCTGGGCCTCTGATTGCCTTGCCCTTCTTGGCTTGAGGCTGCTGCAATCGTCTATTTGTAGCTGTCTGTGAACAGGGAAGCCGAGTGATACCCCACGAACACCTGGCCTCCTAGACATTTTCCTACTGTCTGCGTTAAATAAAAGCATGGCTCTTTTATGATAAGCAGAATTGATTATCTCTCGGAAGATACTGAATATACTTGTTGAACTCAAATGAATTAGGCAGCAGTGGGATTTCAGTTCAGTTTACAAGTCTATGTTATGATTCCTGGGGAAAGCATTTTCTACCTGGAAACTCAAACCTCAATTCCAGCATAACCTAAGAATGACAGGACAGAAGTGCATGCTCTCCTACGGGAGGTAATCTGAGATACATAGCTCTGCATGTTTTGTTCTCCTAACCCTGAGTCCCTTTACTTACTTTTTTTTTGGTCTTGTTTCTTATCTCCTGATTCTGTTCCTCTTAGTCATCTGCCACTGCCTAGGAGCCTGTTCCCTCCTTACAAAGTCACTTTCTGAATATCGTGTGCACAGCTCTGCTTAGGAGGCTGCTGGGGAAAGTGTTTGGAGCGCAGGGTCCCCTCACAGCACTGATGACTGAAATCAGAGGTGGTGCCATGAAGTGAGACCCAAGAGGCCTATGCGAGAGACAGTCATGGGAAGGCAGCAAGCGTGTCAGGATCCGAGGCAAGAGATTTTAGAGACACAGAACAGAACAGTCAAGGCCGTGGGGTGGGGCTGTGTGCAAGACGTAGGAAACATGGTTCGAAAGTGTGAGTGAATCGAGGCGGAAAGCAGAGACCGGCAATGGAGAAATTTGCATGGGAGCCACTGGAGGCTTTGAATAGAGAAATGGCAGGACTGACTTACACTCTCCGATTCACTAGCTGCTCTTCTGAGAAGAGACCAGGAGCAAGAGCGAAGGTGCTTCCCAGTGAGCATCGGAGACAATGATGGGATAAGTGTTTGGCTGGACATGGAAGGACAGTACGTAAGGGGAGTAAGTGAGAGTAACATTTTCCGGGAATGTCACTGTACAGAGAAGCAGAAAATTGAGGTGGACGCTAGCTAGAAAGGAGGGTGAATTGCAAGGAAGGTTAGTGAGTTTGCTTTTATTTTAGGTGTTTGGGGGGAAATAGCAGCATGTGAGCACACTGACAGATATGACTCAATAGAATGTGACAAATAGATTACACAAAGTAGAGGACAATTATTTTAATCTGACCATAAATGTCTGAAAATTCAAAACTATATTTGGAAATAAACATAGACTAAGTATTTTATGCCACCTGAAACTGTTTTATAGTGCTTAAAAATACTCAGTTTTGAGTTAAACCTAAGAAATAAAACATATGAATAAGACTAACAGGATAATAGTCTATTTATAAAATCTTAAGGTTTAAATGTTCTAACAAAATATTTAAGAGGTATTCTTCTGTTAATGCAAAGTGAAGTGTACACACCTGTTAAATTATTATAAAGTTTCTAATTTTTTAGATTAGAAGACATTGCTTTAAAGTATACATTTCCTAAATCCTGAACTTTAAAAATATGTTCATTTAAAAATATTTTCCTGTGACTGTAACTGGAGTGTAACATTAAACTAACAGGATGGCCAAACTAATGACTAATATTAACTTTGAAATTATGAAGATTTTCTTTGACAATAAACACTTGCATCAATTTTATTAACATAAACTTATAATCTATTTGTTTTAGAATGTCATTACCTACAGACCATATCATCATGATTGTATCGTCTCACAATCTAATTAACTCGACATCAGTAAACAAGACACATGGTAAGCCATAGACTTACCTCTTTGATTCCTGTGAATGCTACTACTTATAATACGACAGCATAATGTCTTATTTATGATGCAATCAAAAAGAGGTAAGTATTTGAAGGTACTCATATTAACCTTAAAATTTAGTAGTTTTCAAGGACATTTCAACACAGTCTCTATTGCTGTATGTCCCTGTATTAAATGGTTTTAATGGATAAAAAGGCAGAATAAGGTTGCCATATAGTTGTGGCACAACTCCTTTTTAAATTACTGAACATTTCCAGTGTTCTGCAAAGGTCCATTAGATAATGTAAATACAATATTGCTGAGTCCAGAGTGGGGCCGAAGGTAGGATTTCACTGTACCGGATATTCATCAAATACAAAAGCCCCTGTATTTCAACTCTGGTGAAGCAGCCTGTCGCGCCCTTTAATGGAAAAAGTTTAGACCCTTTCATCTTGGGTTGGAACCTGAGCTCCAGCACTCTCTCTTGCCAATATCACCTTCAGCAAGCTGGGCATAAACTCCCTCAACTTATCAGAAAATGACCTCATCAGAAAAATGACTACAATCTATCTTTTAGCATTGTCAAGACTGCTGAGTGATAATTTCTGTGATGTACTTAATACTGTGCCTGCCTCAATAATGTATCAGGCAAAATCCCACTAGATACTTGCTCCTGTTAGTTCCCAAAATTTTGAGATTCATGTTCAGCATAAATATTCCCTTTTAAAAATAACATAGAGAGCCAGGCATGGTGGCACATGCCTGGAATCCCAGCACTCGAGAGGCTGAGGCAGGAGGAGCATGGCAAGTTTGAGACCAGCTTGAGCTACAAAGTGAGCTCAAGGCAGCCTCAACTGCATGGTGAGACCCTGTCTCAAAAAGACAATCCCTCCCCCCACAGAATCAGTAAATAAGCATCCTGAATTCAACCACTATTGTAGATGTCAACGTTATTATCTGTTAACCCAGTGTAACTTTCTCCAGCTCCTATCTTTCTCACTTTTATCTTGTTCTTTTGTTTAGATATTAGAAAAAATGAGCAAAAACTCAACAGAGGGTAGGAATTTTAATGAACATTACTTTATTCCTCAAAGCTTAAGTCTTAAGAGATTTGGCATGGGCTACTACAAATATAAAGGTAGGCATCCATTGGACATATAAAGCTATTTGCAGTGAATTTGCAGTTTTGAAATGAGAATGACAGTTAAGACTACAGTGAACTGTGAAAAACTAGGAGAAAACAATAAAACGAGCCAATTACAGACACACTTCTTTTGCCAACTTTTGCTTATCTCTGGACTTCACATTGAGTTTGGAACACACAGGGGTGCTGCTGGCAAGCACTAAAGGATGGAAAGTTTTACAATTTCAGGGTGTGACATACAGATCTATTTGTTTCACGCCATGTCAGTAATAGAGTAACATGGGTCTCTTCTTCAGCACCCTAGGACAACTCCTGGACAACCCTGTAATTCTCACAAACAGTACTAACAGAAATTGATGTCATTCTCAGCTTAGGAGTAGTTAGAATGTCAAATATATACACATGAAAATCCTGTGAGTAAAATCCACTGGAAAATATGAGCCAAATCAACAAACAAGTTTGGCAGATATCATTATACAGATATACATTTATCTTAAAAAATAAAAATATAAAATACTTCCAATTTTTAGCTAATTTCAAGAATTAAAAGGAATCACTTTTTAAGAGGGTTTTAGTTTAGAAGTGTAATTCTAAACAAATAATTGATTACGGAGTAGATAATCCTTGATGCTTGGGCAAGAAGATCACAAGTTACAGCCCTAGCTCAGGAACTTAGCTAATTAATCAGGCAGTGTCTAAATAAAAAAATAAGATACCCTGGAAACCATGCAAAACACACAGATTAAATAGAAGGGTTGGGTGTAACTTAGAAACAGAAAAGGCTGAGGTTTCAGTTGGAGATTCCTGACATTTTGATGTGGGCTTTCATTTTTTTCTTTTCTGAAGAAGAAAAATTTGAGACAGGAACTTCCAGGCACATAGCCTGGGTCTCCTGATAGGAAGAAGCTTTCCAAAAGTCATGCCTCAGCGGCCCTAATGGAAAATTTCAGTGTTGTTTAAACCCAGTAGTTAGGTACAGTGCAGGCTGTTTTGGTTTCTCTAGGAAAAAAAAAAAAAAAAAAAGCCCTGAGATGGGAGTGTGGGAATGAATTTAAAAATCACAACATTCAAAACAACGGGAAGGAAAGACACACCGTAATCCATGGAGGGTAACTCCCAAAGATGGAAACTAAGCCAGTAACATAATGCCAAGAATAATAAAAATTAGATACCTGTAATTTATACATGTATATAGCAAGTATCCTATGTTATCTTTTTTAAAATTCACAGTAGTTCCCAGCGGTAGAAATTAATAGCCTATTTTATTGGTGAGAAAGCCAAAGCTAAATAACTTTTTTCGGTCTTAGAATTTGCAGTGGCAATGATGGGAATCAACGGTAGGAAGCACGCTAGGAAAAAGTTCGACTACAGAGTATTCTCCTAATCCCACATGCAGTTCTTCTGTACAAAGGGATCCAATCTGTTAGAAAATGTTTGTCTTTAAGATCAATGTAATGTTTGGAAATAGCCAAAAATCATCTAGATACATCAAAATGTTAGCAGAAGATTTTCTAGTGGTAAAATTTCTGAGAATTTAATTTCAAGTCAATATTTTCAATAACACTTCACCTTTTATAACAAGTTTAACAAAACTAAAACATTTTAAGTAGCCCTGTGGTATCGATATTTAGGTAATCATCTGGAACTTATAATTCCATTTGGAAAGTGTTTTTATTGATACATCAGCAATGCATGCAATTACATAAATAGAGTATCTGTCCCTGGGAGAGCACAGAGTGGTTCCTTATGGGTCCTCTGCACATATTCCATATCTGTCATGGGCACCAAAAACTATTTACTTCAAACTATATTACTGCAGTCTGACTGACATTCAAAAAGCTGCATATTCTATATTTCATTTACTTTATAGAATTTGATTAGTTTGGAGAGAGGTATGTACCAGTGAAACTATCACCACAAACAATTCTATAAATATATGTATCACCTCTAAGTGATATTCCTATTGCCCATTTATTCACCTTTTAAAATTTGAAAATAAAAACATCTTGTTACCAAAAAAGTTTAAATCTATGGTACAATGTTGTCAGCTATAAGTATTCTGACATGCAGTAAAGAGACTTAAAGGACTTTCTTTAATGATTAAAATTTGCTCTTTAACCAGTACCTCTCTTCCTTCAGTGCCCAATAACCATATATTTCTCTGCTTCAACAGAAAATCAAAAACAGTGTTGAGATCCAGTCTCTGACAAACACATATGCCAATGGGGTTTTAATCAGCCATGATATGTAACTAGGCCAGGGAGAGGAAAGCAAAATCAAGAAGAAAGTGCAGGTGTCTATAACTCAAAGAAGATTTAATTGTTCTCTAGTTCTCTGTGAAAAGCATTCAGAAGTCAGACTGACAGGAAAAGTATATATCACTGTCACACTTTGTGCTTCATCATTGAGTCCTGAGCTTAATTCACCCAGAAAGTCCACAAAAGAGTAAAGGTTACAGCTAGAGGGCCAAGGAGGTGCTTCTAAATTGCTTTAAGAAGAGAATGTCTCATGTTTCCTATTTTATACTAGGAGTGTTTTGCATCTGTGTACCCAAACTCTAGTCTGGATCAAAGGAATTTAGGTTTGGAGACACTTACAGCTCAGAGTTTTGACTTTCTTTTGTTTTCTCTTAACCTGGACATTTCTCGCATGGCATTTAACTTTCCATTTACTCAACAGCTTTCAAGCATATCATCTTAACAATTTATAATGTAAGGGAGATATGGTTAAAGATATTTTAGAATCACCTTTAACAAATATATTGTCTTCAAGTCTTAACTCTAAAAGAGAACACTTTATTCCAAAGCATATTGTTCACAATTTAGAGGCACAAACTCTTTTAATTATATCATTGAGAGACTGAATTCTCTAGAAATATTATGACATCCAGTACATATGGCAGAATAATGATATCTTGTTTTGTTAATGCTCCAATTCAAAAAAGCTTCTCATTTCTTACTATATAGAACAAATGATAGATTTTTAAATGTTTCTAAAAGCATTTCTTTTCCATTTTTCTTTTCTTTCTTTTTTTTTTTTTAACGGTACCAGGGATCAAACTCACAACCACCTGCTTGCAAGGCAGGTGCTTATGCCACTGAGCTAAATCCCCAGGCCCTCTTTTCCATTTTTCAAACATTCACAAATATCTGAATACTACTACCATAATATTACAAAGAATTCATGGCTGACCAAATCATATTATATCTACTGAATCCTAGGAAGAACTGCTCAATATATTGATTGATTATTGATTGATTGATTATTATTATTATTTATTGATTTCTGTTTTTCCCTCTAAAGGGCAGGCAAGGGGAGAGAGGATAGGGGTTAGGTGCCAGGAGAAATGAGCAAAAGTTCTGCTTTTTTGCCACCTTTCTTCTTTCAATTACCATGGCATTTCTGTGACACACTTTTCTCCCTAACATTCTACCTCAACCCTCCACAGTGCTTTACTTAATTAAAAGTAAGTAAAGTCATTATTAGATCCATAAAGAATAGGGCAAACAATTGCAGACTTGGGTTAAAGATGTTCCTTTCCATTCAATCGTTAAATTCAGATTTTAGAGTTAAGCAGGTAATTAAAATAAGAATTCAGATGGTAGGGGGATTTCATCAGCTGTCAAAGGCAAGACAGTCTCACTGCCTTGTCCAAGTGTCAAAATCATGCCCGTGTTTTGTTTAAATACCTGAACCTTCACACACGCACACACACACACACACACACACACACACACACACACGGAGAGTGTGTCAGGCAAACCTACCTTCTCCTTTGATAGTCAGTCTCGTGGCTCCATTTACACTACCGTACTTAGGCATCACTTCTGTGACTCTGGGGATTATTTTAGAGCCATCTGAAAGATACAAAAGTATAGCACAGGTAAGATCACAGAGTTCTTCACTTCACGCACCACATTCTGCACCCTCTGTCAAACATAGAACTGAAAGTAAAGTGTATCCAGCTTTTACTTTGGGCTCTATTAGCCATTGATTTCACAACCATGTAAGTTATTAACTTAGTTAAAACCCTTCCACTTTGTAGGAAGCATAATGCATGACCATTTCTGTCATTCTTATCTATCAAAAGATGTTTATTAAGCCCACAATTTAATGTCATGCTCTGTTAACTTTCAATACATAGTTAAGTTCAATCCCATAGCAATGACATCACATGACGAACAATGGTGACATGGAGAAATACATTATAAAATAATCTAAGAAGCGTGATGCTAAGTGGCTAAAAGCATAGTCCTCGTACACAGAGGAATGATATTAAGAAGAAATTGTTTTCTGTGACTGGGAATACAACAAAGATAATTCCTGAATTCTTGCTAGTGTTCTGATGCTGCTGAATTCTCAGTGTCAACATCACCAATTCATTCAAACGTCTAGGGGACATTAAATGCATCTCAGTCTTAACTTATCAAATTTTTAGTTTAATCAAAAATTGAATAATAATTCAAAATAATTATATTTTGAAAGGAATAATTGAAGGGAACACAGGGCCAGAAGGACATTTCATTTACAGTGTGACCTCACCAGTGTGACCACGACCCCTTGCAGCATCTTGGAGAGCAAATCAGAATTAATTAGCAGAACCTCTTCAAGAGAATTCTGGACATATAAACACTGGGTGCCTGAATAATTAAGGGGTGAAGTGTTTTCTCTTTGGAGACCTGCAAGTAACTCTTTAAGGCAGTTCAGGGGTCAGACGTATTTATTTTCAGGTTAAGCAGGCCCGTAGTTTAAAGTCTAGAACAGTATTTTTTTTCAGAGTGGGTAGAACATTTTAAGTGGGTAGAACAAAAATGAATTGCGTGAAATATATATATGAGAAAAAATCAAGGAAATGATGACAGAACAGTTCATTTTCCCCTGAAATATGCATAGTGCGGACTGAATCAATAATAGCAAAGGCTCCCCAGCATGCAGATCAGCCCCGCACCTGCCGACCCAGTGCCTCCGTGCCTAGGGCTGACTGGACCAGGCTGCTGGGAACCCCAGGCCCAGGCAGCCAAGCACAGGAACTGGGGGGAGCTGGATCCCATCTCCAGACGCGCTGAGCCTCGCCTATCTCAAGTTCATCTTGCCCTTATCTCCTCAGACAACTCCAATTTCTTATCTTATCCGTCTCCCTGCAGCCCTCTCCTGCCTATTACTTTGAAGACACCGGGCACCTGCCCCATGCAAGGGACAGACACTGGCCCAAAGTAGCCCTCCTACTGGGGGACGCGGGCCCCGTCGTCAGTGAAGAAAGGGGTCCCAGGAAAGCAAGCTAGAGGGGAGCGGAGAACTCCTGCTGTCTGTCTGCACCCCCCTTCCTCACACCCACACCCAGCCAAGTTCAGTCTCTTCGTCTGTGCCACTTTGGGGAAGGCAGGCAGGTTCCACAGTTCAAACAGCAACCCTGCTGAATTAAAAGGACCCCCCACCACCATCTCCCGGCCTCCCTCTGTATGGTTTCTGCCATCTGAGATTGGGGTCCCCAGGCTCGCACCCCAGAATCGCGCGCACAGCCTCTGCCCAGCGCAGGTGCCAGGTGGTCCCCACGGGACCTCTGTGTGCGTCCCTGACGCCCCGAGTGGGTTACCTGTGGGAGAACCCGCAGCGGAGAGCAGCAGCCCCCAGAGGCCCCAGAGCCCCGCGAGCCACAGGTGTCCCATGGCCCAGCCGCGCGCAGCGCTCCGCGCGCCTCTGCAGGTGCAGCCGGCTGCTCCCGGCGCGAGGCCGCCCCGCCCCCACTGCGCACACGCGCGCGCGCGCGCACACACACACACACCCACACCCGGGACCGTCCCAGAGAAACCGATCGGCCCCATCTGGGATCACCTTCAGCCACACTCAGATCCCTGGCGCTGAGGTCCCTGTGGTCCTTTGGATAGGGAGGGCCAAGGGTCAAGCGTGCAGGGGCCAAGCTCTCCGTGAACCTCACTTCTCTTTTCTCTCTCTTCTTTTCCTTTAAATTCTGGGCCTGCATTACTGTCATTTTCCTGTCTGCGTTGGTCATTAATTCTCCTCAAGCAGATTGATGGTGAAACCACTAAATGCGCAAATCCCGCACGTTTTCCCTCTCCACAGTCACGTAAGATCATGCTATAGCTTCAGTTGATACCCTTATCGATGTTTATTGATATCTCAGCACTTCCTAAACACTGTGCTCAGTGCATAGTAGACACAATTCACAATAGTCCCAGTGGGACTGCTGTTAGTATTTACCCCCATTGCTCCCAGCAGTAGACTGAGGCACGGTGGCATCAGTGACTTGCCCAGGGCCATGCAGCTGGTGTAGATCCCGGCACTCTGAGTTCGGTGCTGGAGGGGAGGAAGACAGAGCCCTGCTGCAGCGTGCAGGCCCGAAGGCAGGGAGCAGAGGAACAGAACCGGACCTCAGGAGTCACAGCTCGTGGCTCCCTGCTGCACGCTCCCGCTGCATTCCCAGGCCTCTCTGCCCACCACCTACCTCCTCCTTCTACTTTAATAAAAAGTGAGAAACTCCAGCCAACCCAACTTCGGGTTCCTTCATTTTAAAATGTCTCGCGTTCTTCCCAAATACTGAGGGAAATTCAGCTGGAGCCAGTGTTAACAGAGGCACCATGGAGGCGTTCATCCTGAGACCGAGAATCAGTCCCAGGGCCTGCCCCGTACCTGGTGCTGAAGTTTGGTGATGTCTAGAACTTGCATAGTTTGACCAATGAAAAAAAGTGAAACAAAATCTGGGGAATTTTAATAACTTTAGAACTGAGGGAACTATATGATAATTTCCACTTTTTTTAATTTTTGAAAATTTTCAGAAATAGCAAATTCTCTTAAAATTCTCTCTGTCCACCCTTCCATTTTGCTTTTGTTATTCTGTTTCAGGAAGGCGTCTTTTTCTTCCAAGACTTGCGCTATTCTATGCTTGTGTACTTTTTCGAAATTCTTTCCCTTTCAACCTAATGTGCCAACAATTTCCCCCTTATATCATTTCTAATGAATCCTCTTTCCCCTTCCTTTTTTTCCCTAGAGAGAAATACAGTATTCATTATTTAAAGTCCATAAACAAAAAGACTTTATCCTTTTAAAAATCACAGCAAAGTCCAGGTGCGGCCAGTCCAGTTGTTTTTTAATTTCTTGAAAGAGCTCCCTACTTTGGGGAAGTCTTTGGTTCAGATCGTTGCCCAGCTTGCTCACCAGCTCTGGGAGGCACCTGTATTCCAGCTGGATTCTAAGCACTTCCTGGAAGGTGGAGGAGGAACGGTAGAGGCTGGGGGCAGACTGACAGGTAAAATAGGCCACCGAGCGAAATGCGCACTGCAAAAAACATATAAATAAAGTGATTTGTATTAAAGATAAATGCAAATCTCTCTCTGCTATATGCACTGTGCAGTGTTCCGGATATATATCTATCACAAAATTATTCATGGTTTTATCTAAAATTCAAATTCAATTTAGCTTTCTGCTTTTGGGTTTACTAAATCTAACAATCCTTGTCGAGGAGAAAGAGAGATAAAACAGAAGACAGACTTCCAAAAGTAATTAAGAAAAAAGTCTCTGTAGCATATGACATAGTCATTTTTTTTTTCCAGTACTAGGGATTGAACCCAGGGCCTTTTCACTGGGTCACATCTCCAGCTATTTTTTATTTTTGTGTTTTATTTTGAAGCAGAGACTCCTTAAATTGCTAGAATTGTTCTTGAAATTGTATTCCTCGGAATAGTCTTAGGTCTCTTCCCCCCTCCTCTAATCTCTTCTATTTCATAGTTTTCTTTTACGTCTTCTTTCTTAAAGTTGGCATTCCTGAAGGTTCTTTTTATTCTTTCCTTTTTCTAGTTAAAAATAAGCCAATTAGCAGAAAATTAGGTTGTTGAATACCAAGTTGCCAACAATTATTTACCAGATTTACTAAATTTAATGTTGAATAGCAAAACTTAGCAACTTTATGAAGAACAATAAATTAATATTAACAAAAATGCCCAATTTAAATTATTACACATGTTATATGTATTTTTCACTATTACTATCCAAAAAAGATTTTATGAAGGAATTTTTATATGAAATTGTTGGTGTTTCATTTTGATTTCCTCCAGAAATTTTCAAATTGAAGTTTGCCTAAATTGTATTTCAGGAGATACGCAATTTAAATTCAATTATAAAATTTTGAATTTTTTAGATGCTTTTAAATTTGCATATTAAAATGAAGATGAATAAAAGATGAGTAATGAAGATTAAGTCATACAAAAAGGATATTAAAGTGACTTTAATATTAAAAAGTTAAAACAGTCATTTCAAAACACTGTAAAAAATGGAAAAACCTGTATAATGTTATATACTGAGTTTGTGATTTCTAATGAGGCACTATTGAATTAAGTAAGGCTTTCCTATGGAAGACTCAATATAATTTATTATAAAAGAGGAAAACTTCTAAATTTTAGATATATCACTAAGATGATTAAGAACATACTTACCTTGATTTCTCTTTTGCCAAACTTTCACGTTTTTAACATTCCTTCATTGGTTTTAAGAAAGCTTATCAACTAGCAAATAGCATGTAATATTCAATATGTGAATGGTTATGCCTATTGTGCCCTATTGTATTTCTCTACTTAACTGAGACCTAATCACCTTAGTCTGTGAACATTCACAGACTTAGTCTTCTTAAAACAAATTAAATATATTCACAAGCATGTTTGTGTATATACACCTATGTTGTACATAATTAGTGCACATAACGAGATGTTAACTATTGTGTGCATATATTAGAAATAATGACATATCACTACCAGCAACCAGAGTAAAAAATCAAAATTATGTATGAATGACCCATACATATAATATATATTTTATGTATATAATTATCAGGAGCTAAAATGAAAATCCTATTAAAATCTGGCAAATATTTCGGGTAATTACAGTAATTAAATTTGGCAAATTTTGTGACTGGGTCATTCAGCAAATTGATTATTTGTTTAACAGGCTTCAGAAAAGTTGATATACAAAAAATTAGTCTGGTATCTTATCTTACAATGCTTATGTTTCTTAAAGAGCCAACCACCATAATTTACATACATAAATTTTTAATAAACTCTTATAGAAGAAATGAGCACCTTTAACTGCCTTTTCTCTTTAAAGAGTGCTAATTTGTATAACGAAATACCCTGAAAATAGATCACACCAGGGAGATTTTTGAATCTGAATTACTAAAATACTTTGATGAGTAATATGCCAATAAATAATTATAACTGGAAAGAGATTTATATAGCCAAGAGGTGGCATTGGAATGAAACAAAAAGTGGTTATGCATCTTCACATCTATATAGACTCATAATAGGACATGGAGGGGAGGAAACATCCAATGCAAATCCAAATCATTTTGCCTCTTTTTTTTTGCAAAATTTCAGAGCTCTAGCCTAAAAAGTTCTGCCTACAGGCCCAGCATTGTGGACATCTGCCTGGTGCATACTCTGTGGGCCCCATGTCGGTTTACTGTTATATTATCCTTGTCTTGAAATCCTCAATGGTTTTGAGCAGATTTCAGTAAATTTTCACTTTCATTTTGCATTATCCCTGACAAATTACATAGCTCATCCTGTCTGCCTGTGTGATTAAAAAAAAATATGATTTTAACTTGACCCTTTAACTTGAATGCAATAGGAAAATATGAGGGAATTTCTGGGAAGTTGTAGAACCACAGTGGGTCTGGGATTCAGTGTGCGTGTTTCACTGAACTTACAGGAAAACCCAAAGTATAAATAAATTAAAGAGTAGAAGAAAAGATAAAGTACAGGAACTAGGAGGAAAACGATGCAATTAAAGAGAAAAGGAACAGAGGAGAAGACGATGCAAAAATAATTATGGTGTCACACACAGGTAAAACCCCCGCGAGGAATGTAGTCATTATACACTGCAAACATGTATTAATAAAAAAGTTTTTTTTAAAGGAAAAAGAAAATTAGCTGTGTTATAGGATCCGATTTTGAAGCTGGACATAATCATGTGTAACATGAACAAAATAAATGCACAAAATAGTTAACTCTCAACAAATGTTCAGTTTCTCAGGCAGTAAGAGCATGGTGGTAACTTAAAACATTCTTGTCCTCATGGAACCTGCATTCTTGTCCTTATGCTTGCCAAAAAAATATTTTTTAAAAAAAATCAGTAAAATGCGAAGATTTTTCTCAAGGCCTGGAAAGAAGTTGTGCTAGCCAACTTTAATTGTCAAGCCTAGGCAATATCAAAGCCATTCTGCAATTGAGATGATTGTTACAGAGGGATAAGGTTGCTCAGCACACCCTTGACTGTGCAGTAATAAGCTTTTCAGAGTTTGGTATTTCTGTGAGTGACAAAATACCTTTCACTTATTTATCTCCTTCCAACATTCTTATTGTGTTTAGTAGACCATAAAAAAAATTTTGTGCTTATTATTTTATGAATATAACATGCATTTGAAAAGTAACTTTGTGAGAAATCATGAATGGTACCAGAAATGAGAACCATTCTTTGTAGTAAGTCACTGATCTAGAAAGCCAAGAAAGTCTCTGCTCAGCAGTAGTCGTACTCCTGGAAGGGCAGAGCCACTGGGCTCAGCAGAAATCTTATTGTCTGAGGGTTAAAGCAATAGAAAGGATGAACAGCTCAAATAAATTGAAAGAAATCTGCCTTAATTTTTGTCTTATAAATTACTTGAATATTTATCAATTACCTAATCAATAAACTGCATATTTGTTTC